TCCTGTGACTGCATTAGTGCCAGGGCCTGATGGTGTTCTCAAAGGGACCTACAATAGCCACTTTAATTTCTGATTAAGAGTCTTAGTTTGATTTAATGTTTCTGAAGGCTTTTAATTTTATGTGCCTTTGTGTGTGAAAGCACAAGATACCTGTTCTGTGCCAGATAGGTAGGGTTCTTAATGGTATGATGTTGCTAGCAGATGTCAGATTGGGTTCTGCACCCCATTTTATACTTGGAAAATGGTACTTGCCTCTTTTAAATCTTTTCTCTTAACTTCCTCCTCCCCATCTGCATGCTCCTTTCTTAATTGCACCAATAATCTCTTTAAAAGGAATTAAATAATTAAATGTCCCAAACTCTAAAAAAAAAAGAAAAAGTAGTAATTTCCTAGTAAATAGTAATGATCTAAACCCTCTATTATATGTTGTTTGGAAACAAAACTAAAAATTTTAAATAGGTAAACATGCTATCCATATTCAAAAAAAAACCAGGCACAATTATTTAAATATGTACTCACTGATCTGGAGAAAAATCATTGACATTATTACACATTAATAGGTACATGAAAATAAATTTGACTAGTTATTCATCTTGTAGTTTTATTCCACTTGTCATTCACCATTAAAAGAGAAATAATTTCTTCTTATAACAGAAAGCTTCCAGAGAGACTGAAAATGTTGAGAATTCGTTGAAAACAGTATGATGTACTCTGTCAAAAAAATAAATTTCAATAAGCAGCTATTGAAGTCTTCATCCTACTATTTTTACTAAAAGAATTAGAACCTAGCAGAGATTAATGAAAATATTTATTATAGGTAACTGAGAAGATGCAATGAAGATAGTATTACACCAAGTCGAAATTTATGTTTAAATTGCAATGCAATTTTAATTGAAAAATTCAAAGATCACGAGAAATACGGAATTCACTTTAAGTTAAACAGTATAAATTGGTATAGATTTTTTGAATACAAAGCTTTAGGATAAGAATCCAGGAAATAAGATACTAAGATTTATAAAACAGTTATGTACCTACCCATAAGTAAATATGAGAAAAATCAAAGTCTTAAAGTAAATAAATAAGGAGCAAATAAAGATTTGGGCAGACTCTTAAATACACTGGCAGAGATATATAGGAAATATATCTTGACCTTTGTTTTGCCTTGGCTTATAACAAATATCAATCTACAGACTATACAAATAAAAATCACTTTCTTTACTGTGTACTTGGAGCTTCACTGGACCATTTTCAAATAGTGTTACCAAACTCCTTTATTATATGATTAAATAATTTCACACAGGAGAAATACTGAAAAATATTTTTACCTCTTGAAATTAATTGTGACTGGCCACATTCTATTAGATACAGCAAAAACAGGTCAAATCCACCTGGGGATTTTTTTTTCCTTTATTTATTTTTTATTTTCTTATTGTAGAGCACATTATTTTGATTTGTATGCTTTGGTAGTCTTTTGAATATGTAGGGCCCTATCTTTCCTTTTTAAAATTCTCTTCCCTCATTTTTTCTTTTTCTTATTCTCTTCACTTTTTTCCTGTTATGAATTTCACTCTCCTGTTTTAACAGACTCCTACGCATGGGCAGTTTTAGTTCCTGTAATGAAAAGTGATGGGAAATTTGTCTCCATACCTGGGGGTAGACCTGAAAAGTATTTTGTGTTAGTCAAAGCACAGTCACAATGAGTGTCTTTCTCCTTTGTGCATGCTAGAAAACTGACATGTCAAATTAAAGAAGAAAGTCTGTCTTGTAATTTGCAATCCTGTAACACCACTTTAAGCACAGTGGCTGGTGGCAACTCCTGTTGATTTTTCAGGTATCTGAGAATCAGGCAAAGTTGATTGCTGCTCCCCATCAGTCTAGGCGTCTGGTTTATGAGTTATCTGTGGGTCTTCTCAGATTTGGACTCTTGTTTTTCTGTTACAGATTTTGTTCCAGACATAGATGAAACCAAAGTATTAAAAATAGTGCTTCCTGGGAAATGATTAGCTTTGCTGCTACTATTCAAAGTGTAAGTGGAATATTTTCAAAGATTACAGTTTCTCAGAAATTACAGAATGTTGGACCTAGAAGATTCTGTGGCAGTTGAAAAATGATATTCGTGAAGGTTGTTGTCTGTTTGGGACTCACAAGCTGGTTTCTAGGATTTTTTTTTTGTTTAATGAAGCCACTGGCATTTGTTTCAAAATGCTAAGAAGTTTCTGCTTCCAGTATCACATAGCCATCATTATGTGGGTCCTCCCCCCTTTCTTTGTAAACTTGGGAATTGTGACTTTGTTTTCCTATGAGAAAATTAAAGATACCAGGGGGGAAAAAACCCCACCATAAAATGGCAGATTTCTTCCTCCTTACCCTCTATATCCATAAATAAAACATTGAACTTTTGGAGAGGATATTTTATTCCTTGGGAGCCCCTTTATTATATCTCCAAGTAAGATACAGTTGTAATTTTTTCAAGGGCTAAGTCAATAAAATCCTGGCCAGTTGGATACTAACAGATAAAGACAATTACAGGAATGAGAACTAAGCCTTGTCCAAGTACATAGAAGATGACTTAAAATAAAAATTCCCTCACAATTTTAGGCTGAGAGCTTCTGCCTGCAATGAGATAGAAGAGGTATTATTCAATATTCAATATTTATTTTATTCAATCATGGTCTTTGTTACCAGTTCAGATTTTTTTGAGCGATGCTAAGACTGTTTTGAGCTTTGTAGTTGGCTGACTACAATTACTAAGTCCTTTGTTGAAATGCATCTTTAATGAATAAGATTCCCGTGAAAAAAACGGAGTGAATCCAGTTGTTGGTACTTTTATAGTTTTGGATTAGTTTAAGGCTAAACTCTTACTTCAGAAAATACATCCGAGTCATTTTCAACCATATTATATGACACTGAGTGTTAGGTAATTCAAACATATTTTTGGTCTATTTTAATTGTTAAAAAACCTTACCAGAAAATCAATTTTCTTTCTGTGGATGATGGATGGAATATCTCTAGTTATTTCTAAACTGTAGGGCTTCCGCCAGGAATTTATCACAGGGGGAAACAGGTTTCGCTAGAAAGGTGTTAAAATTGCCATCTGAAAGTATTTACCACTTACAACTTCATAGTTTAAATTTCGAAAATGTCACCGGTTACTGGTTGAGGTACGCACGCACACCCAGAAAACGGACCCTTGTTTCGACACAATCATCAAGCCAAGGGGAGGGTGACACATTCACGAGAGAGCGCACGCCCCGCGCCTCAGCGCCGGACTACAATTCCCAGAATGCATGGCGACCAAGAGCCCGCTTCCGGGCTTGCGTCCCCGCCCCTTGCTCCGGGTTGGCTGCCTTGCGTCGCTGGCGCTGTCCCTGGGCGCGCAGTGTAAGTGGCCTGAGCCGTGCAGCTCAACTAGGTAGGATTCTTCCAGGGCCGGGACTGGCAGCCTCGAAGAAGCACACGTTCTCTTCGCACTGCTTCTTGGAGCCACCATGAGACGCCTGGGCTCCGTGCAGCGGAAGATGCCGTGTGTGTTTGTGACGGAGGTGAAAGATGAGGCTTCCGCCAAAAGGGAGCATCAGGTACCCAGCGGCCCGGCGGCGCCCGACCTGGCGAGCGTGGCCGGGGCTTTTAGTGGGTTTTGCTGGGCAGGTCTGGGGTCTCGTGCATCCTGAGCTCCGGTTCCCTTACCTTAGTTGTAAGGGAGGGAGTCTGCGAGAAAATGTGTTCTGGTCAGGCAGTTCCAACTTGCCCTCGCAGAGAAATTGAAAACCTATATTTAAATACTCTTTTTCGCAAGTCAGCACCTTTTGAAGGAAAAACCTTAAGTAATCAGATGGCATCGCTGTCCATGCTTTATACTTTTCAAGAGAGTGGTTAGAAAGTGGAGATAATACTAGATTTTCCTTGCTTGTTCTAACCTGGGAAGCGATAGCACGGTGACACTTGAGTTGATGAAGTCACTGAGATTACTCAGTTACCAGTAATTACTTAATCCTAACTTTGGTGTTCCCATCTGAAGGTTACTTTTTTGCGTGGCTACATGTTTTACTTAGAACAGGCCCTCAGTAAATGCTAGTGAATGAGTAATAGCCTTCTGCAAGGTAATTTAAAATGTGGCAAAATCCTTGAGGAATAGAATCTCCAGCTCTCAGTTGGGGCTTTCCAATTTGGACAAAATTAATATGTGCATTGGAAAACAATCCCACTCCTATCATCATTGTTAGCATCAATCTTCTTAGACTGAATGACCCACCTTTAAGGCAGTTACTGCCCTCTTTAGTCCCAGCTTCTCGTATCTGACACATGGTCAGCCCTGATTTTCCATTTAACCTTGATGCTTTCACTTACTGATCATTCCATACTCTTTTTCTAGTGCTATACTCTAATACTTGCTACCTAGAATAATTATCACCGTGTTCTCCCGTAGTCAAAACCCTGTAGTCAACTACTCAGCGTCTGTAGCAGTAGTTGTCAACTTTTTGCTTTTATTCTAAGCCATATGAAATGTCATCCTTCATGATAGTTTACTCTGCTTCTCAACTTTGTATGTTGGTTGGAGTAATTTATAAAATGCTTCATCACAGTGGGGGGAAAAGACCCTTTTTGTCTCTCTGCAGTCAAGCATACCTTTTACAGTATTGTTATAGCATACTACCCAAATTCTTAGGTATATGTCAGAGCCTCCAATTAATTAGGCCCGTCTACTCTGTAACCTTCTCACATTGTAGTCTTTTAGTTTCTGTGTCATCCTATGAACATACCAAGCATGATCCTGTCTGTATTTTTGCTTAGGCTATTCACTCCGCCTGGGTCTCCTCCAGAATGTTTTTAATTTTTCCAATTTTTATCTTCTCCATAAAATCTCTGTAATCAATTTTGTCAGCCCAGTGGTTTCCCCTACCCAGAAATTGTAGAGGCCCCCTCAGTCTAATTGATACTTTTTATACACACATATATTATTTTTTCAGGCATTGTCTTAAGTCTTTGGTGACAACTGAAGAAGCAGAACATCCTGTACTCTTCAGTATTTTCCTTGGGTCATGTTGATAGCAAAGAGTGATATATAATTGATTCTTGTGGAAGGAACATTTATGCTCAGCATGAACTCCATGGACATGATAATCTTCTCCATAGGAGCTCTGCTAAATTTAAATTCACCCACACAGCTATTGGGCCAGAGTCTGGCTTTACTACCGTGGGTTAAATTGGTATCTTTGGGTACTGGAGTCATAAATTAATGATAAATCCATATTTAATTATATCTTAAAAATACTGAACCAGTATTAGAGTGGAGCTAATTTCCTACTTTACTTGACTGTTTGAAATAGTAATCTGCCTTATTAGTCTTAAGCTGATACACTCTAGTATAATGTTTATATTGTGCAGGGTTTTCTTTTTCTTTTTACATTGTTAGGTGAATATTAACATCAGATTTAGACTATAAATATTGGCAAAAGCTTTTCTCAGAAGGGAAAATGAAATACACAGATCAAGTTGGTAAGAGCCTTAGAAAAGGTCTTTTTCCATCCTTGATATTCTTTACACTTTCTTCCAGAAAATAGAAAAGCCATCAATTAAATGTGTAAAAGGTTTACTATTGCTAAAGCTGAAAGGAACATGAAGTGAATACACTCAGACAAACAAAAGCTAAGAGAAAACAAAAGCCAAGTGGTTCTTGCTACTTTTAACAGTGAAAACTGTTAGGAAAAAAACATGAATAAACCAAATTCAGCCTCCAGTATTGGGTACTCCTTGTGTACAGAATAGAATTGAAGGATAGTGAAGAGAACAGTCAGCATATCTGAGGTGGCAAACTGGGCCGCCTGTGGCCATTGGTGAGCTGGAAGTCTCCGGGTACTCTAGGTGATAGCAGAAGCTCACTCCTTCATACGCTGCCCGCCTAACCCAGGACAATGCGCTTTATAAACTAGATGCCCAGACTTTTTGAAGGAGTGGCCACAGGGATGTTTGGATTGACATTTAGAGTGAGACTTTGGAATGTAACATTCACAGTTAAAGATCCATGAGACTACGTGGGGATATCAGTAACTGGGAAAAAACCACTATCAATGTGAAGCCTAACTCAAAAGAGATTTGTTTGATAGAGATGATTGCTATTTTGCCTTCTTGGCTATGTTGAAAATAAATGTAAACAACCATTACAGCAGAAAAATTTATGTTTGTAATATTGTGTATCTGTCCAGTATAAAAAGTAGTGGTAAGAGGACATCAGAGGTTAATCTTCCTTCCAAGCAGATAATATATTTTCCAAGAGTACTTGTTGAAACTTCATAATGCATTTTTTTAGGGTATAAAGAAGGATAAACATCTTGGAAATTAAAAAACAAAACACTTCAAGGTCTGTCTGTGATCTGAAGTAATTAGGCACAGATGAAAGATCCATCAGAATGGATCAGAAATGAAATATTAAAGGAAACTTTTATTTTTCTTGGAGTTCAGGAGGAAAAAATGTGAAACAAATCCAGAAAGCATTTTGATTTTAGCTCTTAGAAAATAAAAATTGATGTCAATTGTGTTAAGGACAAAAAGACACTGAAAGAGATACCAGATTTATGCCAAACGGCTCTTTCTGATTATACCTGGATCATGAGATTATGGATGATTTCTTGTTTATGCTTTTGTATTTGTTAACTTTACACATTTTCCATAATGAATAAGGACGTTGTTGCTTTGCAGGAAAGAAAAAGCAAAACCAAAATATGAACCATCTTCCTTATCTCCTTTCTCCTCCCTGAAAATGCACCTCGAGGCAGGAAAAAACACCATTATACTCTTACTCAAACTAAGAACCAAGTCTTAATTGAAAGACAAGTTTTGTAAATAACAGAATGTACTTAGAAAAGGGGAAAGGTCTCTTGTATTGAGATTCGTTCTTGTGACACTGAAAATTATGATTGGGACATAGTTGTATTAAACCACAGAAGCACCTGTGGAATTAAGCATAAACCTAGTTTTGCCTGCACTCAAGGACATACACTGGCTGTTATGCATTCTTCAAACACATGAAGAAGCTTCCTGACTCGGGGCCCTTTTTTCCAGTTACACAGTGGAGTCCTCACATCAAATGCTCACGTTGCCTCCTCGGAGGGTTGGATAGCATCTCATCCCTGTCTTTCCTTTATCCAATTTGTTCTTGTATGTAGCACCTATCCTACCTATTATACTGTTCCTCTTGATATTTCCAGTACCAAGGACAATACTTAATCTATAGTAGGCTTTTAGTGAATAATTGTCAAATATGTGATTGTGTGTGTTTTGTGTAGGACATGACTCATGATGGATGAAGAAACAAATAATTACAAATCGTATGGAAAATCAGGTTTTGCTGTGATAGCATAATAGGGAAGGGATGATTCAGAAGTTCATAGGAGAACTATGTTTAAATTGTTTTGAGTAGACAGAAAATCATGCATTAGAACTAATGAAATTAGGAACCTTTCAGGTGAGCATGTGCAAAGACAGAAGCTGTGTTTGTTAAACCAGTTTGTTTTTCTCTTTCTTTTTTTAAGCCATTTAAAGTTTTGGCAACTGAAACTATAAGTCACAAGGCATTAGATGCAGACATACACAGTGCAATTCCAACAGAAAAAGTGGATGGAACATGTTGTTATGTTACTACCTACAAAGGTAAAATAAACCTATAATGTTTACTCCAAGTATACTTATTTTTCTTTCTTTTCAAACCTTACAGATCTGAAATGGGCCATTTGCTCTTCATAAACCCTTAGAAAGCTAGTATAGGAGCAAAATACAAAGGTTACAATTGTTATTTATTACATCCTTGTTTTTTTTCTCTTGAGGGAGGAAAGGAAGGTAACTAATATGTTCTTAGTACTTTTTAAGGGTCTGGCAGTATGATAAATGGCTCATATATGTTGTCTCTAATTTTCGCAATAAGTCTCTCCTTATCACAGATAAGGAAACAGTCTCAGCCAACTTAATTTGTCCAAGGCCATACAGTTAATAATTGCCATACTGGAAAGAGAACATTGGTTTGTCTGAGCCTAAAACTTGTTGTCTTTGCTGCTTCCATTGGTTTTTATTATTATTGGTAGGTAATCTCATTAATTTCATTTTACTGTAATTTAAAAGAGGTAAAAATTCAAACTAGTTGTCAACTATGTTAAAGGAAAAAATGCCTTGAAGAGAGAAAAAGATTCTTTGTGTTTGCTCTGGGATTCTCAATTCCAACAAAAGAAACAACAGTTAAATGGGCATCCAGATATATTTCTTGAATCAGAAATCTCTTCTGAAATGTATTTTAGAAAGTTTTTTTAGCAGTGGTAAAAATACACTCTGTAAACATTTTAAGATGGTGTGCATTTAGTGGTGTACAGTATATTCTTATTATTGTGTTACTGTCACCACTGTGCATCTCCAGAGCTCTTTATTCTTGTAAAACAAACTTTTTACCCACAGAGAAACTCCCAGTCCTCCCTTCCCATCTCTTGTAACCAGCATTCTACTGTCTTCCTGAAATTGATTACTCCAGGTACCTCGTATAAATGGAGTTGTTGCCTGTCTTTTTGTGACTCATTTTCCTTAGCATGATGTCCTTAGGATTGATCTGTATTAGCGTAGATCAGAACTTCATTCTTTTTAAAGCTAAATAATATTCCATCGCATGTGGACAGAACATTTTGTTTATTCAATCACTGATGGGACACTTGGGTTGCCTCTGTTTTGGCTGATGTGAATAATGCTGCCATGAACAGAGGTAAATAAATATCTCCTGAGGCCCTGCTTCCAGCTGGGTTGTGAATCAAGTGGAATTACTGGATCATAGGCTAATTTTTATTCTTTGAAGAGACACCATTACATTTTTCATAGTGATTAAACCATGTTACATTGCCACAGTGTATAAATATTCCAATTACTCCACGTACTCCCTAGCATTTGTATCTTTTTTAAAAAGTAGTAGCCATCCTAGTGGATGTAGTAGAATGCATTTTTTGTTTACTGGTAAAAAGAACAAAAGATACTTTCAACCTAGCTAATAAGTAATACAGAATATCTGAACCAATAGTGATTAATGTTGTATAAACTTCTGATATATAGGTTTGAAGTAAGATTTTTTTTTCATGTTAGTTAAGAAACTTTAGTGTGCATCCTTATGTAATTATGCATGATAGCTGAAGGCTGGAGTTTTGTGTGTTTTTTTGTTTTTTTTTTTTTTTGGTACCTGGGATAGAACTTGGACCTTGAGCTTGTGAGGCAGGTGGTGGCACCACTGAACTAAATCCCCGGGGAGGGCTGGAGTTACAACCGTTAAAAAGTAAGGATGTGTATGTGTATAGAAGCCAAGAACTGTTCTACAGCGAAGAGACTGAAGAGGCCAGGGAAAGGTGTTTTTTCCTCATTTAAAACCCTAGTAGGACAGACTTTCTCAGGTCAGGTACCTCTGATGTATACAGGAACTCTCTGGAACCAGGGACTACAAAATAGACCTGCAGAAGGACTGCTGTATTTTCACTGGTCACGTAAGGCATCTTCCTACTAAGTAACCAGACTCAGCAGCAGAGCCCTTCGGTAGTCTAATACCAGGCCCAAGTCATCATTCGCACTCTTAGCAATAAGGAAAGCTGGCACAGTGCTGTGAAAGTCCTCAGAGCCACGATGACAAAGCAACACCATTAATCAGTATGTTTGATGCCTTGACCTAGGGATCGTTAGCATGCAAAGCTGGTCAACTAAGTCCAGATCTGGCAGAATTAACCCTTGCAAAATAGTGTAAGTTCAGGGGAGTGTGAATACAGTTACCTGGCTAAGTTTCCATTTTCAATAGCGGTATTTCAGTTTCTCATAAATGGTGCTTACTAATATGACTATAGAATGTGTTAAAAAAACGATTGTGTGCTTTTTATTTCATCCCCATCGTTTAGCTAAAGAAGTTCAGGTCCTGCTATAGGTAATCTGTGTCTTGGACTGCCTATTCCTCTTTGTCTTCTAGGATTGCTGCTTTGTTTAGAGAGAACCTTACTGTTTTCTGAGAAATTGTACATGTCTTTCAAGATAAATTTTGTTTGCCTCTTACACGTTTCCTTTCATTATTACTGTTTTTAGATCAGCCATACCTTTGGGCTCGGCTAGATAGAAAACCCAACAAACAAGCTGACAAAAGATTCAAAAATTTTCTGTGTTCCAAAGAAAACTCAAAAGGTTAGTTGGGTTTTTTTCTTTTCTTTTTTTTTGGTACCAGGGATCGAACTTGGGACGTTGTGCTTTCGAGGCAGGTGGCAGCAACCACTGAGCTAAATCCCAGGCCCTGTTTTGTTTTTTTTTTAAATAGCTGAAATTTATGGTTTATCTGTTGCTATACTATTTCTATACACTATATCCTAGATAAATTAAGCAATTTTAGGGGAAAATATTATTATTGAATGTTACATATAAAAGAATATTCTTTGTATGTAAATATTTAAACATATTTCCCTAATACATATTTTTGTGACTTTGAGTCTGTTTTATTAAAAGTACAATATTAGAAAGAGAGATATATTTTATTTGCATAAGAAACATGCAATTTCATAAATCAGGCAAAATCTAAAAGAAAAATTAATATTGTTAATTAGTACATTAAGATGCCTTTAAAGATATATAATAGCTATATATTCATTGTGTATCTGTTCTCATTCATATAAATTATAAATACATTTCTAACTTCATGCACTCAAAATTCATTAATCTACACAAAATGGAACACTGGCTACTTCTTATTGACTCTTATACACAAATGATGGTATATTCAAAATTTAAAATGTTAGTAACCTAACACTGAGAAATATAGTCACGTTGTGGTGGTAATGAATGGAGAATACTTATGTTAAAGATTATTTGTTCTTTTTAGAATTTCTTTGGAATATTGAGGAAGATTTCAAACCCGTTCCTGAGTGCTGGATACCAGCAAAGGAAATAAAACATCTGAAGGGGAATCCAGTGCCTGATGAAAATGGACACATTCCTGGTAGGGTGAAATCTCTTTGGAAATGGAATTTTCTGTCTACTAACAGAAAGAATCAAAGGTCTATTCCAGTGGTGGCGAACCTATGGCACATTTTTAAGACAAAAGATGTTAATGTATGAGTTGTTTTTTCTAAACTAAAACCTCAGTATTCAGGTTTAATTACAGTGTTGCCACTTTGTGATAAATAAGTGGGTTTGGGTTGCAGTTGGGGCCCTCATCTCTAAAAGATTCACGGTCACTGGTCTCTTCAATCAGAAATTGCAGAATTCAATTTTAATCTAGTTCCTCCTGTATATGTATACTGCAAATTTTCTAAATCAAATTTATGTAAAGTCTAACAGTTTATATCAAAGATCTTTCATGTCAAGAATATTCTCTTGAGTTTACAATCTTTTAAAAAAAATTTTTTGTGACAATAAAATTTGAGGCTGAAGGTATAGAGTGGGCTCAGATCTTAAAGCCCCTTGTATTTTCTAAGGAATTTTAAGTTATTCTGAAGATAATGATTATAAAGCAGGAGAACAGCAAAACTAAATTTAAATTTTAGAAACAGAACTATGATAAAGTGAGGTGGTTTTCAATGGAGGCTACAGACTGCTAAGAAGTTACTACAGTAATTGGGTGAGTAATGAAGGCCAAATATGTGGTCACAACTGTATAAATCTCCTAGTTTCTTTTTTTGCAATGAATTCATTACAATGAGGGGTCTGTTCTAGCAATAAGAAAAGGAAAATACCAATACCATTCAATAGATGTGGTATCAGTTAACTTGTTCAATATATATTGGGAAGAATTCAATAGGTTTTGGAACACTTAACTGTAGATCCACTGTCTGTGAAATTGGAGAGAAAATACAAAAAAACGTTTTAATGCCATGTATAGAGTGATGGTCAGTTCTTCCTGAATCAAGTTGAATTTTCTAGTTAGAATGTTGGGTGTTCTACAGTGGAATAATCAAACAGGTCAGTTCAATAATTGTGAACGTGTGGCATGCGTGTTGTGTTTTTATTGTTTTTCTTTTAAGACAAGAGATGTTAATATATGAGTTTTTCTAAACTAAAACCTCAGTATTCAGGTTTAATTATAGTGTTGGCACCGTGTGGTATGTAAGTGGGTTTTGGGTTACAGTTTGGGCACTCATCTCTAAAAGGTTTGCCATTACTGGGTTAATTTCTCAATAGAATAAAAAATGAATGCTTTCTAATTAAAAAGAAGTAAAACTGTTAATTTTCTCAGTGTTTTTTAAATAAAAGGACAATTTACTACAGAAATCAAAGTTGCCTTTATAGCCAGGGATTTAGCTCGGTGGTTCTGCCGCCTGCCTCGCAAGCACAAGGTTCTGAGTTCGATCCCTGGAGCCAAAAAAAAAAAAAAAAAATTGCCTTTATTGTCAATCCAAAGAAAACCAGTATAATAAAAGTTTTTTGTTTTCTTTTTAAATAATAGGTTGGGTACCAGTAGAGAAAAGCAACAAACAGTATTGCTGGCATTCCTCTGTAGTTAATTACGAATTTGAAATTGCCCTGGTACTAATGCATCATCCTGATGATCCTGGACTTTTGCAAATTAGTCCAGTGCCATTAACAGATCTCTTAGAACAAACATTGGAACTCATAGGAACAAATATTAATGGAAACCCATACGGTGAGTGAAGCCTTTTCCTTATTCAGTTATAGCAGCTGTTATTTGTAGAGAACATTCTAGGATCAACTTAAAAAACACATATGACAAAACTAAAAAATTTGAGTTAATTTTCTAGGATTACATCCATTTTTGTTAATTTTATGTACATGGAAAAAATTATGCATGACTTTGATGTGATTTATTCAAACAAAAGGTTGATTTTTGGCCTATCTTCTTTTATTTTGATAGTATGACAGAACTGTGCAGGAAAAGTAATTACTCGGGTAACTTTTCATTCCTTTTTAAATTTAAGTGCGTTGCAGTGATTCAGAATGCACTTTTTGTGGTTAGGTAGTCATTTTTGCATTAATGAAAATAATCATGAATAAGGTAAATAATCAGCAATGAATCCACATGTACACCATGAGGGTCGGTGTATACTGAGGGTCCCATGGCTTACACTATTGACAGGAGAGGGGACAGACCTAAGGACACTGGGGATGTAACATCACAAACAGACTGATGACAGCCAAGTCTAAACCTAAGACAGTAATTATACAAGGTTCCAGAGACAAGATGCAGCTATTTGGCAAACATTAACGATAGCTGAATGTGGCTAATGGTGTAGAGGTGGACAGACTTTTTCTACCAAAGGCCAGACAGCAGCATTTTACGCTTTGTAGACCACACCTCTGAAATGGGCTTGTCTGCTTAAATGGATGGATATTCCTCTGAAACTTTACAAACACAGATATCTCTCTAGACTTGGTTTGAAAGTCATAGTTTGCTAACTCCTGGTTTATAGTACACATAGGTAGAATTTAGATTTCTTGAAATAAGATGCCACATTTGAAAGGGATTCAATAGATTATATTCTCTTCAAGGAACATCATTTAAGCCTTTTAAAAAAAATCTCTTTTAAAAAGAGTTTGCCTACACTTTAAATGTTTAAAAGACTTTATCTGAAGAAGTACATTTTCTCACTCATCTTGAAAAGTTCCTTTGAGTGTGGCTAATGGCAAATTTTACTGTTTAGGTTTAGGAAACAAGAAACATCCAATACATCTTCTCATACCACATGGAGCATTTCAAATAAGAAATCTGCCTAGATTGAAGCACAATGACCTGTTGTCCTGGTTTGAAGGCTGTAGAGAGGGTAAAATTGAAGGAATTGTATGGCATTGCAGTGATGGCTGCTTGATTAAGGTAATAACAAAAATATAGCTTGTGTTGGGTTGTCATCTTTATGTTCCTACAGCAAAGAAGTGGCACTAAAAATCTCTGTACAAACTCCAGCAGTTCTAATTGCAGAAATGTAATTTTCTCATCTCACATGCCACCATTCTTTGTATGCTCACACAGTGTTTCTGAATGGGTATTCTGTGGGCTGTTGGTTCTGTCACATATGCTTCAAATTAATGTGATATTGCCTACCCTGCTCTTGGAAATTCACGTTGCACAGTAGATCTAGTTAAGACATCCTGTACCTGGTTTAACTCAACATCTCCCAAACTTCGTGATTAGTTTGTAGAATGAAGAGTAGTGCCAAGATAAGAACTGATATATACAGAATGAATTATCTTATACTTTGTGCCCTTTCTACCTGTCCCCAGACCTATTTGATTTCTCACAGGTACATGGAATTCATAATGTTCAAAACTGAATTTAGTCTTGATCCTCAGCTCTACACAATTCAGTGAAAAGCTTGGATATTAGCCGTGGTACCTTGGTTTATGAGCTTAATTTGTTTTATGATTTGGGGGGATATGCCTGTGTTTGTGTTTGTGTGGGGAAGCTGGCCATGGTCGTGTTTGTCACCTGATGCGGAATTTGCACACTGAACTGAATTGTGTGCAAACGAAAGTGTTTGTGAACTGAGGTATTACTGTATTCATAACCCCTATTACTTCCTTTGTCCACTTATCAGTTCTTAAAGATTCCTACCTATTGAATATATGTACTTCTTGTCAACCAATTGACTTCTAATTTTAATTTAGGCCAAGATTCATGCTTGAATTATTGTATTGTCTTAAACATTATCTTTCAGTTTTATCCCTGTCCTGTCCTTTCTTCACAAACGAGTAAGAGTATTAACTTCCCTGAATAAAACTGCTTAATTACGATAGCCCCTGATTAACTTTCCAGAACTGCTTTCTATTCCTGCCCCCCAAAACATATTCACCTTGTGTGTGTTCAAGCTGTGTTTAACTAACTGCAACTGGAGCCAAAAGCACCATTTTATCACATAGTATTTCTTTTGGTATGAATCTTCTCTCATATTTTTCTAGGTAGCTAGCTTCTATAATCAGCCACAGTCTCTTATTAATTAAATTTTTATAGTGCTTATAGTCAAATTCTTGGTATATTTCCAGGTGCTATAAATACATACAGTCACTAGAACAATGGCTGCCTTTACAAAGCTCATACTCTAATGGGGAAGACAGATTAAAAACATGTAAATATGTAATATGTCAGGGAAAGGACAGCTGGAAAAAAACATACAATAAAGTGGAGCCTTACTCAGTGCCTGACAGGATAGTAGGCACCCAAAATAAATACTTCTGAGCTGGTGAAGATGATATTTGTAGACTAACGCTAAAAGCTAATACCCTTTTTTTTCTATACAGGTACATCGCCATCATCTTGGTTTATCCTGGCCAATTCCAGATACTTACATGAATTCAAAACCTGTTATTATTAACATGAACCTGAACAAATATGACTATACCTTTGATACTAAGTGTTTGTTTAACTATTTTTCAAAAATAGATAATCAGAAATTTGGTAGACTCAAAGACATAACTCTTGATGTATAAAATGGAACTCCAATTAAAATTAGCTTTACTGTTAATATTCCAATCTTGAATATTCTGCCATGCTAAAAAGGTAAAAATATTTCAAGATTCCTATTATTAACTGTGAAATATATCAATATATCTTCTAGCATTTGAAGAATTGAATTTTCTAGTAGCAAATACCTGCTTAAAAACTTTAGAATCAATACATTAATTTTTGGTAATGAATGATAAACTCCCAAGCTTTTACAAAGGTTATATTCGGTTCACTCTAAATGGGTGCTAATTTAAAGACCGTTGAACCAACAATTTTATCTGTACTTTAAATCAAGCTCAATTTAAGTTTGCTAGACATTCAACAAGTGTATGGCTTAACCTCATAACTTAATGTGTACTTTTTATGTATGAATATATGTAAAATATATATTTATAGGTTTAGGAATTGAGACTTTTAATACATAAAAGTTATATATAAAATTCTAATTTTAAATGTTAAAATTATTTACCTTGTTAATATTTTAAGAAAACTGGAGAGATTATGAATGTAAATTCACCCTTGTTCATTGCCTATTTTATGGTCACAACTTATTCTAAAAATCTTCAAAAATATATTTTTCTAGTAATTTAAAAATTCCATATAATTTTATTTGCTAAAACTCTAAGTAAAAATATGAAGTGTTAAGAAATAAATTCTTTAGTTCAGACTAGATTTCCAGATGAAATTTTAACATATAAAATAAATAAATAGCTAAATTAGATTATAATTACACATGGCCCTTAATAAATGGGGAAATTAATGGGACTTTCCTGTTCATCTTCAGACTGTTCAGAAGCAGCAACAGGGCTAGTTAATTCAACTCCAAACTGTTCAGAAAGCTTTTTAAATTTTTCTTCCAAGAGAATATTTTTTTTCACTTCTTCCTTGTAATTATACTTCAGATCTTCAATTTCTTCAAAAAATGAAGGATCAAAGTTTTCTAGTTCTTTTTTCAGCTTTCTTATTTCCTCCTAATAGAAAGAGTGTCTTTTTAAAAGTTACACGTAAGAGTACATGTTTAAGGTTTGAACTAAAGAAGTTTAATGATAAACATAAAAGCCACAGTAACCTACATAGTCAAATACATTCATAAAGGCAGAAAAATTTTCATAAGATTTGCTAATAAGGTTTTATTGTGCAGTATAAGTAACTTGTTAACTGCTACATCAAATTATCTTTCTATAAATGTTTTTCTAGGGTTTGACTAAAATTTACTAACATTCTGGTGAAATTTAATCTTTCTCTAAAAGTACATCAGGTACTTTCAATGAGGCATTGGAAAAGAACTATTATTCACATTTTAGTTATTCTGGTTAAGATTTTTTGGTTTAGGCCTCATTTGTATTTTCTTTATAAATACTGACTTTTTAATGAATAATGCTCAACTTTTTATAAATGTATTCACGATCAGGGAAAACCTAGAACTTCTGCCTGGTTAAGTCAGGCCTGTGGTGAAGACAGAATTTGAGCTTTAATGGTATACACAATAGCCAGTGATCAGGCATCAGCTAATTCTCAGATTAAGGCCCTTTTGTTCTGTTCACAGAGTATTAAAAAAGGTAAAGTGTAGAAAACATTTGTAAGGGAGCTATCACTTTAGAAAAAGATTCCTCAAAAGAGTATCAAAAGGTATTTAAAGACATTGTTCCCAATGTGACGTAAAACTTAAAAAAACAAAATATTACTGAAAAAGTGTACAAAGCTATATTTGTTAAAAAATAAATTTACTTTCTAATTCTATTTGTTTTGAGTATTTTGTTAGCTCTTACTTATCACATTTTTAACACAAACATAATGAACTTTGCAATATCAAGTGAAATAAAATGTATTTCCACACATTTTCAGGATACATACTTAAAACTAAAAAGATAATGATCATAAAAATTGTCGTCCACAAAACATTTATGTTTACCTTCAAATGCTGCCTTTCTAGATCTGATATTTTGAGCTGTGTCTCTAGATCTTTTATTGTTTCCTTTAATTGATCAGCATCTGATAAAAAAAATTAAAAAGACTCAGGTTTTTCCTCTTAAGTTCACATAAAGGATTTGTTTAAGAAAATAAGCAGAAAACTTATGAAAGCTACAGCATTGAAAATATGTCATTTTATGGCTGAAAAACTTTACAGGCTGTGAATACTAAATGGTATCTCTGTTAGGCATGTCATAGCAAGGAAAAAGAGAAAAGTCATTGCAAGTAAAGAATAAGTCTAACTTTTTACATAGGAGAAATTCTTATTTTCAGAGAAAAATTCTACAACCAGTACAACGTACAGAAGAAAAACAGATGCTTACACAAGGGGTTAAAACCAGAAGCTGGCCAAATGCTCCTTCTACCCAACACAAAACTGGCTATTCTATATAAGTCAGTATACATTAACTGTATAATTACTGTGTACAGAGTGTCCAAGGCAGGATGTGTGATACAAAGATAAATATGACATAACTCTTGATACTATGGTAGGAAAACAAAAATTCACAAATACCAACACAAAAGTTCTAATATGCTGGATCCTCTTCACATGCTAACGTACCTCTTAACTTTATAGTTATGAATCAATAGGCAAATAGCCTTTCAGATCTAATGACATCTTTGTTAGAATCATCTTCTCTAAACACTACATACACTGTGTCATGTCACGTGTAACCACTGAAGTATAAAACTCTTTGATGTTAAAGTTTGAGAAAACCAGGCAGAAAACAGATTTGCATGACTCAGACAACAAGCATATTCATTACGCAGTCCCTGCAATGGTCCTCTAAGTATAACAAAGAGACAGATGGAGATTTAAAATAAAAAGGACGGCCAGGGATTTAGCTCAGTGGTTTCATCGCCTGCTGCACAAGCGCAAGGACCCAAGTTCGATCCCCAGTACCATAAAATAAAAAGAACGAAGGAATTATTTTTCTAATGGTAATTAGAAGCCACAGCAAAATCACACTTCTTAAAACTCCCTTCACAGAAAGTGCTAAGGAGTTCTTAAAAGTTAATTCTTAATCAGCAGGCTATTATACATATATATTCCACAGACGGGTAGACAATGCAGGAAGAAGGGAATTACCATGTGTAGCATCTTTTGAAAACTATTCAGTGGTCACATTTAAATGGTGATTGAGAACTTCCAAAACAGATTTGGTTTGATTTTTGAGGCTTAATCTTTTGAAATATAGAATATCTTTATCTCTTCACTTAGAAGATAAGCAACATTAAGTAGTCAGAAGTTCACTGAGAAAACATTTATAGAATAGGGGCTCTTTTGTGCAGTCTAGTACACCAAGGGGCTGCAGTTACTAGAGATACATATCAAAAGATTAATGTCTTTATTTTTAGGTACAAGAGGCAGTGTAGCCTAGTGGTTAAGAGAAGGGAATATCGAGGATTTGACATTTCATTAGAATTGTTTTACTCTTTTTTAAAATTGTTTTACTCTTGCCTCTGCCACTTCCTAGAGGTCATGATTTTGGGGTCACATTAGTAACTTCATTGAATCTGTTTATCACATGGGAAAATGAAGACAAAAGTACTTATCTTGAACATAAGAATAAAGCAGAATACTTTAGCACGTAGCACAGTGTCTGGTGTCAGTCATACACAGGGCTTTAATACAAAGCGGAATCAGGACTACATAGGATACTGAAAAACGTTATATGAAATAGTTACAGATTCAGATAAAATTGGTATAATTTTTTAGGGTAGAATTTGGTACTTCAAGCCATCAGATAATAGCATAACTAGGTTAGAAGGTTCATCACAGATTTTATAGCAGAATCTTAATCACTTACCAGTTGAATTATTTAAATTCAGGATGACCAAAACTTGTAAATATTTTGTTAATTTTTGTAAGATTACAGGAAATATAAAAACAATTTTACAAAATTTATTTAATATAAGAATCGTGTGGCTGTCGGGATAGTATAAACAAATGCACTGCCTGAGTGATGTTCTAGGTAAACAGTTAAGTGGTTAAAATCTAAATATATCAAAAGGCAAATGGCTAAATATATTATCTGTACAATAATAAAATACAGAATTATTAAAAGACTGAGAGATACAGACTTCAAAAGATGTCCACAGCAAACTGTTAAAGGCAGTAAACTATAAATAACAACTGTGGGGTGTAGCTCAGTAGCAGACCACTTGCCTAGCATGTGTGAGGCCCTGGGTTAGACCCCAGCACCACACATGCACATACATATGCACAGCTAGAGATATGGGATGAATCCCATTTTACATCATCCTCCAAGAAAACATCTATATGCATACATACTACACAGGTCTATGCTCTCTCCTCACAGCAGGTATATCCTATAAAGCCGGCACAAACACTAATTAGTGAGTATCCAATCATCATTATTCCTAAGGGAAATGTGACACTCTCACACTCAGACATACAACACCCCTGATAAATTATGATCTCAAATACTAAAAACAAGTCATTCTGGTAGATTCTATTTTTACAAAAGAGGAAACAAAAATGTTAAGGGACTCTAGAGCATCCCACACTGCAGTGGCTGCCCCTTACTGTTTCTGTCCAGTGGTCATTTCTACATAAAAATTGAAACAAGGATGTCGAGCATTGCCTAACACATGGACATCAGCTGGAAATACACAAACTAGATTATTCAAATGCTTCACTGAATCATGTCTGCAAACCTACCATGAGTACTGAGTTTTGAGGTTACAAATGTTTTAGTCAATAGGCAAATTTGTAAATATGGAGTCCTCTAATGGGGAATCCATTGTACACTGTGTATATATGTATATACATACAGACACATTTTGTATATGTATATGTGTGTATGTGATATCTGTTAGATCTGTATATGTGGATCTGTGTATGTGCGTGTATCTGCATGTACATAGGAATAGGGGAATAATTAGTATTCACTACTGAATGGGAATGGAAGGACAGAATTTCTACTTTGCAATAGGAAAAAAGAATTTGTACAATGCCTACTTGTTTTTAATTTTTAAGAACAACAAAGTAACAATTAGTAATATTTAAAAGAATTAGCTCAGTGTTTTTGCCACCTGATGCGCAAGTGCAAGGACCCGAGTTTGATCCCTGGTACCAAAAAGAAAAAGAAAAAGAAAATGTTTACAGGGATTGACAGGGCCTATATGTACAAACCAGAAGTAACAGACCTAGTATTCATTTCTTAGCACTCTACTGTGATTAAATCTGTAACATCTGGTGGAACATGAGAAAAGTGCATACTTGCTACTCAACAATATAAACGGACCGGAATGGGAATATTTTTGCATTTTATTTTTTTTTGGTACCGGAGATCGAACTCGGGTCCTTGCGCTTGTGCAGCAGGCGGCGAAACCACTGAGCTAAATCCCCGGCCTTGAATGGGAATATTTTTATAGCATGGGGAGACAACAACTCTTAAAGGTTCCTATCAGGGATTTGGTTTTACAAGGAGACAATTATTAGAAATCTGAACAGAAAAGGTAAATTCTAATTAAAAAACATGGGGTAGCTAACAAGTCTTAAAAAAAATACATTACCAGGAATGGTGCTTTCAGCTCCACTTTGGTCCTTGTTTACTTCTAACTGATGCATTAATTCCACTTTTTCTTTATCCAGTTGACTATAGGCTAATCTGGAACACAGTGACGTATTTTTTAAAAAGCCAACAGACATCACTTCACAAAATGCATGAGCATTTCTTAAAAAGTAGTGATGTACAATTCTCAGAATATTAATATTTATGAAGGTAAGCATTTATTCACTTTCTTTCTCAAACATTTTCAAACAGCATGGGATCAAAAGCCACCAACATCTACCCTGATGTTTATTTCAAGAGTAGTTTTCTTACAAGAAGGGCCCAATGAAAGTGAGCTACAGAGACTCTTCAAAGTAAAGAATTGTCTTTTAGTATCTGCCTCTGGAAAATGATGGTTTAATCCAACTGTGCCATTAGTAAAGTTTAAATTACCAGTGCGAAACATTAGGATTGGGTATATATCCTGTTTCAGTATCTAGTATGTAACAGAGAAACTGGCATTAGAAGGATGAAATAAGGACCTAACTTTTTAAGCAGCAAAGGTGAAAGTGTCTAGTCTTCAGCTATAGAAAACCTAGTTATATAAAAGACAATTTTAAAAAAGAAAGAAAAAAAATAAAGTAGTCACATGAACACAGAATGTACCTAAGAAGCTGCAGCTCCCGTTTAAGGCCTTCCTTTGTCTCAGCATCTTCAGGGACATGCTTGAGAATCTCAATCTTTGGGCACAATGAAGTTAGAAGATAAAAGTTTAGGGTAGAAATATGAGGTTTTATAATGATACAGATTTTTAATGAGTTAAAATAATAAAAATGATTTTCAAGAGCACATAAAATCGTTTCTATGTTCTATTCACTATTCATTTATTCAACAATCACTTATTAACTACTGCATGGTAGTCACTGTCCTAAGTCCTGAGGACATAGCAATCAACAGAACAGCCAGAGTTCCTTTTTCCATAGTCTACATTTTCAGTAAAGGAAAATGAGGATGTGACACAAGGCTAAGATGGATACACTCACTGTATATCAGTGCAAGATGGGAGAAAGGCTGATCACAAATGACCCAGGGTGAGGACAGTGATGGAAGGTGAGGGTTAGGGACAGTCTCTCACCAAGATCCCTCACTGAGGCAAAGACACGAAGTGTGGAAGTGGACTGTGAGAATACTGGGTGAGCAGTACTCTAAACAAAATCAAATGCAAAGCTCTGTTCAAAAGACAAAAAAAAAAATCAGTTACTGTGGCAAAAACACTGATAGAAGGAGAAAATGGTAGAAGATAAAGACGAGAGAAAAATCTAAGTGTCAGATTAAACCGATAGGTTTACAGGCTAGGAACAGACTTTACTATGAAGTTTTATTCTAAGGCGATGAAGAACCACTGGAAGATTGAGGCAGGGACTGGTATTTTGCTTTACACTTGAAAAAGATTACTGACAACCGTGTGGAAAACAGACCAAAGATATGGAGAACTTTGTAAAATGATGGCAAGAGCAGGTGTCAAGAGACCAGGAGACCAGTTAGGAAATTACCGAAACTGTTTGAGTAGGAGATGACAGTTTGCAGAAGAATGGCAGTGATGGAGATGCTGAGAGGCAGTCAGATTTGGGATATATTTTGAAAATACAGCTGGTATGATTTAGTGATCAAAGTGATGTGGGGAATGACAGGAAGAATGAAGTCAGTGATTCATAATTTCTGGCTCAAATAAATGGGTGAAATGATGGTGCCATTCAGTTAGATGAGACTTCTCGGGGAGAAAGTAAGATTTTTTTTTTACTTAATACAAAGATTCTCTTGAGATATAACACATTATTTTATCATATAAAGAAAAATTATGTGACATGCCTGTTGTTCAAGGTCTTCAGTGTATTTCTTAACTTTTTGTTCTCTCTCTGTTGCTTCTCTTACAAGCTGTTTAAGGTCAGTAATGGTTTGATTCTTTTTGGCAATGTCAGTTTCCAATTCTTTCAGCTTAGTTTCATACATTCTAAAAGTATAAAGGAAAAAAAAGTACAGACATAGTATGTAATTTCTCATTAATTTAAGTCAGTTCAAATTATTACACTAAAAAGCAAGAATATCTTACTAGAGTCTCTTCTAGTCAAACCATTTTCCTTTTTAGCTACATAGTAATTTAGCACTAAAAGGTGATAACAGGGATAAGTATCTCTATTTAACAAATATGCTAATTAAAAGAGAATATCTAGGTGTTTCCCAAAATTATGAATAAGGATGGAGTCTGACGACTGTAAAGTTTAGTGTAAAAGTCACAAAACAAAAAAATACAGTCAAATTCATCAGAATATCAAATTTGTATTAGTAGAAATCATTAGGAATACAAAGATGGCAGAAAACTTTCTCATGCATAGACACAGAAAACTTTTTTCATATATACACACAGATGAGGTATCCATCTAGGAAAAAACAAAACACAAAACATTGTAGCAGAAGTAAAAATTTGACCAAAAGCATGGGTGAGAAAAACAGTGGATGCATGATGTGGGAAAAATGAAGCATGTGAAAATCTCAAAAGTTAAAAAAAATCCATATGACAAAGTAAATTTTCAGAAAATTGAGCCAAATACTTCTGTAGCGATATCATACCTAAACAAAGATAATGCTTGTAATATTCAAATTGTCCAGAACAAGGGAAAGGGGGGAGAGTGCCTTTCTGTTAAGTTAAAAGGGCTAGTAGTACTTATTCTTTGGTAACAAAATTTGGTAGAAACAGTTTAAGCAAGAAAAATTATGATTACCTAAATATACTCAAATAACTTTTTAATAGACCATAGAAGGCAATGTTCGTAACTTGAAAAGACTGTCTGCCAAGGATAAAGGTAAAATACAAGATGCTCATTCCTTCACTCCATCCACTTCGCTGTTCAAGCCATCCAAGCAGAGAGGCCTTCTCCAGTGATGCCTCCACATCACCCGGGTCTGTCCCAAGGACAGCATAAGGTGTGACGCAGGGTATATGTTATTAAGTTTGTTGAGCAGAGAATAGCTACTACAAGTGTTTCAGCATGAGGAAGACCACCTGTGTCATGGATCCCAAGAGACAGCTCTAAAGTGCTTCACTGAACTGAATGTATAATCTCAGTTTAAGACTATGGCAATTTTTTTTTTTTTTTTGGCCCAGGGCAGGGAGTAGATTCAGGGAACCTAGAAGTAAAGAATCAGAATGACCTTTTTCTCTGTCAAGAAACTTCTATTTTGACTTTTTTTTCCTTGAGAAAAGCATTCTCTATGCACAGTTGCACTGGCAGTTCTCAGATTAACAAAACATAAATGATCTAAACTGTAAAATCATCTCCAATTATGATTAATATCTTCATCTTTCTTCTCAACTGTTTATAAGTCTCATTAACCTCTTTTGTAGCTTCAGAGAACCTTTTTAGGAGAGGAATCATCATCTCCACAGATTCAAATATCTTGAGCCATAGAAGATATAAAATTTAGTCAAAGTCACAGTAAGAATTAGTTTTTTCTAAGCCATGGAAGTTACCCAGCTCTCCAAAGGAACCCAGGCAAGACAGGCCTTTTTGACATAACACCCAGCATGAAGGACAGATCCTCACAGTAGCAAGTACTAGGTAAATATCTGCTGAGCAAATACATCTCAAAGTAATTCAATATTCTTTCTGAAAACATATGTGACTGAAGAAGAAAATAAAGGATGAACCAAAACATTCCCTGATAGCGTTGGTAGCTGTAAGCCACTGCTGGTATCTGAGAAGACAAAAGGATTGATTGGTTTTCCCTCCATACTAATATACTTGTTATTTTCACACTGACACTAAATTTTGGGCATAATTTAATTATTTTCAGGATGTAGATGGGAAAAATGAGGGCTAAAGGGGAGAAGGGTAGATTCTGACTCCTCTAGGTATAGTGTCTCCATAGGAACCAAGGACTCCTCCAGGACCATATAGCTGTCTAGGCTGCCCCTACTACACCTGCTCAATCTTTCTTTTCTCCTTAGACTCAGCTGAGGGCTAGTACAATACGGCCAGTCCACCACAGTGTGACCTTTTAGTCTCACAGTGCTAGTAAGACTCCCATCCTACTGTAGTGATGGTGGATACCATCTTGCCTCCAATCAAGGTCATTCCAAATAGCAGGTAGGGCAGACGTAGTCCTCAAAGACGTCAGAGAGGAGACTAGACATGCAGAACTTTATGAAGATGGTTATGATGTAGATGAATCTGCCTTTTGAAACAAGAGGAGGAGATATGCTCATGGCAAAGAATACTGCTTTACACAGGACAACTTTGGTGGGAAAGGAAATGGCAGGATCCAACTGGTCACTTGCCTCAAGACCCTGAATCAGCAATGAGAACGACTCCAGAGCCTTTTGCCAACACATCACCATCATGATAAACCACCCATGGTGATATGAATCATGGAGATTCAAGGACACATGAATATTTACCTGTAAAATCCCACAACCACAAACATTAGCTTCACAGGCAAAATCCCATATATTTTCAGGAAACGTTCACAGTATGGGAGAAGAAAACAGGCTAGACTAAAACTGCTGAATTCATCTACTGGGGATATGTGAAGAGAAAGCGCCCAGGTTAAAAGTCCGAAGCTACTGCGACTCAGCACAGATTGTGACAAGACAGATCACTTGTTCCCAGCTCATACCTGAAGTACAAATAAAGAAGCCGAGGCTGCAGCTGGAGAAAAACAGCACCTGGGGGAACCTGGGCAGCATCAGCCAGGCTCATGACTGACGGCAGCTTCACGACATTCGCCTGGCTCTGAGGCCTGAGCCTACTCCATCTGCTCTGTTCTATGCCCTGCCACCCCGCCCCAACTAGTGAAACACAGTAAGAAAAGGCTCTTTGGCAATGCTAGGACAGAGTATTAGCACTGTGTTAAAGTAAACAACCAAACTAGGTTGTTAAAAATAATATTCTTTGAAATCAGGGAGGTAAGGATCAGAACTAATTAAGCTTGGTACAAGTTTTAAACATTGCATTTGTTCCTACCTTGTAACAACGATTGATTTCCAGCTCTTTCTGTCAGCACCTTCAAGCTGGGGACCTTTACATTCTGCTAACTGTAATCTTTTACCAGTATCTTCTAGTTGAACTGTCATCTTCTCATTTAGTATCTCTAAATTATTCTTGGCTATCCGCAGTTTCTCTGCAGCTTCGGTTTCCTAACGTTAAAAGCTAATTAGTATATTATGACAAAACAATACTGTTCTCAAAGATGCAATGTAATTCAAAATTCCAAGTTGGAAAACAGAAAATATAGAGTTCTAAATGCTGATTAAAACTGCAATAAAAATCCATACACAATTTGATGATAATAATTACTAAGAAAGATCATGTAAATGAGGCCAGAGAAATATATTTATAAGTATTTACTCTAGCGATTACTTTTAAATTTGTCATTTTGTTCTCCATAATATTTTTAGAACAATGGGATAGTTGGTATCTTTGTACACATTTAATAAATAATGTGTTTTGATTCCCTAATTTATTTTTTTTTGTATATCCTTTTATTAGTACATTTTAGGTTTTCAATATAATGACATTCATCATTGGAGAGATGCACCTTTACGTACTCTCTTGGTTCTTATTTTTCCCCCTTCCCCTGCCCTCCCTCCAGCCCCTCCATCCCTCCCCATTTACAAAGATTTTGTTTCCATATTTTCATTTTCTCATATTAATTCCATTCCCTTCCTTCCTTTCCCCTACCCCTCCCACTTCCCCTTCCCCTCTGCCCCTTTTCTTCCTATTTCACATTATCTACTACACCTTTTAGTCCTTATTTACACTTTCAGTTTCTCACACTAGAGAAACTATTTGGTATTTACACATGTGTGTCTTGTTTATTTCACTTAAGAGTATTGCCTCAATATGCATCCATTTAGCAATAAACTTGACTCCCTAATTTAAGAGAACTGGCTATAAGCATAAATCATGTGTAAGTGACAGGTAATTTCCACTATTATACATTCATTTTTAAGCATAGATACTATCATGGTGGCATTGTAATACATGCAGTTTCTCTTCTAATTAGTTTATAATACATTAATTTCAATTTATTCAGTGGAACATCCCTATAAATAACAATGCCTACTTGTCTGGAGCAAGGAATGTATTTTGCCATTTAAATAAAAAGGAAAGGTGTGTTCTAAATCACATGAGTAAACATTAACTGGTTTAAGCCTCACAGAAGCTCTGTGATATAAATATGTGTACTATTCCCAATTTTATATATGAAGGAATTGAGAAATAGAGAGAAGTAGCTTGTCCTAATTCCCATGACCACTAAGTAATAGAGCTAGGACCTTAATTCAGCGTGAGCAGCTTCTACATTATACCACCTCTGAATGTATTTATTTTCATATTCTTAATATCCCTCATAGTGAAAGGATATAACGACAAATATAAAAACACAATACCTAAATTCCTTAACTAACTATCTACTTTGCATAGACACTGTCATTAAGGATCTATGTTGAGTTTTGCCCAGATGTCCTACTTAATTATAAGAAAAATGAATAGTTTTTCATTAGTCATGAAAGTCACACCTTTTTAAGTTCTTTACGAAGCCTTTCATTTTCAGCAACAACTTTTTCTGTGCCTTTAGTCTTAGACTCATACTGCATGCTCAACTGATGTCCAAGGTGAACTTTAAGTTTTTCTAATTCGGCCTAGTAATTAAAAAACAAACAAACAAACAAACAAAAAAAACCAAAATAAAAACACCAATCATCAAAAAAAGGAAATCAAATGAAACATCATCTTCCAAACTCATAAAATTTGCTTCAAAATAGCTTCAGTGACCCTATTTGACATGATTAGAATTGAACTCTTCCTTTGAATACTGGCCATCTAAACAGAATTTACTGACATTGGCTATTCATTAGAATGAGGTGATGACTCTACAACACAAAAGTCAAAAATGACCAACACAACACCCCTCTTAGGGACAACCTAATCAAATCAATCTCAGGGAGGGGATCTTGGGCATGTATATGTTTAAGACCAGACACAAGTAATATCTGCAGCACCAAAGCGAGACTCAATGGTCTTGAAACAAGGACGATTAAGTGGAGCCACTCTATGAATGTCCTTATATTCCTCTCCAATAAATTTTTTCTTTTAGTATAAAATATGTGCACCATCCATTAAAGCATTTTATATACTGAATTTTAAGTTTATCTAAAGTTAGTAAAAGTTAAAATATTAAAATATTTTTTAAATTACCTTTAATTTCTCATTTTCCTGTTCAATGTTAGCCATTTTTTCACTGGTCAGTATTCCCGATGCTCTTTTCAACTGTTCATTTTCTCTCTGAACCTTTTCAACTACTTTTTTCATTAAGCCAATGGTTTTTTCTAGTTCTGGGATTGTTTTTCCACTTCTACCAGACTACAAAGAACATGTCAAATTTTCCTTTAGTCAAATATTTTAGAGAATATAATATGAAATACCAACAACAACAGGCCCACAATTATACTCATTATTAATAATTCCTAAGAACTGATTCCGAATTTTGTGTTAACTCAATATATCCTTCAAAGTGTCTTGTTAAATAGGAATTATAATTTTCACTTTACATACATGAAAACCAAGACTTAGAAAATCTGATATTCCTAAAATCATGTGGTAAATAGGCAATGGCTTAAATAGTTTAGCTTTGATATCTGTCTGATCCACATGAATAAATCTAAATATTCCAATCAGTTAATGTTCTCTCAAATATACCAGGAGTTTTCTTTAGATAAAATTAAAATCACAAAAGAAATGGTTTGTGTCTTTAATGAGCTCATGAATAATTAAATTTTAACTGTAGGATTATATACATAATTTTCTTCAAGAATAGCCATTGTTTGGAAATTCAGTTTTTATCTCATATAAGCAGGAGACATATCTGAAATAAAAAACATTAAGATACTTATAGAGATGGGTCACCAGTTAATAAGCATAATTGCTTATAATTTCAAATCAAAAGCTTTAATAATTGAGTAAATCAACGTGCTTAATTTTTTCACAGTTGAATTAGTATTATTAATCAGAAAAGGTCAAACTGACACACACACTTTATTTTTTTACATATTTTATATTTAAGCTGACATTAAACTGTATTTATATTAAATTATGTATAGTATACAATGTAAATATCAGAATAAATTAAAATTTCCAAAGAAACAATTATCCTCATATTTTCAAGTGTGATAATTGTTAACGAAATTAAACCAAATTTCCTTCCACCTCAGGATATTAAATTTGCTATTTCTACTGTCTGGAGTTCTTTTTCTAGTATTTGTATGCACATGCAGTGTCATCTGGAACACAGGTTGCTGTCAGCAAGATATTTTCCAATAATACTCTTAAAATTTTCACTGAATCCATCATATATTTAAATTATTACCAGAAGGAGTTTTTGCATTATGATTGCTTTTCATTAACATGAAATCAATTAGCTTTGGCCCTTGAAGCAACATACTCACCCCTCTAAGTTTCCGTTCAACCTCTGCTTTTTCTTTCTTAAGAAATTCACACATTTCCTTCAAATCTCTTACTTGATTCTGACAGATAAAAGAAAATACATAGCAATCTGACATAGTTACACCCATTCAAAAGGACAGGCAAACAATTCATGTGAACTAACAATCTCTTTACTAGTATAGCAAACTGAACTGGATCTTTATACTAACAAAGACTATGAACTAAGACACGTATTTTGTATATCAACTTTCAAGAAAAAGTTCCACATTATTGCCTTAGTATACAATAGAACTCTAATTTTTAACTATTTTTCATTTTACTCAAGTAGATCCTTATTCATGTGGTATGAAGTAAAAGAGAACCGAACAAAGACTAAGACTAGCTAAGGCAAAGACTCCTATAACAGGAAAAGATATAGAAAACCAAAGAGTAAAAACATGAACACCAGAAAAAGTAAAATTTCTAAAAGAAACAATTACTCTCATATTTTCAAGTATGACAATTGTTAATGAAATAAACCAAGTATTCTTCCACCTCAGGACATTCAAACTTGCTATTCTTATTGTCTGGAATTCTTTTTCTAGTATTTGTATGTCTCATTTCCTTACCTCTCCCCCTAGCTCTCTGTTCATATTCACCTTTTTAAAAGAGACCTCTCTTACTACCCTATTTTAAATTGTACTTTTCCCTCTACTCTTTACCAATCATGTTTCACTTCTTAGCATTTAACATCAACTGACATACTACATATTGTCTTGTTTACCTGTTTATTGTCAGTCTTCCCCACTGGAACATAAGTTTTACAAATAAATACATTTTGATTGCTATATCCCAACACTTAGAAGTGCTGGATATAAAGTAGGCCCTCAACAAATATTTGTTATATGAGAAAGTATATACGATATACCACTACTATGGTATTTTATGAATATTTATTTTATAAGCTAATATAAGCAAGCATAATAATTATGTGGGAGGGGACAGGTTCAGGCCTTCAGTATCTTAATACAATATAGACTATTACACTTACCCTTAGCCTTGGCAAATCTTTATTTGCTTGTTCAAGCTGAAATTTCAGTTCAATATTTTCAGATGACAACTTCAAGTTTGCCCTTTGTAGCTCTTGTTCTTTTTGATAATGATCACCTGACTCTATTCCAGAAGTCTTCAGAAAAATGAAATTTGGAGTATTTTTAAAGTTTAATAAATAAAAGCCACAAAATACATACTGAATAAGAAAATACTATGTCAAAAGAGGAATTTCTTTTCAAAGTAATACAAAAAAATTGGAGTTCTAGAGAAAACTAAATAAGCTAGAACATAAAACTATCAGTAAGAAAAGTAATGTAGTTTGATTGAAACAGAAAACAGAGTCAAGTAAGACGTAAACATCCATAATAATAATGCCTTCACATATATACTCTCAAAATGATTAAGCTAGTCTATGCTGGTTTTGTTAGTTCAAAATAAAAGTTATCTTGTTTTGTGGTTGAATTATGTTCCTTGACTTTTCTAATCATATAGGTTAAAGTTATAATTTCCAGTACCTCAGAATGTGACCTCATGTCAAAATAAGGTCACTAAAGTAGACACAATCCAGTACGATTAGGATCTTTATAAAAGGGAAAGTTTGGGAATTTGAACACAGAGACATGCTTGGCAGAAAGATAATGTGGAGAGACATGGAGAAAATGGACACTGTAAGCCAAGACTGGGGACAGATCCTTCACTGAAAGACTTCAGAAGAAACCAACTCTGTCAACACCTTGATTTTGGATACTTAGCCTCCAGAACTGTGAGACCAGAAATTTTTGGTGTCTCAGCCACCGAATCTATAGTACAGTTGTCCCTCAGTAACCACAGGGTATTGGTTCCAGGACAGCCCCTCCCTCCCCATTACAGATAGCAAAATTTGTAGATGCTCAAGCCCTTTAGGTAAAATGGTATGATATTTGCATATAACGTATGCACATTCTTCTAAATACTTTAAATCATCTCTAGAATACCTGTAGTACCTAATGCAATGTAAATGCTATTCAAATATTATTTTAATGTATTATTTAGGGGACGACAGGAAGAAGAAAGTCTATACATAATCAATACAGACACAGCTTTTTTCTTCCAAATATTTCTGAGCCCTGGTTGGTTGAATCTTCACATGCAGAACACTTGAATACGGAGGGCCAACTGTATTGTTATTGCAGGCTGAACAAATATTGCAAAAACAAGTGCCTCCATTCCTTTCTCCTTCAGAAATCATTTCCTCATTTCTTGAACTAAAGTAACCACTCCTCTGAAATGCACTGCACTGCATTTCTCTTGGTATGAATCTACTTTGGGTTCTTTATGTTCATTTTCTAAAATTTATTTATTTATTTATTTATTTTTATGTTCATTTTTACTTCTTATTCTGAACTATAAAACTTTTTTGAATGAGAAATATGTGCGTATTTTTTCTCCAGATTGAGCAGAATACCACCTACTTCATATGACACATGTGAAATAATTTTGTGACAATACTCAGCATAGATTCAGTTTCTTTTTTCCAATTTTTCTCTGTCTACTGGCTCCATGGGCTACGAAGTCAGTAACACCAGACATTATAATTATTAAAATATTATATAAATAATATACCTATGATACACACTTCTGAAATATTTTTTAACTATAAGAATTCACACTATTTTATATTGTTTTTTAAAGTAAAGACAGACATATTTTCTCTTTTTTTTTGGTACTGGGGTTCGAACTCAGGACCTTGCAGTTGCAAGGCAGGCAATGGAACCACTGAGCTAAATGCTCAGCCAGAAATACATATTTTCTTAGGTAAGATGTGGTAAAAGCAAATAAATCACAAAATAGGCCTTAGAAAAGTAAAGACATTGTAGGGAGACATTTGATTTTGAGAATGCATATGAAGCTGGCAGAAAGAGTGCATGTTTCCACCTGATTTTTTGTCTAAAGAATGAGTACGTATATGTAGAGGCAAGAAAACGACACTTTTGTTGATGTTCATAACCCACAGTAATACATTCCCACTTAATGAATTCTGATCTTCCCACTGCTAGTTTATGCGAGAACATCTTACCACTTACAAGGCTGTCAGATTTTGCATGTAGTAAGTGAAGAAACTAGACAGGATAACTTTTAAGACCTCTCCAGACATGGAAATCTTTAATTTTCTGTCTCTAAGCTTTTCTCTTCTATCTGTGGTAGCTATTTGATTTAATGAATGATAATCCTCTATGAGTACCACTGACTGATCAATTTGAAAATATAAGAAGTATCAGAGAAGATAGTTATTCTGAGATTTTACATGAGGATATACTTTAACACTTCTCACCAAAATATGAATGTAATTATTATATAAGTGAATGAATGTGTATCAATTTTTCCTTCTATTCTCAGAAAATGAAAGTATTTGTAGTTCAGACTGTCCAAAATCTGTAAAATAAATTCTAACATTCTATAAACATAAACAGAATTCCTATATAATTAACTTCATAGGAATTCCAAAGTGTTTTACTGGAGTGTAATCCCATTAAAAAGCCCAAATTTCTTGAAATTAAATTTTTAGGGCATAGGAATCGGAGATAACACATACTGGAAGCCCCAAGTTCTCTTATTAATTATGAAGTAAACAACAAAAAAAAGCATTGTGAACTTGGATAAAGAAATAATAAATAAATCACTTTCATCAATTTTCTCTTAAAATACAGATGTATAATTTCAGATGCTATCTGGATGACTTATGTGAATGGAGTATCTGAGGTGGACAAGATAAAGAAAAACTGCAATTTGATTTGAACTGGAAACAAACTTGTCTTACTCTACACCTCAGTATAAATGCACTCAAAGTAGTATGTATCTGATGTTCAGACCTGCTAGACATGGATTTAAATGCTAATTCTAAGTCTCACCATCATTAGAGATGTACTTATAATAGAAAAAACATTTTGCAAAGTATTGTGAGAAATACACTTAGGCACAGAGCCTAAAACAACATAGATGGCAAAATAATAATAATAATAAAGCTCTCTTTCTCATTATTAAAAAAGGACTTGTTACAATACATGGTATAAGGACCACCAAACAAACTTGCTATATATAAAATAGCAACTAAATACAACAGGTTCAATTAGAAATTTCTAAGAAAAAATAAACATCTTTAACATGGATTATTTTTGCTATTTCATTATCTAATATGATGGTTTATAAAGTGTACACCAACGGTAAAAAAAAAATGAGTTCTAAACTGAATGAGGAAATGCATCACTACCAATTTTGGCAATAATTAATTAAAAATTAGAGCTTTAAAAAGAAGTCTATTAATAGTTTATAATTTCTAAATATCCTATATATTTTGGTATATTATATATATGTCTTACTTGCTATAAGAAATCCCAGCTAACAAAGAAATAAATAACTGCTGTGTATCCAAACCAAGGACATTTTATTTTTTGGCTGGACTGATACCCCAGATTCATAATTTGTCTGCGCCTCCTCCTCAGCACTGAGGCTGCACAGGCAACTGTGGCATAATCATGATTTTCCACAGCAGTCTGGGATCCATACAGTTGTGATTCACACCTTCAAGCTATGTGCCCCTTCCCGTTTTTGTTCTTACCTATCTTATTCTCTTCACTTTCACGTTCCTGTTTATAATTTTCACAACATTCTTGATTAACGTACTCAACTTTAGGGTTTGATGCATTTTCAAAATTGGAGTTAATATCTGCAATATTACCATAGGTTGATCTAAATGAATTTGGTTTATTGTTTAATCTTGCTTCAGCTTCACTGAATTTAGTAGGATCTATATCCTCTGCTTTGTACTTTTGCTTATTGTAATACCACAAAATACTACAATGATGTAATTGTCACTGGCATCTATTTTCTTCCTATTTTCTATTTGGAGTATTTGGTTTTGGAATTTATTTTTTGGTTCCTGAATAAAGTGTCCTTTTTATGGAAAATATTATGTTTTTTATATATTTTAATACTAATAACAAAGGAAGCAAGCACACCAGATTGTGCTGATGTAGAAAAAAAAGAAGTGTAAAAAGGAAAAATATATCCGTATCTGAAATATTTATCTATAGCAAGTACTTAAAACAAGAGCCAAATAATTCTATGTTAATCATTAATGAGTCTTTATTAACTAGAGACATATCACACATATCAATAAAAATAGTGTGGCAACACATTTCCCCCTCTATTATTATCACAGCAAAATGTGTAATAATTATAATTTCTAGATATCACTTGTAATGAAGTTTTATGCAAACTTTAAGAAAGTTTTATTATGTTAAGATTAAAGAAGTTACTACCCAACATTACGTAGTACAAAAAAAAGTCAAATTTGCTATGTCAATGTTAATGAAAAGATTTTAATGTTTTGGCCAGATAAAGGAACCAATTTATTTCACTTTTATGCATATAAAATAGGGGGAAAAGATGTACACTTACTGGACGCCTAGAATATTCATCCTTTGAAAATTCCTTTTCTAAAGCATTAAGTTTTTCTTGAAGGTATCTATTTTGTAAACGTAAATCTTCTACAACAGAATCTCGAGGAAGAGCCTGATGATTCCTATGAACAACCACAGATTCTTTACCATACAAATCTCAACTTTTTCCTGTTTACTATATTAAAATATAAGAAAGCAATGAAAAATGCAATGTGTTTATGAACAGTTAATATTTTTCAAAACTTCTAAAATCTACATATAAATAACAAAAGTTTAAACTTACCTCCATGGCCTTCAAAGCTCTCCATAATCTTGCTCAAGTATATCTATCAAACCTAAATGTCCAGAAGACTTTTTTATATAGGGTGATAAATCTACTTTTAACCATTCATGGAACATTCATTTTCTTCTACATCTCTACTGGGATATGCCCTATGTCCTACATCCATATATACTTAATTTTCATTTCTGTATCTGATTCACAAAATTCAGATATCAAATTTCTTAAATTTGGAGAGGTTAAGTATCTGCTATAAAGTCTTCTCCAATTACTTCAAACCTTGTAGATTCACATTAGGAAAAAAAAGGAAAAAAGAATTTTTTAAAGCATTGAAAGTAAAAAAGTTGAAGTTTTCAAAAGTAAAATGATCAATTCTCATGAAGATATGGAGGCTATTAAAAATTAGTTTTGTTTTGAATCTATGTTTAAATTTAAGAAAAAACAGAAAGGGGAAACTTATTTTTGGACCAAGCTGTAACTTTAAACAGATGTCAAGACATAGAAATCTTTGATCATTTTTTTCTACCCTATCAAGGGAGATTCTGAAGGACAAACAAATAAAAATAAAACAAAACAAAAAAACAAAAAACAAGAACTAGTAACTTAGACAGAAAGAGATTTGTGGGTTAGAAGCTCATAAGACCACTATTTTTTTAAAGGTGCTGAAGATGAAACCTAGCCTCTGACTCCAAAATCATAGCATTGTTTGAAGGCTGGGGCATGAGACAACCCAGAAAAGAAAACATAACGAGGTATCTTCATACTCTGAGTCTTAGAAGTTCCCTCTCTCCTTACTTGAATTACAAGACTTCCAGGTTTCAAATAATATGTTCAGCCCAGATAATAACAGAAGTAAAGAAAAGGTAAATTCACTGCTGGTTGGCTGATACTTAAATTCTAGTATTCTACCCAAATCTGCCTTACACTACTTAATTTTCAAAGTTCTCAAACAGTTGCACCTTAGATTTGTGAGATACAATTGAGTGTGTTTACGCCACTGTATGTAGAACTACCACTCACCCTATCACAGCCACCATACCATTTCTTTCAGGAAGCTTTTGAGATTTGTTTTTCTTTGTAATTTCTTTTGAAACTATGTTTTCTGATATACTCATAGTCATACAAAATAAAATAGAATCATATCCTAAAAACTAAAACTATTTACAATTTTCGGTTTTAGTTACTTCTTCCAAGATTAACTTAGGTTATACATAGTTTGTTATTTTCTCACCCAAGTGTGTCAAATGATCTGTAATCATGTGAATACTCATTGTCAAGGTCTGGTATCTGCCTGTAATATTTAGATAGGCTACATATCTTTCATAAATTTATCACACATTTTTCTATTTAAAAATTATGAGGGAAATCTTCTCCAGTTGATACAACTGTAATACCAATGGGATGGGACAATAGTTTTTTTTTCCTACATCTTTCTTTTTTCCCATTGCTGCCTGGAATTATAGTGTGGATCTAGAATGTCCTCCCAAACCTCCTATGTTGAAGGTTTGGTCCCGAGCTTGGTGTCTGAGACCCTGGCCCCATCATCCCTCTCTCTGCTTCCTGGCCACCATGAAGTGAGCTTCCTCCTGTGCCATATGCTCTGGCTACCATGATGTTCCAGCAACTAAGTAATCATGGACTGAAACCTATGAAACCATGGGCCAAAATAAATCTTTCCTTAAGTTTATTTTCTCAAGGATTTTGTCAGAGTGACAAAAAATTAACACACTTGGCTACAGATATGTGCACCTGCTGAAGTACACAGGATGAAAGGTGTAAATAAAGCCCCATATTTCTGTCCAAAGTCCCCTAATGGGGAGCTATAGGGAAAAAGGAATATCAAGATAACAGAGTCGAAGGAGCTCAAGAAAAAGACCCATTAAAGTTATCTGTGAACTTCTGAGGTCACTCTTGAGCTGCATTTGTATGGTTCTGGTCCTAATCAGAATGTAGAAGATTCTGGGAACTGAATAAGACACAGTCTATATATATATTATTAGACATCTGGTCAACTGAGAGGTGCACAGGCAGGACAGAAATGAACACCACTGTGGAAGATTTGAAGAGAGAACTGATGTTAGAATCAGAGCCCACAGAAAGGAGGCGGGAACCTGCAGCCTGGACCTAACCAGATGGATTACATGCTGAAACAAAAATACGTTTTCCATAGAATTTAAAAAGACTCAAAGGCTCACAACATAATATTTCAAGGTCAAGGATACAATCCAAAATTACTCTCAAGTGAGAAAAGACAATCAACACACCCAAACTGGAAACAATACACATTTATTATTTCCCTATCTATGGGTTCAACAGGTTTTCAACCAAAATAGGTGCTATATTTCTATGTGATAGCTTACCTCATACACAGTATGTCATTTTCTAAGTCAAGATTTCTCTTTTTTAATTCTTCCAACTCTTTCTCTGACTCCAAAGCTCTCATTCCAATAACCTGATCAACAGTCATACCAGTTTTTAGTTTCCTCTGCAAAGTATGTTTCTCTTTATCAGCTCTGTGGAATGTAGTATAAAATCATGAAAATATGCCACTTACTGTTTGGCTTGTTCTATTTATTAGGTTGCAGCTTACTCATTATTAGAACAACATACACCAATTGTACCATTCTGTATTTGGTATGAATTAACTTCAAAACCATAGAAAATTCTACTTGTAATTGTTAGAATGTGTTTGAAGCACATTTTAAGAAAAGTAAAAAGTGAGTCATAATGATAAATACTTAAAACTAGAAAAATCTTCACATTATCAATTACAATAAGATTATAACTTCCAGGTCAATAGATTTTATATATCATGTTTTACAATACAATTTAAACTTACTTGGCAAAAAGATCCTTCAAGGTAGTCAACTGCTTTGTTAGAGTATAAACTTCTCCTTCTTTCTCTTTTAACTTGTTTCGAATTCCCTCTATTTTGTTTTGCCATTTTTTACCTTCTTCCCACCTAATTAATCCTTCTTTAGCATTCTGTAAGCAATAACAAATAAGTTAGAAAATTACTAGTATTACTTTTAATTTTAAGATTTATCAATTTCTACCTAGAAAAATAGTAAACAAATACTTCTAAGACAATACGTAAAGACTCATTTTGCTATGCAACTTTGAATCTTTAGGAATACCAATCTAGCAAAAATGACCTTCAGTCTGAATAGGTTTTATTTTATCACCTGACAGATAAAATTCTGGGTGAACTAATCTTAGCACCCTTACAGAGTCTTAAAATGAAGATTCTAATATAGATGATCATGACTACAGTAAGCTAACAAATAATTTGATATATAAACAACTGACCTAATTTTGTTGGACCATGACACTTTATCATCACAACTCATCAAGTGTTTGATACACTTTACTTCACCCATTCAAAATATATTTACAGTATTTAGTGCTAACCACATGCCAGATACTATTGCAGGCACTAGGATTAGAAGCAATGAATAAACCTGATGAAAATTGTATGTTCATGAATATTACAATAGAGTTTATGGTGGTTGACTAGGTAGGGAAAAGAGCAAAGAGTAAGTATAGATAGTAAAATGAGAAACAAAATATTAGGCATCAAGTGAACTGGTTATAAGTGCTTTTAAAAAAAGAAAGGAATTAGGGTTATCATAGTGATAGGAAAATTAGCCAGTAATCACAGTGATCATAGCTTGTTATAATTTTGATAAAGAAGCCAAAGAAAGCCTATATAATTCAGGCAGGAAATTACAAGTTCAAGTCCAGTTTGGTCAACTTGGTGACTTATCAAGACCCTGTCTCAAAATAATTAAAAATAGGGTAGTTATGTAGTTCAGTGAGAAGGCTCTGGGTTCAATCTCCAGGACCACAAAAATAAACAAATGAAAAAGTTCCCACAAAGTCTAAAGTGTTTAGTGGTAGGCTTGCAAAAGGTGACTATTGTGGGCCACTATATTCATTGGTGGACTGATTCATTTATAAGTTCAAAGGTTTAATGCGCTGTTAGGAATTGTGTGGCTGTTGGAGGAGCACACCTCACTGGAGGTGTGCTTTTGGATGGTGTATGTCTCTCCCTGGTCCTGCCTCACTCTCTACTTCTGGGCTACCTTGGGTTGAGCAGCTTTCCTCCACCAGGTCCTTCCTCCAAGGCATTTCTGCCTCAGAGCCAGAGATCATTAACTGACTGTTCTGAAACCATGAGTCACATGAACCTTTAAGTTGTGTGTGTCAGGTATTTTGTCCCAGTCACGGGAAAGCTGCCTAATATACCGACAGAGCTATGGACAGAAAGCATGTTGTAGCTTTATGGTTACAGATGCAATCATTTTCATCAAAGTGACACAGATGTTATGAAATTTCATAGGGAAAGTATTTTTTGGAGTGTACTACTCTATTATTGAAATTGTTTAATAGATACTGAGCATTTTCTGGGCAAATTTTTTTTTTTGGTACCGGGGGTCAAACTCAGGACCTTGCGCTTGCGAGGCATGCAGCAGAACCACTGAGCTAAATCCCTGGCCCCCTGGGTAAATTTTATAATACAAAATTTTCCTAATTATGGTATCACCACAGTGAATTTTTTTAGGACAAAAATGACAACAAACACTAAAATTTCTCAGGCAACTTTTGGTATTTTCAATATACTAATAAGATATCTCCAGCTTATTATTCGTAATAAATTGAATTATAAGCATTTCAGTTAACTTTAGTTTTTCTTTGGGTTGATTATTCCTATCACTTATTTTTATTACAAACTGGTTTACCAGTAAACCTATGAGAAAGATTTAAGCAACTTATCTCATATTACAGAATAAACTGGTGAGTGGATTGGTTATTGAGTGTTACGAAAGTACCAAATATATTCCATTATCACTTTGTTTACCTAAAATAATAGCCCAGTCTACTGAAAGACAAAAAAAAAAAAAATACATTTGGTTCAAAGTGGGCATCGTCAAGTGTTTACCTTTGTCCAAAAGGACAAAAGCACCAATATACATAAATGATTATTCGGGGAAAAAATATATAGCTGGATATGTAAAATGGGAAGAGTCCCTGGAAGTACTATACTTAGGAAGATGACATGTAGATGATGCAGTAATTTCCAAGTAAGAGATACATTAATGGTGCTTCCTTAAGTAGACTGTGAGTTACTAAAGGACAAAAACTTTTTTTAAAAAATTCTTTTATTGGTACATTGTAGGTATACAACACAATTACATTTCTCATTGGGAACTTGTACCTTTACATAATGCATCTTGGTTCTTATTTTTCCCCCATTCCTAGCCCTCCCTTCACCCCCTCCACCCTTCCCTATTTACAAAGACTTTATTTCCATTTTTTCCATTTCTCAGCATTTTTCCTTTCCCTTCTTTCCTTTCCCCTGCCCCTCCCACTACCCCTACCCCTTTGGACCTTTTCTTCCTATTTCACATTATCGATTATTCATTCTAATCATTGGTACATTTTAGGTATACAAGATAATGACATTCATCATTGGAAATTTGCACCTTTACATAATCTTTCTTGGTTCTCATTTTTCACCCTTGCCCAGCCCTCCCTTCAACCCCTCCATTCCCATTTACAAAAATTTTGTTCCTATTTTTTCATTTTCTCATATTAATTACATACTCTTCTTTCCTTTCCCCTGGCTCTCCCACTTCCTTTCCCTTTGCCCCTTTTCTTCCTATTTCACATTACCTATTATACATTTTAGTCCTTATTTACACTTTCAGTTTCTCACACTAGAGAAACTATTCGGTATTTATACATGTGTGTCCTATTTATTTCACTTAAGAGTATCGTCTCAATGTGCATCCATTTAGCTATAAATGTCTCTAATTTCTCATTTTTTATGGCTGAGTAGTACTCCATTTTATAAAAAGTCACATTTTCTTTATCCAGTAACCAGTTGATGGGCATTTGGGCTGTTTCCAAGTTTTAGCTATCACAAACTGTGTTGCTATGAACATGGGTGCACATATATCACTGTGGTGTGATTCTTTTAATTCTTTGGGGAAGATTCCCAGCAGTGGAATAGCAGGGTCAAATGGGACTTCCAGTAAAGGACCAAAACTTTAAGATTTCTCTGCTTAGCCAGTACTTCCTTTAGTGTGTTTTTAGGCCCTCAAATTACTACAGGATATTATCTATTTATCAACTACATTTTTAACTTAATCTGTCACTATTTTATGCATATTGCTCAATATGCTTTATTACGTACCTTTTCTTTCATAGGTTTTACTTCTACATCATCCACTTTTCTTTCCAGTTGGCTTTCTAGTTTTTTAACTTTCTTTTGAAGTTCCTCAATTAAACTTTGTTTATTATCTATTAGAGGTTTGCTCTGAAAAAATAAGATGGAAGTTTACATTCTACAAATAAATGTCAAAAAAAGTACACCAGATATTCCAATTACAGAAATTTTTGAGCCCATCACTAATCATACTTTCTATAATATGTAGGTATAACAGGGTAGTTGTTCCTGTATTCTATAGGATATACTACACTACAGCTGTATATACAAATCAGTAAAAGGAATTAGTTATGTTTGTCAAAATAATCTGAAAGCCAGTTTTAGCAAATACTGTAGATAAAATTAAGAAGTAGAATAAAGTATTACTTACATATTACAAAGACTATCGAAATTAAATGTAAAATTACCTGTAACCCACTAGTTAGTCTTTTAATTTGCCTTTTGAGTTCATCATTCTCTTGATCAATTCCATCTTTCTCTCTAAGTACTTTATTGTAGGCTTTTTGTTTTCTTTGCAGTTCATTATTTAAATCATTCAAATTATCAGTTAGTGAGCTTTCTCTGTTTTTACTTGTTTTAAGAGCTTCTCTCAATTTTAAAAGATTTTGATTTAAATCTTCAATTTGTGACTAATGAGAGAGAAAGAGCTTATTCATGAATCTTCATCATCAATGATAAAAACAACACAAAACAAAAATACCATTAATGCTTCTTAAAAAGAAAAATAAAATATAAGACCAGTGCACAAGATTAAAAAACCCCACAAACTATATATATATTTTCCCATATTTATGTCAAATAAACCAACCGCTTTGAGAAAAACAAAATACTCTAAAACAAATTAATCTTCAACAACATAAAGGAACAAGATTTTGTGAATTAAACAAGTGGTTCATTGCACTTGAATGGAAGAAATAAGTACCTATCAGTGTGCCTGGTAATGGTTTAAAAACTATGAACCATGAGCAGGATAAAACAAAATATGTGACTTGAAATAATTCTAATGTACTTTGTAAAGACAAGACAAGACATGAAAGGAAAATGTGCAATATTATACAGTACATATAAAAGCCACCAGCAAGACATTTTTAGCTATCTTATATAATGATAGTGATGGAAACATAACACTATTTGGCCTATAACTATTTACTCAAATAGATTACTATAGGCCAAGTACTACTACTAATACTAATAAATTACTATTATTATTAGTTTGTTAAAGCAAAACAATCTTAGAGAAGTCAGAAAAGGATCTGAGATGAAAGACTTGAAGAATGGAAGAATTCAGACAAGATGATATTTTAGTATTAAAAAATATATTAACAAAGGTCTAGTCCTACTAATATAATTAAATAAAGCAAAAGAAATAAATCTACATATTTCACTTATCAATTTAGATGTAAAAGTTGCTTAATTCACAATAACCAAAACTGAGACACAACTAAGATGTCCCCAGAAAGTAAGCAGATATATAAAATGTGATACATTTAGACAATGGAATATATTCAGGGCTAAAAAAAGAAATGTATTATTAAATGAAAATCAATCTAAAAGGGTTACATATTGTATGACTTCACCTATAACCCATTTTGGAAAAGGCAAAGTTGTAGAGAAAGTAAAAGTATCAGTGGTTCCCAAGGGTGGTGGAAGTTGAGGGGAATTAATAGGAGAACAAAGAGGGTTTTGGAGCCATGCAAACAGTCTTTATGTTACAACACTGTGTAGCAAAGATCCATGTCATTATATATTTGTCCAAACCCACAGAATGTATGACACCACCAAGAGTGAAATCTAATGTAAACCTGGACTTTGGGTAAGTATAAGATTTCATTGTAAGTACACTAATTACAACAAATATGACACCCTGGTGGAGGATACTGATAATGGAAGAAACTAAGCATGTGTGTGGGGTGCTATATGAGAAATCTCTATATTCCCCTCTCAATTTTTCTATGAACATTAAACTGCTCTAAATCCTTTCCCAATCCTCCTGATAATCAGTGAGTATCATAAAGTTGTATTGTTCAAAAGTGCATGCATGTGCATGCACATCTATTCACCCGTAATTCATTATAAATTCCTTACTCAGGGTCAAAATTATTATATATAAAAATTATATATATATATATATATATACACACACTACACACACACACACACACACACACACACACACATACATATATCTTCCAATAGGAACTTCTGGGAATTTTGTTATAGTAATGTAAGCATTGATAGTCACCTTTAGCTCTCTAGTTTGTCTATCAACAATCTGTTGAACATTGAGATTTGCCTCTTTCTGAGAAGTTACAGAAATAATGTGTTCTTCTGCTGCTGCTGTCATTTCTGCACGGAGTTCCAAAAGTGCTTGACTAAGTGCCTAAAAATTAAAACATATGTACATTTTTAAAAAGAAAACAACCTAGTTTACTGTACTGAATTGTTAGTTAACAGCCATATTAGTCTAGAAAAAGTAAACTTAATTTTTTTCCCATTCGTACAGGGGAATGCTCTTTATTAAATGTGTAAGGTCTTATCTACATAGGTTTGAACAAAAACTAATAAAGTATTCATAGAATAATGAAAAAAGGTAGAAGGTAGAATGGGGAACGGGGAGAGAAGGGGGAGGGCACAGATAAAAAAAGGAATTAAGATGTGTTACGTACATTTACCAAATCCACAGAAGGAATGCAAACATTATATACTTCACAGGTGTACTAATAAAAATCAGTAAAATTAAATGTGAAAAATTCAAAATACAAAAACCCATCCTTTTCTTGAAAGACATCTTAAACTGATGCAACCAGAAAAATGCTATGTCTGAAAGTGTTCTTGGTCCTGAAGTTCTTCCCATCAGACCAGCTAACAAATTTAATCTATATACATTTAAAATTGTAAAAAAAAAAAGGAGAAAATTAATATTTTATTTGAGTAATATAAAAGAAATAAATTTTACTTTCTACTATTTTCTGAAAATATCATTTGTTCACTAAAACATAATTCATCAAAAAAACTGTACTTTTTCAAGTGAATTTCCATTAGTGATTATGCTCAATTCCTTCCCAACTGCATGCAAGAGTTTAAAATCTCAACAATAATTTTGAGAAAACAGTATTAAATCAAGAAATTTGTATTACAAAAATCAGGTGTGTTTGTTTTCAAAGATCCAAGTTTAGATACTTATAAATTATTTACTCAGTATATCCTTCAACGTAAAATTAATTTAGGTAGATAAACTTAGAAAAAATGGGCAGGAAAGGCTTAAAACCTGCCAATAAATTTCGTGAGCTAATAAAAAAAGCAGTACCTTCAAACAGTTTCAGTATATCAAATCTCACATTAATGACAGAAAAAGTGAATGAACTGACCAACTCCTTCACAAATCTATCTCTGCAATCTTCTTTAATATCTCCCTCTATCACATTTCCTTTTTAGTCCCCTCCAAGTCACTGAAATCTGCTGAATTTTTTGAACTAGCCTCAAGCCGCAAAAAAAACCCCAGTAGAAAAGGAAAAAATAATCCATAAATTGCTGATGACAACATAAAAAAGGTAAACTAAACTATACTCACATTTAAAAATAACACTGAAAAAGTCTAAGAATTATCTTGAAATATCTGTCCTATTTAACAGCATGAGATGAAGCTTATACTTTTACTTTAACACAAACATTTATACTATCACATCTAACCCATTTACAAATCTTCTCTACCACTTATTTTTACTAAATGTTAATAATTTTCTGTATTTACTTTTTGTTGTTTCTCTTTCAAGGCCAACTGGCTCTTTAGCCGATCTACTAGATTTCTCATTGTAGTTGTTGGAGCTCTTGAATTTGCTTCTTTTTGAGCCTGAAGTTCAGACTTTAAACTCTGTGATTCCTTTTGTGACTGGGCTAGAAGGCATCTTAAATCTTCTACTTCTGTTTTCATTTTTTTCACTTCACCTGCATGGTTTTCTTGGAGCCTGATATAAAAAATATATGTATTTAATTAATTGGTTGATGAGATTAATACTTAAATATTTTATAAAGTCATAAAATGGCTATTTGAAATATTCCATATGGCAAAAACACTCTATACAGAAAATTTTTTACATTCAGGAATTAAAAGCATTAAGTACTCCAAAACAGAACATAAATTTACTACATGAAAAATAATCTCTCATGTAGAAAATTTTTAACACAATGAGAAAAACAGATTAAAAAATACCATATGCTGTTACTAAATCTCATTTAGAGAAAAAAATGGCAATTACTTAAATAATAAAAAATTCATGTTAATTTTATCAGAGGCATATTGAATATGTGAGAAAATAATCAAAAGGTCTAATAAGGGCTTCAATGCTGGAATGGAATTCTGCATTAAGGACAGCAACTTTCTCACTTTTTTTAAATAACTGAAAGATAGTTCTATAATGATTAGAAAAACTGGATAATTATAAACCTATTTTAGGTTTAAAATGTATATTGTGATAAATTTGCAGAAAAATCTTTAGAATCTCTAATATAGAAAATGTTGTGAACACTCTTGTCAGTGTAATTAATAAAATAAATTACTTCTTCATTTAACAATCATTTATTCAGCCTCTATTTTGTGCCACATACACCCAGGTACACAAGCAAAGGTTTAGTACTTGTATGTAATTTTATAATTTTCAGGTGACTTTCATATACAGTTCCATCAGGTCTTCATTTAACCACTCTGAATGGGCCAGGCTTAAGTACTACCATTGCCAAAGGATGAAGCTGACACTCAAAGATGTTAAAAAGAAGATTCTGGGGAAGAATCTCTATTGGCTTTTGAGTCAGACTGACTAGTTTCAAACTGTGGCATTCCCATGTCCTCCCAGGCATGTTACTGAGCCTCCCAGAGGTCTTGTTTCCTATCTGAGAAATGGGGAAAATGACATATTGTAAGCAGTCCTGAGAATAAAATGAGATAATATATATCAACATCTGACAAAGCAAATATATTTATTTTCATTATGTCATAATTACCATTTGCTTATTTTAAGTTCATTTCTAAGCCTTACCGTAATTTCATATTTTCAAATTCTTTGATTTTTAATTCCGTGATTTCTTTTTGTCTCTCTAACTCTTGTGATACTTTCTTTAGTTTGCTTAAAAGTTCAGAAAGAGAGTGATCTTGTTCTGCAACTGTCTGTTCCATCTCAGCTAGACGAATAAAGTGCTTGTTGGTTGGAACTGGAGTAGGAGATTGTTTTATTAAATCCTATGAAATATGAACATATTAGCCATGGACATGTATAATTCAATGGCATTACTTATTCCATAATTTTAATCTAATTCTTCAAATGACCTAAATACAAAATCTAAAATTTAATAATTTAATAGGCAATGAAGCCTTAAAGAAGACAAGAAATAAAGGTTGTACTCTTTTCCATTCCTAGCATTCAGCAAAGTGTCTACATGTAGTGCACACCAATAAATGTTGACTAAACTAATGAGGTAAGGCTCAAGGATTCCCAGGTTCCATATTAGATGAAAGACAGGTCATTTTACACACAGAGAACAGAATGATTTAAAGAAGCAAGTATGAGCTCACAAAGTGGGAAGCATAAGTTTAGTCATAAGCTTTTAATGAGTAGAGTTTGGAAAGAAAGACTAAGGTTAGATCATAGGAAACTGTGTTCATGGTGAAAGGACCATGATTTTGTGAGTAGTGCTAAGTTACTGAAGGGTTTGGGTTTAAATGAACAGAGCTGAAAACACATTTTCAGGTTATTTTGGCAATAAAAAAGTGGGACAACTTCTACTTTGAAAAAATGACAAGATACAAATTTTAAACAATAGGATTTTTAAAAATCAATGAAAAATAGAACAAAGATCTAGAATCTTACCCAAGCTGTTTGTTTGAATTTACTGAGTGAACTGTCAGCCTGTAGTTCTAATTTATGATGAAGAATATGAAGATCTTCCTCATGCTTCTTAACAATTTCTCTTTGCTCCTGTTTTAGCAAAAATCAAACCTATATTTTCAATTGTGATTCAAGTTAATTATACTCTGAAAATCTTAAACATTTTATTATTTTTAGTATTCTACAATCTCTGAGATAGCAAAAGAACACTATCTTCATGTATATATTCAGATATCTCCCCTAATGAATCATGTTCACAACCTCAACTTTTAATAATTTATCCTTAACATTAGAATAAGAATAACATGTATGTATCATCTTTTAACTTGTTTCTAGAAAATTTTTTCAATGTTATGGTCTCTCCCCTACCTCTAGCTCTAGCCAATCTGATTTCCACTGATTGCTACTGTGGTAGATTTCACACTACTTACTGCCTCAATTCTTACTTATGAATTGGTATTTTTTTTTAAATCTTAAGGTTTCACCATGACAGTCAGCTGTTTCTGGTTTGGTTAATCCCTGAGATACAGATACACATATACAAACTGCCAGTTTTACTGACAGATCAGTAATCCAATCATGTGAAAGTAACAATTTCTAAATGGAATCATATGACAGCAAGAAATAAACTATCACTTTAAGGACAAAGTAAGATTTGGCATTTGACTGAAAAAAAATTAAATGGCACAAAAAATATGATGAAATACCTCTCTGGCTTTTTCTAGAAGATGCTGGTATTTCTTTAATACCTCTTCCTTTTGATTTAACCTTGCTTGCATGTTTGCAATGGTTTGATGAGCAATTTTAATTGCATGATGAGATGTTGGTTCCACCTCTTTTCTGCCTAGTTCAGCTATAAGTTTTTCTCGTTCTGTAGCAGCAGGCAATCGAAGTCTCAGTTCACTGATTACTTTGTCTCTTGACAGAATATTTTGCTCTGCTAACCGTAAAGCAGATTCTTTTTCTTTTAGCTTCTGCAGTTAAATCACAACAAATAATGAAAGCTTACTTTTTTCTTTAAAATGATTCATCTGAATTTTAGATATAAGCAAAAAGTTTTATTTTTCACAGATTTCTAATCACCATCTGACAATAAGATTAGAATTTATTTTTACATGATAGCACTGTTATTTGCAGGCATATTTTATCTGTAAGATTATCACATGTCAAAACTTCATTGTTAGGATAAAAATAAAATTCAATTGGGGCACTTTATTAGTTTAGAGGCAGCAATGAGTGCTGGTACTAGACTCAGAATGAAAATGTAATAAATCATTCCTTTTATTTTGATCTACAGACGATCAAAGCACTAAGACTCCATAAAAGTCTGCTGAGGATAAAACTGGAATTTTAGTAGCTCAAGTCAATATATAACTGCAATCAAAAACTGCAGTTCATTAAAACAAAGCAGGAAATATATTTTTACTCTTCACTGGTATGAAGGCAGATATTTTACTCAAGTGACTCAGTGGCAATTCATATAAATGACAAATCTGACTATTGAAGAAAATTGGTTTCCTGAATTTATAAAGAATACATAATTTTACATGAGAAATTGTTGTCTACATTAATTTATAGGTAATATGCTCAGTTGAAAACTAAAATAATATTTAGTTTATATTATTTTCTAATAATATTGATTTGATCATATAGTAATCAAATCTAATACCTAGACTAAATAAGTAATTTCTAGTTTACCTTCACTTATGATCCCAAATCATAAAAGGATTGGAGTAAAACTGATTCACAGGGTATACAATAGGTACTTCAAAATAAAGCGTAAGGATGAAAACATCATGTAAGTACATTATTGCACATAAAGCTATGAATGCTTTTTAAAAAATTTTCTTTGATGCTCGTTTTTACTGATCAATGTGCCTAAAAGTGACAAGTAGTAATTAAATGAATAGTGAATTGAAATTAACTACATCTGCTGTTGATTGTTGGCTATTGGAAGCCTTAAAGGCTAACAGAGACAGTGGAATCAGCAACAAATTCATCATCTTATGTTTCATCAATAAATATTATTTAGAAAATCCCCAGGACATACCCAATAATACACTAATCAAACTACAAATTCTGCTGGTTACCTCTTCTAGTGCTTTGCAAGTTGCCTGTGTTTCTAGGATGACTCGAATATTCTCCTTGAGTTTTCTTAGAGCAATCTCCAGCTGATTTGGAAGGGGCAGACTAGGGTCTGGCATTGATCCTGTAGCTTCCTCAAACTATTAATAAATATCATGTTTTTAAAAACAGCAGTTGCAGCATTGAGACTAAACAATATTAATTTATACAAATGTATAAATAAATTAATCAACCTCACTTATTTAATAAATAAATTTAATTAATAAATGTATAAATAAATAAATTAAACCTCACTTATATTTTAAACATAAGAATATAAAATCAATTTAAATTTCATCTGATTTAGAAAATATTTGTCAGTTAATGCTCCAGGCCATGTTACACAATAGCAAACAGGATCAGTCTCTCATACCTTTTGTGCTGCATTTATTATTTCATTTTGCTGATGCTCAAAAATATCGAGTTGACGTTCCAGCTCAACTTCTCTTTGATCCCAGGCCATTTGTCGTTCTTCATGAAACTGAACAAACACAATTTGTGTCAGACACACACACACAGAGGCATATAATAGGCACTTTACATACATTTTCTCATATAATCCGCACAACAACCCTTTGAGGTCGCTATCATACTCATTTTATGAAAAAGAATACAAATTCAGATAATGAAGTAACTTGCCTAACATCACAGAGCTTGGCAGATGTGATGTCAAGATTTCAATCTGTTCATCTATCCATTCATTGATCTGTGCATCCAACACACAACTAATGACATAATCAAACATTATTCTAAGCAGTATGAATACAGCAATGAACAAAACCATGTCCCTGTCACCACAGCATTATATTCTAGTGAGGGAGAGAGAGTCAGAAACAAACAAATATATGACAGAATGACAAGGACTATGGAGAAAAATGAAAATAAGTAATCCCTATTTAGAGAATGTGTGACTGTAGTGGAATTACCATCTTATACCAGGTGGCTGGAAGGTTGCACTAAAATAAGGAAGGTATTTGAGCTAAGATCTTAAGGCAATGAAAGTGTTAAGTACCATAGGCATCTAGGATAAAAAAAATCTAAGCAGAGGAAACAAAATCTCTGAGGCAAGTATGGACTTGATGAATTTCATCTGCCTCCAAATCATGCACTGTATTCTACACCAGAATGCATTCTACTCCATCAGTGAAAGCCAGGAACTTAGAAACTTGGAACTGTGGAAAGTCAAATAACTGATATCAAAATAAAAGTTAACTTTCTGAATAAATTTGCTTACATATTACTCCTTTTAACCCTACTGTTACAAATAAATGAGTATTTTTAGAGTAATATAAAAAGTGAAAAGCAAGTTGTTTGTTAGGAATATTTTAATAATAAACTATTAATAATTAGAGCTACATTCAATTAGAAGAATAATAATATAGTTATTCATACAATGTTCTTATGTTTAAAATCTTAGCAAAAAAATAAAAATAAAACCTTGTTCTGTTGAACAATTTCTTCTTCCAGGTTGCTGATTGTATGTTCATATTCAGATATTATATTATTTAAATATTTTATTTCTTCTTTATCTCTGACTAATTCTCGATTTAGTTTAAGCTCTTGAAGACGAAGTTCTTCTATTTTCATATGCCAATTGATTACCTAAGATTTACCAATTATATATAAATATAAATACTACGTAAGTAAATATTTCTCCATTGATCAGAATGATTTTAATTAAAATTAGTAGACATTTTGAAAGAGATAAGGTATAAAGGTATCATCATTCAAGTTGTATGACAAAGTTTATTTAGGATTTCCAAAGACATTCTGAGAATATGTGGTATATTACAATAAAATATTTATTCACTGAAATGAGTATCTCTAATGTTAACTTTGATTTTTTTCATTTACCATCATTTGTTTATTGAGTGCTTACTGTAAACGTGTCAGACACACATTAATACTACTTTCAGAAATGGAAATCCTAAATATCTCTAGCCCAGAGAATGGGATTTAGTTGCAAGATTATTTTTCATTTAATTTCCTCCACATGAGGGTAAAAACTAAGTCATATTAAAAAATAACTGTGAGTTTATGACTGGTAAATAATTTTAAACAGGTAATAGTTGCAAAGAGTAGAAATCAACTGATAACCATTAAAAATGTAAGAATAATTATAATTAGTATTTAATGTACATCTTTACTTTTCTAGTATTTAAACTTGCTATTATACAATCTGAGCATTTTTACTGAGATCTTTTAAGAAACTCACTTTACTTTTATTAATCATACACATTCAAACAACCAAAACTCTTAATTATAAAACCTAAATTAATGAACTACATTACAATTTGGGTTGTATATTAAGCATTTTTCAAACAGCCACATACTAAGAGCTTTAAAATTACTGGGTATGTTTGCAAATACTAAACTTCACATCAATTTTTACCTTCTGCCCTCCCCTGGCGTCCTTTAACGTGCTTGTTAACTCTTCTAGACCCTTTAACTTTAATTCCAATTCCAATGTTTTGTTCTGCATATTTCTATATTCTTGCTGAGAATTTTTCATTTCTTGCATTATCTTCAGCTTGTCATTTTGCAGTTGAATCATTGTTTTAGAGAATTTCTCCTGTTGTGCCAAGGGTAAAGCACCACTAAACTGTCTTCGCAGAGACTGAATTGTTTGGCGCAGATGTTTTGCTTTGTTTCTCCCCTCTGAACGAGCGTAATAGAGAGCCTGCTCTTTCTCGTCAAGTTTCTGCTCTAAGCGCAAATTGTAGGCCTCGACCTTCTGTAGCTTGGATGTTACTGACTCCAACTTCCCAAGAGCAGCAGCCTCACTAACTTGAAGAGAGACAACGTGCTGATGCAACTTGGCAATCAGTGCCTTTTCGTCAGATTGTGCCTAATACCAAAAGGTACATATTTATAGTAAGTCTCAAGTTTTTCCAAAGGAACTAATCATGGATTTTAAATCACAATTTATTAAACAATTTTAAAACATGGAACACGAAATCCTACAAAAATCTCTTTGCTTTAATATAAATAATTACCAAAGAATTATTTAAGAAAACGTTAAAATCAAATACTCGTAAAATCCAAACTGAACTAAATAATAGCTGGAATATTACTTTTTGAAAAAATTTCCACAAGTAAATCATAACATTGATACAATGTATGTGTACTTTTTAATCCTCCAAAAAAATCTGTAATGTGAGCATACTTGAAAAGCTACACATACATATAAGAGGAAACAATGTTATTAAAGACATACTAACTACTCCTGTTTAGTGTCTTCACTTTCAGCAGCAGCCAACATGATGCATCTGTAGGCAGTGAAATGCTTTTCTGGATTTTAAGTGGTATTTAAAACTTTAGAGTTTTTTAATCAGGTTCCAACTTTGGTTGGCACATCTTCTGATTAATACTATAATTTTACACCAATATATACTGTGAATTTAGGAAATAAGTAGAATCTATTCAGAAAACCATTACTGCATATACCTGATAGTCCAGCAGCTGCATTCTCAGTGATTCTACTTCCTTCTCCCTGGATTGTTGCTGTGTATTCAAAATTTCAACTTGTCTTTTGGCAATATCAGAAATCTCTCTCAGTCTAGGAAGCAATAAGGTATTTCAGTTTTGATTAAGTACATTTTCTAAGTAAATATCACAATCCCAAATTAACATATTCTTTTCTGGAAAGCCATAAGATTCTAGCATCTTTTCTTTGTATAAATTACAAAGGATCCAGAAGTTTCCTGAACTATATCATAAAACCTAGTTCCATGAGATATTAACAAGTATGTTATTAAAAAAATCCTCCATTTCCAACATCCCTCCCCCTTGAAAATTCATATGTAATACGGCATCATGTTAAATGTTCTGAGAAGTTCTACTGTAAATAATTATCTCAAACTGTACTTTATAGCAGTTACAAATGTATAGGACCAGGACCCTTATCTCACACTTTTTAAATAAGATATTTATTTCAAAAATGGTAAGTATTAAATGGGTTATCGGATATTAATACATGGTTAAAAATATAGAAATTTAAAATTCCTAGAGTAGGTTACAACCTGAATGGGTTAACATATATTTTAAATGCTTTTAATTTATAAGTTATCAAAAACATGAAAAGCAACAAAATATACACCTACTACAATCACAAAATAAAAGTAACAGGAAAGAAGGAAATAGACCTTTTGCAAATGGGAAGGGGACCAAGGGATGAGGGGGCTATAAAGAATTAAGATGTGTCATGCATGTGTATCAAGTACCCAAATGAATGTATTCATTATGTAATGTAAATATGTACTCATAAACAATAATCATTTTAAAAGGTGAGGTCATGAGAGGAAGAATGAAATGAAGAATCCTCATAAAGAAAAGGGTTGACAAATACTGATAGTCGCCAAGGCCTCTTGGGCTTGAGGCTCTTCAGTGCCTCAAGGCTCTAAAGGAATGGCTATAGAATTTTATGAGAAACCATATAAATATTTTTTGCTAATTATTTGTACATGACAGATTAACTCAACGCTACTCATATTTTTCTCCTGAAGTAGCACCTAATTACAAAAGCAAGTACGGAAGATCTACTTGGCACACAGTGTTTACATTTTTTTGAGATAGGGTCTTGCTGTGTAGCCGAGGCTGGCCTCTAACTCGCAGCCACCCTTCTGCCTCAGTCTCCTAAGTGCTGGGATCACACGTGTGGTCCTCCTTTCCCAGCTCATAGTGTTTACTCGACACACATCTTGTGTTCTAATTAGCTGGCTCGTTTCCCAGTGTGAAAACATTACCTGAGGGTCATTAAGTATGACCGTATGAATTACCATGTTTAGTATCTTGCACAGTGCCTAGTCCATAGCAGATAATAATGTAAATAAAACCAAAATCTGAATTGTTCATGTTTTTATAGTAATCTTATGAAAGATGGAAGAGGTACTGTTATTTCCTTTTTAAAGTGAGAACCATTCCTCCTCCATCTTCTACTTGCCCTAAAAAAAAAATCAGTAGACGGAAGAAGTGGACCCCACAATTTCCAAATTCAGTGCTTTTTTCACTCGTATTCCTGTACTCCAAAATATGGAGATTTTCAGAGATAATTTTTTCAATGTTTTTATTTAATCATGTTTAAAAAACAGTTATTATTAGTTTTTATAAAAAGAAACCAAGAACAACTACTACTATGAATATGAACCCTTATCCTTTTAATTAATTTTTTAATGGTACTGGAGATTAATCCCAAAGCTACATCCTCACTCCTTTTATATTTTTTTACATTTTGAGAGTTCAAATTTGCAATCTTCCTGCCTCAGCCTCCTTGAATGATGAGATTAAAGGTGCAGGTCACATTCTCAGTTGTAAATTTCTTAAAGACAAGTAAGAGAAGACACCTGTAATGAAGTGACTAAGATGTCAGTACACACTTACTTTGACACTTCAACTTTCAGTTCCATTTCACTCTTCTCTAATTCTAGAATTCGTTGCCTATCAGCATCACTCACTGGCTTGCTCACGCTGTCAGCTAATTCATCCCTTAGCATTTGTTCCACCTTCTGTGCATCCAAGTTGATTTTGGTAAGCTATGAAAAAGTAATAAAAAATATTCAGATATAGGTTTGTGAGGTTTTGTTGTAGTTGTTGTTTTGTGTTGGGAATGGAACCCAGGGCTCTGCTGTACCACTGAGCTATCCCCAAGATACATCAATTTTCCATGAGCTTTTTTTTATAATTCAGCTTTTAAGAGTACTACAGCCCTATTTACTTTTCTGTAATCCAGCTAGAGAATAAACAGAGGAAAGAACTGGGAATAAATTATGGAAAATGTGGTTATATTTTAATCCTCTCAAAGTACTTTATATTAGCCAAGTCATAATATCTGATTTGTTATTCTTATTTTGCTTGGACTTTAGCATGCTCATATTTTACTTTAATTATACATCTGTAAACACATTTAAATCAGTTAATAAAAGCTTATTAATAAAGAGTCAGTGACTAAGTTCAACTGAACAAAAATAACATATTTTGGAAAACACGTGAATTCTCAAAGTAAGCAACATTATAACAGTGTTGTTTAATCATCAGTTGTTGAACATTTGCAGACTGCATTACTGCCAGTTTAATGATTCTGACCACTTCAAAAAATTCAAAAATCTCCTATGAGAATGTAAAGTTTCTGAAAGTAGAGATTATTATGTTTTATTTCTTGCCATTGTCTTCACTCCTAATTAGGATATGTATGTAATAGGCCTTGAATAAACACTTGTTAAATCAAGAGATGGTGGTGGAAGACAGTTTGTAATTGGATAACATCTTTTTGTACATTAAAATTAATAATGTAACACTGATGAGAAAGAACTGACTCCAGAAAAAGCTGCACTATTTTAAACAATTCAGATTTCATAATAGATCTCATTCATTACATAAAACACAAGCATTATTTTAATATGCTACTTCAGAGATACAAACCTTTTAACAATAGCTACATAAATTCTTTACCCTCTAGTTGCATGATAAAAAATTTAATATCAAACCTCAGCAAATTTGGTTTCCAATTCAAAATTACGTTCTTCCATTTGCTTTAATGAAGTCCTTAAGTGTTCACACATTTTTTGACAATGTTCAGCCCGCTGCCTTTCATTTAATTCCTTCATTTCCAACATAGTGATTTTTTTTGAAATAGAAACAATGTCACTGTTGGTTATTGATTTCTTTGCCTTATCCATGTTAGATTCATTTCCTATATGCAATAATACTTAAGTCAATCTTGCTGTTTGTATCAAAATTATATCTCATATTTTAGATATTTTAGATGTTGCATATAAGAAAGTAATATAGTAATGAGATAATGATTTTTTTGAATTATGACAGACCTGGATTCTATTCTTAGCTTTGTTATTTCCTGCAAATCTGATGTCTATCATATTTAATGTCTAGGGAACTTGTTCTTTAGCAAACAACAATAATGAACTACTTTATTCCACATGGGACTGCTGAAATAGCAATGTAAAGGTCTTGGTATAAAAAAGCATCACATACAGAAAATCAAAAAATGGCAAACAAACACACTTTATAGAAAGAAGATAAACTATGAGAATCAAAAAGTAAAGCTGTACTACTTTGTGAATATAAATACAATGATTTGATTTTTAAGATATTAGTGAGATAAGCTGACAGATAAATGAAGATATATATCTAAGAGATTTTACCAAATGAGATCTCAAACTATGGACATTCTTTAGCCTTTGAACACATCTGATATCCACTATTTTATATTCTTTTATTAGTTGCTACACATAAGTTAGTTATAAGGCTGGTCTTTGGATATAAAATTGATTAAATAAGAGAACTGTAAGTCCCAATTTACTATGAAAAAACATTCCATAGAAGTGTCATTAGTTATCTATTTTTTTGGTGAAGGAAAAAACTCACTTTTGTTTTGCATAGTAGACATATGTCAGAAAAAAATGTTTTATAGTGTTTTGTTTTTTGGAGAGTCAGTTAAAACTCATGTTTAGGGTGGCCAATTACTTGACAGAATTAAGCATGACTCACTTTTTAAGCGTTCTTTTATAATGCCAACAATAACACATTCTATTTTTCCAATTTCATGCTTTGTACGTGAGTTTCTCAAAGTAATAAGTATTTTTTGAAAAACCATAAAAAAATTTATGTCTGTCTCCACTTGTAAAAGTACTTCACTATGACTGATATGTATTTTCAAAATATGTGACTTTAGAATAGCTGATACAAGTAATGATAAAGCAACAATAACAGATCACTGAAAACAGCTTTGGATTACTTCATTACAGAAGAAAAACTCAATCAGTAAACCAGTAATCACCATCATAAAAGAAAAAAATCTGTGGGGCCTGGGATTTAGCTCAGTGATGCCTCGCCTGCCTTGTGAGTGCAAGGTCCTGAGTTCAATCCCTGATACCGCAAAAAAAAAAGAAAAGAAAAAAAATCTGTACTAAAAATAAATATACAAAGGGCATATGTCCACTTCTCTATTTTATATCATGCTGAACTCTAAAAATAAAGGTAAACTTGTGACAGTCTGTAGCAGACTAGCCATCTGATGTGGTAAATGAGATGAAGTGACACTTAAACTAACCGATAAGGGAGGGTAAGAGGTAAAGAATTCTTTTCAGTCATACTTTGGGAGCTGGGGATATAACTCAGTGGTACTGCACTTGCCTAAGATGCACAAGGCTTAGCATCACAAAAAAACAAAATAATATAAGAAATCTACTTCATTGATATAAAGCCATGTATAGAAGAGATTAGATAATAGAAAATTAAAGAATTTCTATAAAAATTTGGCAGTTAAAGGGAGAATAAAACACAACACACAGAACCTACTTAACTTATATATAAAACTCTTATACAAGGTATTATCGAAAATACAGTGCATATATAATTTTTTTTTAAAAATTATTATAATAACAGATGCATCACCATTAATTCCCCTCAAAATACTCCACCATGTTTCAAATACATTTGTCTCATCATTCTTGCCACTGTTTTTTTTTTGGAGACAGGGTCTCACTATGTAGTTCAGGCTGAACTTGAACTCACTATGTGAAGGAAGCATAGAAAAAGTTACTCAGATTCACATGACCAAAGTGTAACCTCTGTATATGATGGTATCAAGGAGGACTGGATACCCTCCAAGAGTCTACTGTTGAGGGTATAAACACCTTAATCTGAAATATTTGGTATAAGGACTCTGCCCTGGTTCCTAGCCAGATCCAAGAACAGTCTCCTTCTAAGACACATACACCTTATCTGCATGAGGCCACCTTTGTGTAATATGATACATAAGCTAGCAGGAAAAAAGCAGACTTGGAAGACTAGGAGAACTGCATGCTGGAATTCTGCCCAGTGAGACCTCGACTGACTGCCCTTTCAGGACTCCCCAAATTGTCCTTGGGTGTTGAGGCACTACCCAAGTTGATGATGTATTACTTCTGTTATATTTTCTTTTTAATATTCCCATTGCTTAACCTTGTAATAAAGCTATCTACTTTCATTTTCATGTGGTGTAGTGTGACTTTTGTCACAGAATGAGCTTCAATCTAACTGGTGCACCTGAGTAGCTTGGTATTAACCCTTACTACAACACTATGTAGCACACACTGGCCTTGAACTTGCCATGATCCTCCTGCCTTAGCCTCCCAAGTGCTGGAGTTACAGGCATGCACCACCATGCCTGGCCATTCTTGCCACCTTTGAGACAGTTTTGGAAGTCCTCTTTCTTGTTTCTTTATTTGCACTATAGTGACTGCCTTGATATCCTGAATCTACTCAAAAAGTTTACATTTCATGGTCATTTTGACTTTGGAGAAGTGCCAGAAGTTGCATGGTAACAGATCTGGTGAATAAAGTGGATGAGGACACATTGTAATTGTTTTTATGAGCCTGACTTTCTACTGGATGGCACTCAGCAGTGGCATTAACCATATATTTGATCCCACCTTATAAAAACACAAAAGAGGACTACTTTGGAAAGCAGCATGAAAGATGGAATAAGTGTTCAAAGATGGGGAGAATTCTGAGACAAATTAATGGCAATGTGTCTTTTACTGAAATTAATTTAATTTAAATTATTTTAAACATTCACCATATTTTCGATCATCGTATCTGCATTCAAATGTCTTCCTCATGTAAGGGGTACATAGAAGTCGATTCATAGTTAGTATCTTATTAAATTAAAATTTACTTTTTTTTCTTTTGGTACCAGGGATTGAACTCAGGACCTTGTGCTTGTAAGGCACATGGAGGCACCACTGAGGATTTAAATCCCTGGCCCAAAATTTACATTTCTAAAAGTAGCTTATCTTGAATTTACCAATGTTAGGCCTCTTTAAACCAAAGCCATCAGTCACTAATTTAATAAAACAGCTCCATTTAGTAAGAGAAACACTAAAGAGCATTAGGGTACTAAGGTAGGAAACAAGCAAAAACACCTTATTCGTAGCAGCAAATTGATCCAAAATTTACAAAACACAATGCTGTGAGATAAAATTATTAAAATGATGTAAACTAGGGTAACCACTTGAAAAACTGATGTGGAAAACCCTAGCAAGAGCCCAAAGATTTCAATATCATTAGTCACAAATATTTCAATATTTTCTGGGACTGAAATATCTCCATTCAATATATATGAAGATGTAGAATGCAGGTCTATAAACTATAGCAAAAATAAGAAAAGCTAATGATTTAACTATAATCACTCTAACAGTAGGATATTGCATGAATATTTTCACTTATAAGTATGATAAATAAAACATGGTAATATTTTATATAAACCTCATGAATACAGCTCAAAATAATGTTTATTATAATTTAAAGAATATAAACTGTAAGAATATCTAAGCAAAAAAATGTGATATATAGTTGTCCAACTATGGGGAGTATATTCTTTTAAAATTTTCTTTGGTATTTTATGGTGATCTTTTAATGTAAAAATATCAAATGATATATAACTAGTATAACATCACAGTCAAGAAAAAACTCATAATGTTACTATTAAAATACAGGTTATTCAAAATTATCACTAATCTTGCTTGGTAAATGATTCAAAATAGTTAATGCTTAGTCATAAAATTTTAATGTATATGATTTCATTGGGAACATATCTAAGAACTAAAAATCAAATTCTGATGGAGATTTGTTCAGGCTAGTATTCATTAACTGCCTATTAGTAAAAGAAGTTTATTTTTTCAATTAAACGCTGCCTTTTCATTTAGCACAGAAAAAGAATTTTAAAGGAAAAACATTCATTATTAGTTCCTAATCATTTTATACTTTGAGAGTAATAATACTTACTTAATTTAGTATCTTGTTCCCAGGCTTGTTCAATAGTATGAAGTTTTTCCTTGGTAATCTCCAGTTCTTTATTTATAGAATCAATTTGTTCTTTTAAGGACACATTTTCACACTGAATAAAAGACACATCAAAGGTAAGCTAAACTATAATTCAGACCAATACCACAGAAATATTAACTTTATGCAGTATCTACTAAAATTCACAATCTGGCATTTTACTAGGTAGATTTCTCCCAGATATAGAACATACATGCACATCCCCCCTACACACAACCTATAAAATATTACCTTTAAATGATCACCAAACTCTCTTGTATCTAATATGTGGCTCTTAACCTATTAGCTTCTGCCATTAAAACTGTATGTTCATTTTGATCAACCTAGATACTCAGAGATTCTACATCTTCACAAACTTGTATTTATTTCTCTCATTATCACAGTTACTGAGCATCTTAACATACTATATCAGTGACAGGTGATCAATGTTCACAGTAAAAAGAAACACAAAATTCTGGTTTTCGCAGGCTTCTCCATTTAGTGTCTGTGGCAGGAGTTGGGGAGGGTGTGAAGGACAAGACAAACATGTAAATTAAAAAAATCTATTAAAAACTTCAAGACCTAGGGGAAAAAAAAGAAAAATAAGGCACTGAGCCACAAAAATAATATAAGGAAGTATATCTGGAAAAATGTGATTGAAGAAGGTCTTAACCACCAAAGAGGCGGTTTAAAAGCTAAGGTACAAGATCCAGTCTTAACAAGAAATTGGGCATGAAAAGAGCTGATGTGCTGGTACACTCAGATGTTGTAAAGCAAAAACGGGTTTGAAATACTGGAAGATCAGCAAGGGAAAAAAAGGCCTGAAGAAGGAAAACATTTGGAGTATTACAGAACCTAGGCAGAGGGAGTAAAAATAAGAGTGAAGAAAGTATGCCTTTATCTGAAATGTTTGGGGCCAAAAATGTTTTAGATTTTAGAATTTTTCAGATTTTGAAATATTTAAATAGACTTTAACATTGCAACATCCCTAATCTGAAAATATGAAATCTGAAATCCTCCAAATTAAAAACTTTTGAACGCTAATTCTCAAAAGCTGTATTTTAGTGTAATAACTAGAAAATAAGCCACTATATAACGTCAGGAATCAAGTGGTATGAAGAATAGTAAAAATAAGATAATGAGACTTAAAAGGAAATGTTATGATGAAACTAGCAGAATAAGGGAAAAATATAATTTTCTGGTACAATGGACTATTTTATCTAGTTTCAGATAGTGTAAACACATGAGGAAAAGAGACTTGAGGGTGTCTGAAATATCTTTCTAGCCATTTTTTTCTAGCTTTCATCATGTTTCACAGGGTAATCCTGGTCTTGTTCCAGATCCCTTTGCTTACAAGATTTTTAAACCTTCACTCTCTCTCCATTAACTCTAAATTTTCTTGCCCATCCCCACTCCTAACTTTACCAGTTTCCTATAAATTTTTTGAAAAGATAAAACAAACCCTATTTATCTACTACAATTCACGGTCATTTCCCTTTTCATCTACTATCAAATTTCCAGTTCTTCTACAGCCTTATATATCATTTCCCCTTCAAATCTTTTTTTCCCATTCCCTTTCCTTCCCCTAACTCCTCTCTATGTATACATAATGACTACAATCCGTTCAGGTTTTATATTTCTGTATCATCTACTCTCTTCTCTATACTGATTTTCACCATCTCTATTCTCATGAAGCTTTATTCATAAAAGGCATCAACAATTTCTGAATCACTACTGATGACCTTTGGAGTGTGGTGCTATATCATTCATCACTCTTGCAGGTCAACATATATTAATTTAGCTCTAACTCTGTACCAATTGGGAGATTCCAAACACCTAGTAATGAATTAAAGAAAAGTTCCATGTATACCACGAGGCTTTTATTCCAGGAAGACAGGCAGATAAACATATATAGCATGATGGGATACAAATAGCAGAACTATGAACAAGATACAGAAGTAATTCAGACAGAAGAGTGACTTTGTCCCATAAAGAAGGATGCTTCTGATAAAAAGTAATGGCTGAGCAAAGTTTTAAAATATGAATAAAGATTCACTGTGCAAATAAATTAGAAAATTGGAAGAGAGGAATGTTAGCTAGAGAATGGAAACAGCAAGTACAAAAGAAGATAGGTAAAAAAGAACACTGGTACAGAAAACTGGTAGTTGAGTTTCTAAAAGTCTGAAATTCCTTAGAACAAGATGACCTAAGTAAGGAATAAATTATAAAAGAAACGACATATTTTTCATGTGACTTGATTACTGTAGTGGTAATGGGAAGATAAAGATTGGAGATGGCGAGATGAGTAATGGCTACCAAGATAAAGATCATAAAGAATAAAATTAAGACAATGACAATGCAGATAGGTCATAAGAGAGAGATGCTTAGAATTATAACAAAACTGCAGAGAGAAAAGGATACAGTACAATAAATAGGTCTCTTAACTGGCTAATCGGAATCAGATAATGAGTACTGGCCTTCAAAAGGCTATGATACTTTAAAAAAAGAGGGGGGGCACAATTCTTTGACGCTATAGCCTTTTCAAGGACATTTCTTCCTGGCTGACTGACAGCTACCGCAAATTACATGTGCAAGACTCTTGTCAATACTCGTTATTTGACCCCCATTAGCCAGTCAAGGCTATGTTGGCTTTCATTCTATCTTGAAAGCCTGTGACTACTTTAAGCAACAGGTGAAACTATGTCACGTCCAAGCTAAGTCATAGAAGGTAAGGCAATATTCATCTGTTCACTAGAACACTAGCACTGGGGTCCTAAAATTCCAACTATTCTAAGACTGCCATGATGTTGAGGAAGCTCAAATATGTGGAGAAGTCTCAGAAGTCAGTGGTAAACAAGCCCAACTGAGAATCAGCATTAGAGTCACTCCAGCCCACATGCCAGAGGTGAGAGTGAATTTCCTTTCGGATGATTCCATCCCCCACTGATGAGTAACCCATAGTCTTTTACATTTTTTGAAATTTTGAGGAAAGAGGAAAAATATTCTTTAGGATAATAGATGAAATAAAATAAAAAATACTCATTGATATGTTATCTACAGATTTTTCCCCTGGAGTTTCTAGAGAGAAGAGAATAGAAAACAAGAAATTGAAAATGAAAATAAATTACCACATTTAGTCATAATTTTCTATAAAAACACAATAAAGTGATTATGATTAAAACTGATTAAAGTGTTTATGATTACTTCTACATAGTATTAGCACATAATAACTCAGACAATTTTGTAGGAGTTATGAAAAGTTTTTCAGAACGTTTTCATTTACTCAATATGATCCCCTAAGCAAGCAAAAGCTAACACAACCTGTTACTTATCCCAGTTGTGTATGAGGATCTGAAAAGAGAATGAGCCAAAAGACATAAGCCTCTATTTCTGATAAGGAAGACAAACAAATCAGGAGCTTATATGCCTACTGTAAAAGGCGTAGAGGTCAAGTGGTTACAAGAAAACTACTACTTGGCTATTTTCACAGTTTGACTGAAACTTAGGATATTGTACCCTATTCTTTTATATTGCTACAATAAGAAAGGATGGGGACTTGTACAGCTCATCCGTGATCCAAGAAAGGACATTAATATGTCATCTGCTGTCTAATTCCATCCAAAGAAACAGAATCCAGGGGCCATGAGAGTATAGTTTACTATAAAAACAGGGGCAGGGAAAAGGACAGTTATTTAATGACACTTCCTCCTTTGATTATAATACACTCTCTGTTCCGCACTCCTTTTTTAACTGCGTGGCTGAAATAAGGTTGATTCAATTATATCATACCAGTGGCTCATCCAGAAGTCATTATGCAATTATAAATAGATAATATATGTGTATGTGTGTGTGTGTGTACTAATATTCCAGAACAAAATACAATGAAACTGTACCTGTTTAATTTACATAGACTTAAGTTTCAATAAAATCTGCAAAATCCTCTGAAACACAAAATGACTATACAAAAACTGCTAATATCACAAAGTTCAAGGATCACACAAACTTACCTCTAGGTGTTCCAAGTTATTTGTTCTTTGAACAAGCATATTATCTTTTTGCAAGATGTCCCTGTACTTAGCGGTCAGTTCATTATATTGTTTATTGGCCAGTTCTAGTTCAGACAAAGAAACACTATTATCTATAACTTTTTGGAGAGCTGCAATCTTGAAAATGGCCATTTCCTATGTAAAGAAGAATATACTGAGTTATGTTGCCATAGTTTTTTCTAGAAAGCATGTGTTCTCACCATGCCACTATAGTCTCAAATCAATGGGGTCCACAGTCACGCACTGAAATTTCTAAAACTGTGAGCAAAAATAAAGCTTTTCTCTTTTTAAGTTGATATATCTCAGGTATTTGTTATAGTAATGGAAAGTTGACTATCACAATGTTCTACTCAGTTGCTCTCAAACTATAAGAAGCCACTAATCAAAGACACTGAAGTATAATTATTAACACCAAAATGTCTGAACTTTTAGTTTTCCACATTAAAAAATCTCTTTGTGATAAGCAAAAATTACATGGAAAAGTAAATGAAAGTGACAGAAGCTATTAAAAAGTGGTGCAATGAATACTCAAATCTATGTGAGGAAAATAAACAACATGGTTATAATTCATTCTGAAGTACAGTAATGATGGAAAAATACTTGTAATGGTGCTTCAGATCTCATTGTCACAGCTTCTCTCTTCATCTACACAGGCACACAAAATTCTACTTTGCCCTCAGGAATTTGGTTACATTTTGGGGAGGGGAAAGGGGTGGGGAATGTAGGGGTAAATGGTATTCTATTTCCCAGCCCTTAAAAATATTTCTTTTTTTAGCTTTTGAACAGTGACACATAAGCACATCCAAATAAACTTTAGGTTGGAAAATCAAGTTGATGAGGAAGAAAACTCAAGTTCTTTTTTCTTTTCTACCTCAACCACCAGTGTATTTGTTAACATTCCCAAAAAAGTATATTCTTAAAAAAAAAGACTGAAAATAAATACAAGAATACTTTATACATCTAAAAATTTCCTTGGTCCATGTCCAAAATTTTCCTATTTTAACAGTTCTTGATGCATCAGAATTCAGCTTTCAGCTCACACTAAAAAGAATTAAATCTTTTGAAAATGTAAATGTTTTATATTCAAATTCAATAAAAAAGAAAAAAATTAATCCCTAAAATTGAAAACAATGGAAAATAAGCCTAATTATATACCATGTATAGGATATAACCACATGAAGAGAAGCATCATTTCAAGTAACTGTAGAATCTGTTACTTTGCCTGCACATTCTTAGTGAGATATACTCTAAAAAAATAAGAACTGTAAGGAAATCTTAAACTATAGTAGTTTTAATTATTATTTTCAAATGAATGTATATATATTGTAGAATTAAAAATAATCATTCTAAGGTTAATACCCACAAATTTCCATTTAAAAAATATGTGTAAAATTTGTTTGGAAAAAGTCTGTATTACTTACCCCAAGTTAAATTTGAATTTGAAGTAACAAAATGAACTCATGGTTTAATATACACATATTTCTTCTCTTTTTTTTGGTACCAGGGATCAAACTTGGGTCCTTGCGCTTGCACAGCAGGCGGCGAAACCACTGAGCTAAATCCCCGGCAATACACATATTTCTTAACTTGTCCATTGAAAAAGACTAGTAGCAATGACATTCCCAGAGCAATGACTCCTACTGATCAATTTTTTCTAACCAATTGCTTTCCCTTCTAGAAGCAACCAGGCCTCTTTAGCGAAACTGCTTGTTGCTCCACATCTGTACAAGAAGTGCAAAGGTACATCTAGAACATTTTGTTGTGTTAAGTAGTGGTGAAGTTTGATTCAAAGACTAATGGAATCTTGTCAAAAGAATATATGCATCTGTGAGCTAACTTTAAAAAGTTCTTACCAGTCTAAGTTAAGACAAAAGAATGATGACTTCAACTGACCAAAACACACTGAATACTGAAAAGTCTGTGAGTCTGCTCATAGCTAAAAAAGGGAAAGTTTAGTGGGAAGAACAGAAGAAGCAGAGCACACAAACTCTGTTTGGAAAGCTAGTAATTCAAAGGAAAAACTGAAGAATTTAGCTTGCTTTTGTAGGAGGAACTTTAAAATACTCAAATAGTGTGGGCTAATGAGAGAAAACTCTTTAGTGTACAAAAGGATGTCTTCTGTGCATAGTTTGACAGCAAAGATACTAAAAGTAGAACAAAATAATGCTGCTAATAAATAAAAAAGCATAATATAACTAGAAAATCATAATTTTTGCAATTCTTAATGAAATACTTGAGTCAGACAACAATTATCAGTGGATGCTAAAATCACTGTGAGGATTCATTATTTACATGATACCAAAATATCACCAAATGGTTTACCAAATCATTTGGTAACATAGATATAGCATATGGTTGTCCTCTTAACACAGTATCAATCATAAAACATGAAACAGTGTATGTTCTGAAGTAATGCAATATACTGTTTAGTACAGAGCATTATTTATGAAGGATTACTGACAAAAAAATGTTTAACTTGAATCTAACAGAGGCCTTGGAATTTTTAGTAAATATAAGACACAGAGGAACAAGAAAATCACAATACATACATACACACACATACACACACACATACACAAATCAGATAAATCTAACATTTTTCAGAGAAATAAAAAAGGAGGATTCCATATTACAAAGATGTATGATCTATAACATCCAAATTCAATAAAAGCATGATTCTCGACTGGAAATAGGTACAACTAAGGAAATATAGTCTGGGCATTGAGTAAATTAGAAGATTATTGTCAACTTTTCAGGTAAGAGAAAGTTATTGTGGTTTACAAGAAGGGCTTTGTACATTACAGATGCACACAAAACTAGGGGAGAAATATCTGTAATTTAAATATTCCTATAAAAACAGTTGAAGTAAATATGGCAAAATGTTAATAGATATTAACTAATAATGCTGATGATGGAAGTTCATGAATCTATCCTATCTTCTGTGTATTTGAAAATTTTTAGTCAAAACCAAAACAAAAATCAAAAATACCTTAAATCTTTGTAAACATCCAATTTTTTCACAGACTTCAGCCTCCATTGACATCAAGTCATTCTTTTGTTTCCCATTTTCTTTTCTAAGTTGTTGTTCCATTTCTACTAAGGTTGTATATTGCCTTATAAGTGACTTTTCATTAACTTGCAAGACAGTGATTTTTCTACTATTTTCTGAAAGTGTTTTTTTCATTTCATCTGAATCCATCTGAAGAGCATTGAGCAAATTCTGCAAAAACATGTTGATGTTACTTATTGAGCCTAGCTATTCTAGTTTATTTGCTATTGTATACGGATTTTTTTTTTGGTACTGGGGATCGAACTCAGGACCTTGTGCTTGCGAGGCAGGTGCAGTGCCACTGAGCTAAATCCCCAGCCTTGTATACCGATTTTAAAAGTATTTTACTTACATTATATTCTTTTACTTTTATAGCATCTTGTTGGATTTGATCCTCAAGTTTTCTCTTTTCTTCTTTTATTGTTTCAGATTCTGTTTTCCAGTTCTCCTTTTCACTACAAAGAGCAAAACAACAACAACATCAACAAAAGATAAAACATCAAACCTTGTAAAATGTTGTATTATGTCAAGAGCTAACTTTAGATGATGGAAATATGTTTCCCTAACACAAAAGACACCTTAGCTACTCAGTATCTAACAAACAGGAAGTTAAAATTCCACTCAAAAAGGGGTTATCCCAGAATTATTTCAGTAAATGCAAAGTTAGTTATTTTACCAAATTCTTTTCATCATAACCTGATTCATCACTCTAAAAGGCTTACAATATAAAGGCTTATCCCAACCTTAGATAAGAAGTATACAAGGTAAGTCTACAACATATAAAAGAAAATAAACAAGGTTTGAAACTTGAAGCAAAGATCAATGGGTTTTCATCAAAAGTACACAATACCTGTCTTTAAAGGGATCAAAGTTGATCCAACTGAATAATGACTCCAGTTGAGTCATTAAACTAGTGATTAATTCTGGAAATCAAGTCTCAACTTCTAACCTGAATCTTAAATTTAAGTACTGACTACTAACAAAATGCTCAGACTGCACTATTAGAAATCATCAGACTTAAATGTAAAAGGACACAAAATTTCAGTTAGACAACAGTAAGTTCAAGAGCTCTATTGTACATCATGGTGACAAGAGTTAATAACAATATAGTTTAGACCTGAAAATTACTGAGAGGTTTTAAATATTCTCCCCACCAAAAAAAAAAAAAGAGCATGTGAGGTGATACACATATTAAATATCTTAACTTAGCCACTGCACAATTTAAACATATATCAAAGTATCATGTCATATTCCATAAATATAGAAAAATTTAACTTGTCGGTGAAAAAGGTAGAATATATTGACAAATTTATTTCTTAAAAAGGTGTGTAAGAAATTGATGCTTAGAGAAGAAACATTCTACAATCACTTTGAATCCACTTGGCCAATCATGGTGGGATCATTTTCTTTGCCACTGAGTGGTTGAGCCTTGGATATGCAGCCTAACTGGCGAGTGAAAGCTAGCCAGAGAAAGTGTCTCCAGAAAAATTCTTATCTACAAATAAAAAATTATAGGGAAAAAAATGTATTCAATGGATATGGGTCCATCTTCCCCAAACTTCTACAACTCTTATCACCATTGTTAAGAGTTAACAATAATGCATAAATATTTATACCTTACCATCTAACTAGCTTTGGGTTTCTTGATAGATCAGATTTAAATCATCTTTATTAGGTATTCTAATTTCTACTAAGGAAAGCATTCTATTGATATTGATAAGATGGAAGATAAGAAGAAATATGCTGTTTCCTGCGAACATATATCGTGATGGCAGTGATGAGTGATGCTAATGACATCTGCAAACAATTCATATATGTCATACACAGCATTCATCTTAGCATTTTAATGTAATAATTCATTTAAATTTCATAACAACCCTATGAAAAAGGTATCACTGTCAGAATTTTACAAAAAAAGAAACTGAGATAGATAAAGCAACTTGTGCAAGGTTTTCTAATTAGCTGATGTTAGTCTACTTTAGAACCAGGTTGAACAATCCCAGGACACAGATGGGCTTGTGATCAATAAAATTATATCTATTTAAAATCATACTCTTAACAACAGTTACTAATTGGGGTGGGGGTGGGAGGAGGCAGGAATGAAGGGAAAACCAAAATATGTAAATTCTTTTGATGTTAATTTTATTATAAATAAGAATATACTACAGTAAATTTGTCAAGCTTTGCTAATACTTATACCTCAGATATTCTTTATATAATAAGCTTTGTTGATGACGAATTACTGCAAATTTTCTGTTATAGTCTTCAAGAGAATCTTCTAAATTCTTTAGCTTCTTTTCTTTATTTTCTAGTTCCTAAAAATTGGTTTCGAAATAAAGATTTAAAAACATCAGAATACCTTTTGAATTTGAAGGTACAAATTTACATCCTAACAAAATCATAGAAAAAAATATAAAAGAAAGTCACAAAATCCATAAGCATCACAATTTATATATTTTTAATTAACTGATTATTTTATTTTTTATTTTTACAGTACAGTAGATTAAACTGAGGGTCTTCACATCCCAACACCCCCTTATTTTTCTCGAGATGGAGTCTCACCAAGTGACTAGGTTGCCCAGCCTGGCTTGAATTTGTGATCCTATCTTAGCCTCCAGAATGCTGGGATTGCAAATGTGTGCCACTACACTCAGCTTAAATTATTATTTTTAACTGACATATACAAACACTAGAAAATTGTATATATTAATGGGATAATATATGATTCAATATATTCTGAACATTTTATTAGAGGGTGGAATGAGGGAACACACATTAAAAAAGTGCTATAAAACAGGTAAAAGTTTTATCAAATCTGATGGTTAAAATAAGCATATAAATTACTCAACAGAACAGTTCCCATTTAAGCATAAACTTTCATCAGACAAAATAAACTACAGTCACCTCCAATCACTCAGTCGTATCATTTTGTGAACATATACTTTCATGCCTCCACTCAAATTATCAAAATGATTACATTTTAAAGCTAAAGAAATTGAGACTTTAACAGATTACATAATTTATTTAAAAACTCATCCATAAGGCATTTGGCAATGCTCTCCCATGCATATATGCCAGGCTAGATACCAAGTACTTTGGACAGATTCAGATCTGATAGCTGAGGTCAGAACTGTCTCACTCCAAAAGTCACTTCTATCACTCCATCCTGCCTTAAGATTGAGGCTCAAAGATGTGTTTTGTCATTTGGACAGTTTCCGAGTCCCAGTGTTCTCTAATCTACCACGATGCTTTTCCTATTTTATGTTTTTGTTTTGTTTTTTTGGTACTAGGGATCGAACTCAGGACCTTGTGCTCGTGAGGCAGGTGCGTGCCACTGAGCTACATCCTCTGCCCTTCCTATTTTAATATAAATATGAAAAATAAAATCTTATCTCAAAATGACAATGCTGGGCTGGGGATGTAGCTCAGTGGCACCGCGTCTGCCTCGCAAGCGCAAGGTCCTGAGTTCAATCCCCGGTACCACACACACACACAAATGACAATGCTATATTGCCATTAGCAATTAATGCTATATTGCCATTAGCAATTAATAAAGTCCCTAAATTGCAGGACACTAAATCAGAGTATTATAAAAGTAAAAGTAATGATACAACATGAATTATAAAGCAATGATCTGAAGGTTGTCCCTACCTTACTGGGATAACACACAAATTCCAACATTTGGAAAACAATAATGTAATTTCAAAACACAAAAGCAAGAATTTGACAATTCTAACTCAAGTGTTTCTCTAGCAGAAGGCAACAGAGGTGCTTATAATCAAGACACATATTTTTATTGCTTCTGAACACAATTTTCTAATTGTACTTGCAGTGTACGTGGTGCTACAGGCATTCAAACTTCAAATGAAATAATGAAAACCATCTCTTATTAGACCAGACATGCTCAATCTATGCCCTGCAAGCATATAGCCCTGGATGGGTAATGATGATTCCCCATGAGATCATAAATGTAAACATTTCACATTATTATGTGATTTTGAACAATATTTTTCAAGACTCAATTGTGCATTGCTGAGGGTAGACTATGTAGGTGACAGTGGAATGCTGAGGGAAGAGTGCAGTGTTCAGTGCCATTTCCACTTCCTGTGGCCACCACACAGTCACTCAAATCAAAACCTGTGTCTTTTAGACCTTACATGCTCGTGTGGCTTTGCAAGTAAAATGCAATGATTCGAACAATAGTATTTCAACACACCTAGACGTGTGTGGGCCTGTGAAGACAGGTATATATTCTTCTTAGGCAGACATGTAAATTTTTATTTAATTATCAAACTGAGATTTCTTGTGTTATTTCATAAAATATTTTAGTAAGTTATATAAAAGTGTTGTGACTTATATACATTAACTGTATTATATATTCTGTGTCCAGCCCAAGATAACTCATCGTCACTCAACACGACCAGGCAAGACAAAAGGCTAGATAGCCATGCATTAGGCTATTTATTCATAATGCCCATGATATAAACAGCAAAACTGAGGAAAAAAAGAAAAAACACAGGGCAAGTTGTGCAACAGAGTACCCTTTCTAACTTTCTAATGGTTAACTAAAATTTATAGGTAAAGGAAAGAAAAAGATAAACGATTTGGCTCAGAAGCTTTTCTTATTGTTAACACACAAAAGGAAATAATCCTAATCATGACACTAAAAAGAACTGCATCAGACTTCAGAAATTTAGTCTCTTCAGTCCTCCCTTTTCTAACCAATAATAAAACAAGTACTCATCTTATTTTCACTCACTACTTTATACTAGCTGCTTGTTATTCTACATGTCAATCATATATTTTACATGAATAAGATATGTGAACATGCTTCAAATTTAGATAAACGGAATAAACTGTCTTTATACTATTCCATTAACATCATAATCCTTTAATAATATGTCTCACTATTAATTTTCTGAAAACTCAAAGGAATACCCAAAGAATAAATTAAGAAACATACAATCAATGATTTTTGCTATAGACATTTGAAATGTTCAGTACCTGTAAGAGATGTATTAAATATTCGTTCTGAGAATTAATGATGCTAGCACTTGATGGTGCTACCCCATCAGGTAAGTCTAACCCTTTATAAACAACATGAGATCCTTCTGATTGCCTTAGAAGACTGATTTCTTTCTCAAGATGATCTATCTGGAAACAAATAAGACAGGGATGAGAACCACATCTCTTATATCCAAAGAAAGACAAACTGAAAAGCAATAACTTTACTTTATACTATTTCAAGTGAGTATTTTTTTTTTTGGTACCGGGGATCGAACTCGGGTCCTTCTGCTTGCGAGGCAGGCGGCGGAACCACTGAGCTAGATCCCTGGGCCCCAACTGAGCATTTTTTAAAAGTAGGTAAATGACTGTTCTACCAAAAATTAAATGATACTCTAATTTTTACTTAAAAATGCCTAAATGTAAGACACAGAATATTTTTGCCATTTTTTATCTTACAAGGCATTTATTTTTCCATTTTATTTTGTAAGAATAATTGAAAGTCTTCTTAATGTTGAAGTAAGTAATTCAAGGGAGATTTTCTCACAAAGCAGCTCAAATTTTTTTTTTCTTCTAAACATATGTTTGTTGCTTAGTGTTTTCTCTTCTTTCATAAGATTCTCACCTTTAAATTTGCTTTTGCCAACTGCTGTGAGTAATTTATAGCTTCTTTCCGAGATTCTTTAAGCTCTTGTCTTAATTCTTCATTCCTTCCAGTAAGTTGATCAACTTGGGCTTTCAAATGCAGACTGGCATCAAAGATTCCTTCCGCATTCTTTGATTCTATAGCCTAGAGTATTTATATAGTATATAAGAAATACAAGGAAAAAACAGTAAAATCAGGGTAAACAAAAATTTGCCTTCTGTGATATTTAATCATTTTTTGTCTCAATCTTCTGTCTAATAACAAAACATGGTATTTCAATGTCTTATTTATGAATTTAAATTAAACTGTAGTAACACTTATTTTACTAAGTGTTATGGCTTGTGTCTAGATGTCCCCCCAAACCCTCATGTGGTCGTAGGTGGACTTTTCAGAGGTGGCTGGATCTAGAGTGTATGACGCTGGAACTAAGGGTGTATGATTACCAAAGGAATCCACTGATTGGCTTGGCATTGTTCTGAGCATGGATAATGGAAGGCCCACCCTGGGTGCCAGTGCTACCTACCCTAAGGGTAGGTAGCCTGGAGAGAATATAAGGGACAGAAAGGGGGCTGCTGGCCTTGCTTGCTGCTTCACTACTTCGCTGCTTGCTGCTTTCTGCCTGCCAAGAACTGTTTCTCTTCTGTGCCACCTGCCTGGGAGACAGCCAGCTATGAACTGAAACCTCCACAAAATGTGAGGTACAATAAACCTTTCCTTCTGTAACTTTAGGTGTTGGATATTTTGTCTCAGCAATCAGAAAAGTAACTAAGACACCAAGCATAGTAATTACTTCATTATAACAAGTAACAACATCTAGTTAATCTTAATACATTGGCAGACTAGAAAAACCAGACAGGAATAAGATGATTAATGTTCAAGAATTAGCCAGTCTCTTATTACCTGGATAAGTGAATAAAATTCTTTATATTTTAATTTGCTTGTCTCTAAAGTGGAAGAAATGTTAGCCCTGTCACTTTATAGAATCTCTCTTAATGAAAATGAAGTAATTTATATCTAAAAAAGGTTTGAAACTATCCATTATAAGAATTAAAAGCATGAGGGAAGGGATGGAACAGCTTCTACATTCTAGTAAGTGACTTTTTCAGTGCTTTCTCACCATACAATTGAAGTATACATGATAAGACCAAATATAACAAAATATTGTCCAAGAATAATGAATAAGCAAAAAAAAATTTCACATATTAAAATATTATTACAGTGGCTTCCTTGGCCTAATTCTCAAAAAATCACACATATACCATGTAAACATATACATAATCTTTGCACCTCAAAAAAATTGTATGAAGCAAAACTATTCGATGCAAAATAAACTTCAGAACTTAAGACAGAAGAGAAAATAAGTAAAAACCAAATGTAATCTAATGAGAAGGGTGATATAGGGCTTAACTCCAGGCAGCTGATTTTTAAAAGTAATCCTTCACCTGAAGGAACACAGAGTAGGCCACACAGAGCAGTAAGTTGTATTAATTCCAAGGAGATACCAGAAAGATGGAAAGCATGAGGAGGTGCTCTGACTGACAGCAAGGTAGACTAGTTAATTGTCATGGAGAATGGTATCATGACGTCTATATGGCTTTTTGCTAAAGCAACACTGAATTAGTGATTTGGGGCACTGAAAAATACCACATAGTAAGAAAGTGAACTAAAGTGCATGAAACAGAAATTGACAATAGAAATAGTAGGCAGGATTTTCCGGGGCTATTTCATTCTGCTTTTATTTGGTAACAAAGTGAAATTTCCCTTGGAGAATGAAGTTTGACTTGGAACATAGGATCAGTATTGGGTAGCATTACAGAAAAAAGGTCTTTATATAAAAAGCATGCAGAACTATATTAGACACTCAAAATTGAGGGAAAATAAAGTCACCAACCAGGGAAAGAAAGTCAGAATCAAAGATATAAAAGGAGTCAGATGGTTTGCATAAATCGTAGCAAATGATTTTGTAGCTTCAGGAAGCTGTTAACATATGAATGTCACTCTCACTCTCTGCTAACAACTATAGTGCTTTTATAGAAAAAATTCAACTATTGATTAATCATAATTTTAAAAGCAATTTGATAAGATTTTCTTCTATTTAAACAAGCAAAAATTTTGAATTTAATAATGCACTTTAAATATGTTCAGATAATATAAATGACACATACTTAAATATTCATCTAAAATGTATATTATATTCAAATTTATGTAACTGACACAATACCACAGAACTCTTAATTTTCTGCATGGTAAATATAACTAGGATATTACTTAATGGTTAAAATCTTTCCTAAAGCAATAGGTATTTAAATATTTAAAGTAAAGTCACTGTATTACACTTCAAGGTTTGTGGCAAAATAAATTTTAAAAAATCGTAAAGGTTCTAGAAAATGAACAAAATGTAAACAGGGTTTCCAGACTTCAAGTCTGGAAAAGAACAACAAGTCTTGGTCCATCAAACCATTTTTATAGCTTTAGTCTGAGGGTAAGCTGCAGTTGCAATAACCTATAAACTTTCTGGTCTAGAAACTATGGGATAAGAGCCCAAAGCTATGTGAAATTTAAGGAAATTTCAGGAAGAAGAGAGCCAGCAAAACATCACTTCTCAGCCTTTTGGCTAAGATGCAAAACAAGTTCTAAATTCTTTGTTAAAAACTGACAGGTCTTAGGATTAGCCATGAACCAGCAGGGAAGTGAAAATGAACTTGAAGATAGATCAATAGCAATTATCTAATTGGTAGGAAAAAAAGATTAAATATTCCAGTAAAAAATAAACAGAGCCTTAAGACTTATGAGAAGATACCAAAATGTAACTGTCACTGGAATCTCAGAGAGAACAGGGAAGAAAAATAATTGAAGATATAATAGCTGGAGACAGAAGCAAAAGGATCACAAGTTCAAGGGCAGCCTGGGCAAATTAGCAAGACTCTATCTCAAAATTTAAAAAGGGATGGAGGTGTAGCTTAGTGCTAAGGCCTTGGTTTTAATCCAAGTACTGCACAAAAGGGGGCTGGGAGGGAAAGAGAGAGGGGAAATCTTGCTGAGTAGTATAAGTAAACAGATTCAAGATGCTCAGCCAGGAAACAAGATACCCAAACACATATGCTCATATACTCAGACGGACAGAGAGACACCCCCCTCAGTATGTTATACCTAAATTGATAAAAAACAAAAACAAACAAAAAGCATTAAAAGCAGCCTAAGAAAAACTACACCTCACACAGACAGAAACAATGATCAAATGACTATCTCACTGGAAACCACGGAAAGCAGTATGAAGTGGAATATTATCTTTAAAGTGGCAGGTAGGGTATCTGAAGACCTATGTTAACATGAAGAGAATAACTTACATTAACTAGTCTTTCAAGACTAGGGATAATTAGAGATGTTTCTCCTCCCTTAATATCAGGATCTTTCTGCATTTCCTTGATAGCTTGCAATATTTCTTTCATACCTTCTTCAAGTTGCTTATTTTCTTCTACTAATTCTTTTACTGTAAGTACATTTTTCTCATTGAATGAATATATCTTTTATACAATATATATTATTCTACACAGATGACAAATATTTAACATATAGAAAAAATAACCACTGGCAAAATTCAAAACAAAAAATTCAAGTACAAATCCAACATGAATAGTTCAGTTGAATGACAGAACTATTTAAATCATGTACACATACATATATATCTACCTCATAGCTGAAATAAATCAGCTTAACATAATCTGTGTTTTACCTTTAAATATTTTAAATTCAGTTTTCTCACTTTACTTTCACCAAAGAACACAAAAGAAAAACTAAGCAAACACCGTTACAAAAAATTTAGAACATCATTTCCTGACAATGAAAACAAGGCAAACCAACTAGATTAACAGCAGAGAATGAACTATATAGATTATGAGGGTAATAACAGATAATACAGAGTGACGAAGCATGTATTAAAGAACTTTCAGACTGATTAATTTTCAATATATAAGAAATAAGTATATGGAAAAATAAGTGAGGACAGTAACTTACATCTATTTTGAAATTTAGTTATTACTGTCTTACTTCTTTCTAAATCTCTTCCTTTTTCAATTAGTTCTCTTGAAAGAAATTCATTCTGGACAAAAACAAGATAAAATTAATATTTTTTATAAAATATCACAAGAGTCTATAGGTTTCCAGCTTTAACAAATGTTTATAAATTGAGGTACAGCACACCAAAAACATGTTACAGACACAGAGCAACAATCATCAAAATCAGATAAAGTCTAAAGGGCTGAAGAGATGGTGCTTTTCCTGCCAGCTTCCCCTCCACCAACCCCCATGGCAAAAGGCAAAGAGAGAAAATGAAGGTTTTGTCTTTAGCAGCACAATCATCTCTTGATCGTCCATCGTTACCCTACCTGTTCTCCCTGGCCTCTATGATGTTCAAGCTCTATTTCTGCATTTCTACTCTGTGGTTCTCTAATCAATAAATCCTGTGCTATGACTTCATTCTAAAGAAAAATTTAATACATTAGGCAAATACATAGCAAATGCGTTGCATTTTTAAATTTTTTTAAACAAAAGAATGTGTATAAGTTAGTGTTAATGTACAAGCAAAAAAACTGTATAAAAGTTGTAGCACATTATTACAGAAATCATCAAAAGGTGATTCCAGGAGTACAACTTGGAGGAAAGCCCACTGGAGATGTAAGAAATGCTAGTCCTCTCTGTGGCCATTCTAAAATATTTTCAAGTGGATTTGAGACAATTGTGATTGTGCAGTAACAGGCACTGAATACAAAAGATTAACTTCAAGCTTACTTTTCAAAGTCTGTAGGAATACTTCTCTTTTTCTTTTGTCTTCTTTCAAACTGACATCAGCATACTTTATGTGGGGGTGAATCTGTTCTTCAGATGTTACTGCTTAAAATTTATCCATATCAACTCTATTACCATATTGTCATTGAATTGGTTGACAAAACACTGAAGATTTTTGCCTAAGTGATACTTTCCATATTAAGTCTGAAGCCGTTGGTAAGGCTTGAAAGGACGAATTGCTCTTTCGTATGAAACCAGTCTTATCTAGCGCTTCATGACTTTCTGATACTTTCTACATACAGTCATCAGAAAGACTATAAATATTCATTTCTTCATGGCTCTCCCTCTCCCTAATATAGGTAGCCACTAATGATTTTAGATTTATTAATGACTGTAGGCATGGTGCTTTAGACATTTCTCTTACTGTAATAGTTTCGGGAGGTGAATGATTATCTTTTACTTGCATAGATGAAGGATGTCTAGTTAAAGAGACAAAAGGATGCACTCTCTACACTACGATGAATTTCAGGTAACATTCCTTTTTTTTTTTTTTTGTACCGGGGATTGAACTCTAGGTCCTTGTGCTTGTGCAACAGGCAGCAAAACCACTGAGCTAAATCCCCAGCCCTTCAGGTAACACTGCTGACACAAAGTCATGTTCTGATCTGATTTGATCTGATTGTGGAATACTGAATGATGCTCTCTTATGTAGCAGTTGTGTCTTATCTAAGCTCTTACTCTGTATTCTGAGCAAATAATGTCTCATTAATCAATGTTTAGATTGATAGGTTATATAAGAAAGAAAACATTTTTCTTTACTCATTTAACAACTATAAAAAGAACAGATGCCCAAAAGGAGATAATGAAGAAATGAAAGCATTAGTAACATTTTCCTTTATTCTCTTTGCCATAATAATACTTTACTACTTACTTTTGATTGTGCTTCATTCATACTGAGGCTGACAAAATTCAGTTTTTGTTCTCCTGTTCTATGTTCTTGAATAAAGTTTTCAGTTAAATTCAGATCCTCAGTCGTTAATCCTACATGTAAAACAATTAACACATTGAAAAAACAAAAATAATTCTTTCTACTGCAATGTTTTAGCTCTTAAAAACTAGAATCAATTTTACCCAAAGTAACAGGTAAAGAAACTGTTTCCAAAATCCTTGATCCATACGTAATCAATATAACCTTCTGATACAGTTCACTTTTTTTTCTTTTTGTGGAACCGGGGATCAAACTTGGGTCCTTGCACTTTCAATGGTACTGGTGGAGCCACTGAGCTAAATCCCTGGCCCTACAGTTCACTTTTAATAAGCTATTAATAATTCAAGAAGCCAGAATTTTATCTTCTCTATCATTCTTTGTCCATTGTATACTAAAAAACTGACGAGTACTAAAATAGTATAAGAACACATACAAAACAAGAAGCACAAAAATATGAATAAACTGGATATTATATTAATAAATTATGAAGCATCACTTCTGCACAAGGTATTTGATGTGTTATAGAAGCCATAGTGCTAAAAAACCATAATATTCTATTATTCATAGATGTTCTTATGGACTTAAGCCAAGTTTTAAAATATATTCCTTTATGATTCTCCAAAAATGCACTGTAATTGCTATTATAAAACTTGACAAACTGTTATCTGTACACTAAGATAAACAATTTACATTCAATAAACCATTACTTGCATTTGGAAAAGAATAATTACAATTTACAAAGCAAGTTTTCATTGCATAATCCTTAAAGAAAGGGAAAATATTAACAAAAGAACTGCTAAGTTTATCATTAAAGATATACTATACATTGATTCCATGATTCTAAAGTCTTTTTATTCTTTTTTTGTTTTTTTTTCTTAAACCTGATTCAGATTCACAACTGAATTAAATTATACTGTTATTTCTTCTTTTGCAGGGTATTATTTTTATTTATTAGCCTTATAACACAGACAGAATAAAAGAGCAAAAGCATCTCCAACATACAGAAAATTTTACATCCATACAATTCATTTCCAAATGATTTTTTTGGGAAGTTTAACTTTTTTTTTTTTGCCGGTATGGGGGATCAAACTCAGGGCCTTGTGCTTACAAGGCAGGCATGGCGGCACTGAGCTAAATCTCCGGCCCCTGTAAATGATTTTTTTAAAGGTATGGTATAACTGAAAATACCTGAATTTGTACTTCTTTCTCCTCTATCCTGAGCCATTTGACGAATTTTTCTTTTCAGATTAAGTCGTTCTTCCTCTAGACTTTCAATCTGCAAAACATGAATTATTAGTAGTTCTCTCTGGTTCAACTATTAAATAATCAATTGATCACCACACTTGCCTCTTTCAAAAGAATCTGGTTTTCAGCTCTGTACTGCTGCTGTTTTAAGCGTTTACTATTTCTAAATTCAGTTAAATCAATCATCGTCTGCGGTTCAAGGCCTACAACAGAAAACAATATAATTAAAACTTTAAAAACATTGAAATGAACTATAAAAGCTTCATACACCATCAAGCAACCAGTTATGTTCACTTAGCTTGTATTCATTAGCCTAAAGAATGGAGTACTTTTGTGCAAAAAATTTCCAGACATTTAACTGTAACAAAAAATTTATCATAATTATTATGAAAATCCTCTGTCTTCTCCAAGTGAGTCTGTCCTAACAGTGTTACAATGAATTAATTAAGAACAGAAACTAAAACAGACTTGGTTTAATTCTCACTTTCAATTTCCATAGAAGTCACAGGGATAATATTATATTTATTTTGGCTTGTCAGAATAATAAAATTAATTTAAACATAGTGCTAGTGTAGTACCTGGCACATGGTAGTTATTTTTAATATTAGTATGAATATTAGTTATCATTATTAGTCTGATGTTCCCAGCGTACCTGTCTCCCAATCTGCTCTCACTTAAGCAGCTGGCCTCTGAAAACCAGATTATCTAAACTGTCTGAAGTAATTACAAGCCAAAACTTGAAGCTTTTTAAATAGAAAATGTGGTGTTTGTGAAAGCTGTCTGGATTGGTTAGAAGTAACTTTTAGAAACTTCCAGATTCCTGGCTGTGAACTGATTGTTCAAGTTAATCAGAAGATTAATCTGATGTCCTAGTATAATCCTAGGTCTTAGTAAGACACTTCACAACTAAATAATCTGTATAAAATCTTTATTTCTCCTTCCTCTTTGGATTAAAAACATGTCTACAGGTGGTCATTTTACCTCTAAGAAAGTATTAAATGATATTTAGCAAGCATAATGAAATCAGTATTTAGATCTTTATTTTCATTTTGAACAAGCAAATTAGATTGAGCAGTCATAACATTCAAACTAACAGTATGAACTGATGACTAATGAAATTAATATATACATTTTAAAGCCATGTTTACAAATAACTTCTTAGGATTAATGGAACTCTTCAGCTATTCAAATAAAACTTAAGCATTCCAAATTGTAACACTCAAATATTTAAAAGTCCTTAAAAGGTCTGAATAGTATTTATACATTCCCTCATGAATTCATCTGAAACAAAGTATTTTGCAAAGGAATAAGTCCTATAGGCTCTTCTTTTAGGAGGAAAAAACAAAAAAGGTTAAAACATTGAAATGAACTACAAAAGCTTTTAAAGAAGCAGTTATTACTGAGCAGATACCAGGACTGAATAAGCAGTGCTCTGGGCCTCTCCACCCACCATTCCAACACCATGAAATCCCCGAGTCCACTTCAGGGCAGCTCTACTTTGGTCTTCACTGTTTTTATTGAAGTATTAATTTGAAAAAAAGAGAAACATTTAACTACTTAAAATAAAATTAATAAACACACCAAAAGTAAACAAGACAGACGTGAAACATTCAAGAAAATTAAAATCTTTTCTTTTTCATTAAGTTTATGGTACATTTTAGGCATACAATATGATGACATTTCTCATTGGGAATTTGTACCTTTACATGATACATCTTGGTTCTTATTTTTACCCCATTTTCCTGCACTCCCTTCAATCCCTCCACCTCTCCCTATTTATAAGAAAACTATAATCTTAAAAGACTGCTTACCCATACGCTCTCTCAATGCCTCGTTTTCATCAAGGAAATCATTGATCTTCAACTCAAGTTTATTGATCTCCTTGGTTAATACTTCAATGTCTTGATCTCTTATTTTAATTTGGTTTTTACAATTCTTTATTTCAATAACAGCATCTTCTAAACCATATACTCCCTAAAAAATACCCAATGACATTTAAATATGCTTCATTTGAATAAATCAAATCCATGAATTTATTTTTTATTAAGTCTAAAGAGAAATAAGTATATACCTACAATTTATATGGCAGACATATATAAGGGTTTTTGTAAATTTTAAATTAATTTTTAACCTATATTTAAAAACATAAAAATTACATTTTAAAATTACATTTATTGTGCTTTTATAAGCCAAATCTAGTAATAATGATGGGAATATGGAACAGCTGAAACTTCCCAGTGTGTTATTCTAATGGCAAAGTGACTCAAATTATTGCATATAAAATACTTAACAAAATATAGAAAAAAATTAAAAATTAATCACCAATACATATATAATTAGTTGCCGGACTTACTTTTAATCAGATTTAAGAGAAAATATAAAGTACAAAGTAGACTGTTGACACAGTAAGTGACAAAACTGCCTCTGTCACAAAAAAGTTTTATCAAACCAGCAGTGGTGTCACATCTACAGGGTGGCCCAAAGCACACAGATAACAAAGCATCTAATCCTGCCACTCATCAAAGCTGCTTAAGTGAGCAAAATGCTATGGCCAAAACAATTCTCGTAACAAAAAATGAATGCTCAAAAGCTTGAATCGTTTAGCAATTTAATCAGGACAATATTTATCGAGAGACTCAGGAGTGTTCTTTAAATAGTATATAGTAAGAGACAAAGAACAGTCTGAGTGGCAAAAATAAATGTAAGCTCCTTGACTGACAAGATAAAAATACATACCGATTCATAATCTTTTAATCGCTTCACAGCCTCAATTAATTCTTTATCCTTTTCTCTAGCATCCCCCTCAGCTAGCTCAGCTGTTCTCTCTGCCTCTTTAGTTTTCTCTTCTAAAATTTGCAACTTTGACTGAATTTTCATATAATGAGTCTGTTGAGAAAGATCTGAAGCACCTACAGGGTAAACAGAAGAATTATGAGTTAATCATGATTAGTCTTTTAAATCAGTGGTTCCAATATGAGGACAGTAGTATGCCACTAAAAAAGCTTGGTACACCCTCGCTTCCGTGTCTTTGAAATTATTCCCTCTCCTTACAGCCATCTGCATGACTTACATTCTTAATTTCTCTTTTAATCTGTTTTCCATTATTCTCTCAGTGAAGCTTTTGCTTCACTATCTAAATGATTATTCTATAAACTCACTATTTCCCATTCAGGTCTTTTTAAAAATCTTTAGATATTTTAATAAACATATTCATGAATTTGTCATGAATAATTTATACTAGGATTCCCTTCTGTACCTACAGTATGCAGTGCTAGGCAAATACAACAGGACTCATGCAGAGGGGGCATGATGATTAGCAAAACTGATGTTAGGTAAGGTAATAGGAATTTTAGAGAGAATGTGATGAGACATTAACTTGGGTAAGATTAATTCAAATGCGGATGTCTCAAATTCTGAAAACTAACTGGAATGCTGACGTGGTGATTAAAATTTTATTCTCTCCATTCTTTGTTAAGTATAAAAGAAAAGTTAAATAAAAACAATTATATTACCATTTTCCTTTTTTACATAATCAGTCTAATAAAAGTGTTAATGTAATTTTCTTTCCTTTTTTCTTTTTTTTTTTTCCTTCGGCTTTTTGAGACAAGGACTCCCTATCTAGTTCAGGCTGGGCTTGAACTCACTATGTAGCCCAGGCTGGCCTCAAACACCTGGTTATCTTCCTGCCTCAGCCTACCAAGTACTGGGATTATAGGCATGAGCCACCACACCCAGCTGTAATTTTTCATCATAGAGGAAAAACAAGACAAAACATTCATCTTTTACAAATTTAAGCAAATAAACAATAATATCCTATATAATTTTAGAAAATATGGCAAAATTGAAATGGAGAACAATAATATATCTGACACAATTTTAAGAAAAAATGGCATATAAAGTTAACTGTATACTTATGAAATACTGAATTACCTTTGTTTCTTTGGAGCTCATTTTTCAAATCTTCAATAATAAAAGTATTTTTTTCCATTTCTTTTGTATATTGTTCTATTTGTTCAGTGAGCATCTTAATTTGATTATCTCGTTCTTGCACACCCTAAAAAATATTTCAAATTATCACATTCCCCTTCATGTGTATCAACATACATTTTTCAAGGTGAAGAAAAAGGGAGGTATTAGTTTATAACAAGGCTACAGAAAATGCTTTCTTGTGGGTAAAACTACGCCTTTTACATTTTGTATATCTCAAGTGCATGACATCATGTTAAGTTCAGAGGTGTCACTTTGAGTTTTACCCTGAGCTTTCTCTTTTACTCAATTTTGCCTCTGTCTCTTCAGTAATTCATTCAGAAATGCTGCTCCTTATAATTCTTCTAATTTTCCAAATATTCCTCAAATTTCATTCTTTCTTATGGACTATGAGTAGAAAGAACATGGATAATGAAGTGTGGCTTCTATTTGAGTATATGTATTTTAATAAATATAAAATCTATAAGTAGCCATTGAAATTATAACCACACTTTTAGTTGATTTCACATTTTATTGATTATATCAACACTAAGATATATCTTAATAAGAGCTGTAACATATTTTAAAATCTGAATGTTTTTAAAAGAAAATTTTTGACCAAAATAATGTTTATAGCCACATCAATAGAAAAAAAATAAGATAACTCCATTCCTAACTGTACCCTTTACTCTAAACTTCATTCTAATTATTTTCTGGGAACTAGTATAAGAAAATTCAAAATACTATACACCCAGTAACGGAAGCCACTATATTTAAGGAACAGATGATACAATAAGATAATTCAGACTACCAATTTTTAAAAACTGGTTGATGAATCAAATTTTGATAAGTTTTTACCTCTTGTAGAGCCATAATGTTACTTTTATCAGCATCAAGCTGGGCATTTTTAAGTTTCTCTCTTAGATTATGTAACATTTGCTGATATTCAATAATTTCATCATCTTTAGAAGACAAAATTAACTAGAAATAAAGCAAATGGGATGTTACAAAACATGGAAATTAATAAATCATTCTTCATTTATGGTAAATAACAATATATCATTAGAACACTGAAGAAAAACAGAAAAGACCTAGGAGTGGTGGTGCATTCCTGTGATTCCTGCACTCAGGAGGCTGAGGCAGAAGGATTGTTTTAAGTTTGAGACTAAAAAAATTATTTCAACAACCAGCAACTACCACTACAACTTTTGCTCATTTTGTATATATAACTGGAAGTTCAGACTCAAAATACACACTATAATTTTCACTTTTAAAAAGTTCAATCTTATTTGAAAAAGTGCTAGGTCTCAAAACTCACTTTTCAAAAAGTTATGAGTACCTCCACATAAAAAGTTTTTAATACAATTGATCTTTATGGAATGAACATTAGAATACTGAGAGATATAAAATATCTTGAATGTATGAAAAGTATTTGTATTCTTAGTGAGACCAAATATCATCATAAAAATGTTCATCCTTAATCTATAAATCAATTTATAACTTTTACATACACCCAATTAAAAAAAAGATTTTTTAAACAAATGAACAGCCTATTTCTAAACTTGTTCATAAGGGTCTAAAACCAGAAAATTTATAAAAACAGCCTTTTTAGATATTCAGATATGTAATAATTAAAATAACTATACACTGTTAGAAAATGGGTAAATAAAAAGGAGTCCAGAAATAAATCTAAATTCAACAGATCTGTATGTAATAAAAATGATACTGTATGTCAGTGTGAGAAAGATGAAATATCCAATGCTATTTGAATAACAGAGTAGCTCTGTTGCATCCTTTTAAATTCTTTATGCCAAAGTGGATTATACATGCTTCAAAGATTGAAATGTAGAAGATGAAACCAGAAGATACTAGGAAATAATACGATAAAACAAGTTTATATAAAGAAGCTTTCTTAGTTATGAAATAAAGGTTAAAAGCCTCTAAAAATATATTTAAATAAACAATATAAAAATACTTCATATTAAAAGCTACCACAGAGCCAAAAGATAAGTGACAAAACTGGAGAAATGCATCTGGAACATATATCACAATTATACTTGTGGCAATTTACTTTACCAATATATATGTACTTTTTCAAAACAGCATACATACAAGGATATTCACTAAAACATTCTAACAAAAAATTAGAAACCTATAAAATGCACACAATAGAGAATTATCAAACAATGTACATATGTACACAGAAAAATTACACAGCCATTAAAAAGAACAAAGCAACACTGTATAGACTGACATAAAATCACTATAACAAAATATTAAGTCAAAACAAAGTACAGCAAACATACAACATAATGGCATTTCCTCATCAAAAAATAAAAACAATTATTTTTTCCAAGGGCTAGTAAATTATGGTGCACAGGGGAAATCTGGTCTGCTACTTGTATTTGTAAATAGTTTTACTGAAAAATATTCTTGCATATTTAGTTAGTTTACTGTCTGTGGTTGTTTTCAGGTTGTACCAACAGAGTTGAGTAGTTATAACAAGAGACTAGATGGCCTAAAATATTTACTCTCCAGCCCTTTACATAAAATTTACTTACCCATGATTCCTCAGGCCTCATCTTCAATGCTATTGCTTTTGTCTCAAGTAGATATTATCTAACTTCCCAGATGATAACCAATCCCAAAATGCCACAGTTCAATTCCAACTGTAAACCTACTAGAAGCACTGATGCTAGTATTGAAGGCTTTTAAAATAAGAATTATTAATTCAGTCATATTCGATGTTTGTCAAATATGCAAACATCACAATCCCAGCTTCTCATATTTTAAGGCTGTGGAACTGGTTGAGATTTTAGTGTGGTGAGGAAAAAGAGATGGAAGCTGAAATTCCTACGTGATTCTGAGCCATCACTTTCATCATTCCCTTACTCTCTGATAATCTTAATTTGAAAGCACTCATTCAGTAACAAGCAAGAGGACACTTTGGAGCTTTTATTATAATAAACTTGTAAAAAAACTAATTAAAATGTTATTCACTAGCATAAGTTCTTTAAATGAAAATCAGACTAAAATTTAAATCTAAAGTATAAAATGAAAAAGATATTATATCCATTGAGAAAAGCACCTTCCATTCTTCTACTTTGGCATTGACAGCTACCATGATTGGATCATCTTCTTCATTTTTTGCTTTCAGAAGATCTGTAAGTTCCTGTACCTAAAATGCAACAATTATTTCAAGAACCGGTATAAATTGGTACAATATAAATATAATTATTACATATGCACATTTATATATGTACACATACACATATATAGATGTATTACACTTATTATCTATTACAGCCATAGTCTTGTGGTTAAAGATTACATTCAATGGTTTCTGAATCTATTCATTTTGAGTAACTATTAATCCAAAAATTCAAATTCTGGAACATTCCAAAACTGGCCACTATTTGGCACTGACATGATGCCACAAATATTAAAATTCCACACCAGACCCTATGTGATAGGCTTCAGTCAAAACATGGGCACACTAAAAATGTTATATAAAATTATCTTCAGGCCATATATATCAGGAATACATGAAACACAAATGAATTTAGTGTTTAGACTCAGGTCTTATCCCCAGGCTATCTTGTTATGTATATTCACATACTATAAAATCTAAATAAATTCAAAATCTGAAACACTTCTGTCCCCAAGCATTTCAAATAAGGGATACCCAAGCTGTCATAATTACCTTTTATTATTAAAGAACTATATTTTTAAACATTATTCTTCATTTTAAACAAGTTTAATCCCAAATAGTGAACAATGTATTGGTTTCTAATACATTCATAGCATATTTATTTTAAGATTTATCTTCAGCAGTAAATCCCCATAATTATGATCTTCGTAAAACTATCTATACATTCAATCAGGTATCATTTATAGCAACCCTAGACAGCAACAATTACAAAGCGCTTATGAGGAGATTAAAGAAACAAACATATCAAGATGGCAACATATTACAGTACTAAAAAGAGAAAATCTGCATCTTAGAAAATCAAAATATTTCTAGTTTCAAACAGTAATGAAACAATATGAAGTCTTTCTAAAAAGTCATTGTAACAGTTATTCTTACTTGAAGTCGATAGTGATCATTTTCTTTTTTTAACTGGTCCACAATATTATCTGTCTGATGCACAATAGCTTTCATCCTATTATATTCATCAGTCATCTTCTCCATTTCCTGTACGGACTCTTCCAGATTTTTTCTCATTTCTTGATTCTGAACTTCAATTTTCTCATTAGCTTCTGTTAAAGTCTAAAAAAAATTAGAGACACAATAACTTTTAAGAAACTGAAATTTATAGGAAAAGTAAATGGAACCATAAGTATACAATGGGTAAAAAAAATTCTTTGACTTCTAGGATAAATTGATGTCAACCAATTAAAACAAATTAGATATCAAGAAAATTATACATAAATATCTCAATCTTAACACTCAAGATAGACATTCATAAAAAGAATAAGCAAGGAATTGCAACTTCAAATATGCAATTTATTTCATGCCTTCCAAGTACAGAGTGACAGGTTTATAATATGGCATTTACATTGTAAACAAATTATGATTCTATGGGAATCATTGCTCTGAATGACTTGTTCATTTTACCTGAATTTCATCCAGATATTGAACAAGCTCATAGTTTTTTTTAGACAATTGTGATCGGTAGTCACTATCTTCTCCTCTTCTTGATAGAAGCGATTCTCTTTGAGAATCTATTTGTTTCTGGTAGTCAATAATGTCCTGACGAAGCTGTTCATTCTGAAAATACCAACACAACATTGCTAAGAAACTGTCTGGAAAAACAAAATTACATCCTCTCATTAGTGTGCTTAGATCATATCTTTAAATTCCCAAGCTTTCACCACCCTTAAAGCCTCACCTTTTTCTTTAGACGTTTGTTCTCCAGAAAAGGACATGAGAAAGGTAATTAGAAATGAGAAAAGCAACACAAAATTAAAAATAATAGCTAGAAATTAAAACGAAAATTAAGAAATTTTAAGAAAATGAAGTATACTGTTTTGAATAACCAAAGAAAGTAAGAACAACAACAACACAAAGAACATTTTGATTATTTTGGAAAGAATGCCTATCAGGATAAATGATGCACAAACATTATTTGACCCGGAAATCAAATAATCAAGAGTATGTAAGATTTCATGAGAAACAAAAATTTTAAAAGAGTGCTGGATACAAGGATAATAAGAACAGAAATTCAGTCATATATTCCATTGGTGAATTAGCAAAGACTAGTTTATGTAACAAAAAGCTAGATTTACCTACGCAGAGCTAAGAAATGCATGTAGTACTTAATGGCGTCAAATTTTATTTTCTAATTCCCTGAGATAAAATATCATAAAATCAGTTAGTTTAAAACATTGGTTACTTAGAAGATTCCATTACTGGTTACAATACAGATTTATACAAACTTTTTTAGTAAATATTTTTGTTGAACTACCACAACTACTAAAATGTTTTACCAACCTCTCTTCTTAATTTGCTGTTTTCATTTTCTGCCTCCTCATTTCGAAGAGCCAACTAAAAGCAAAAAAGTAAATAAGGTAAAATTGAGCAGCAATTCAGTATAAATGCAAGTTTTCAGCTTGTTGATTTTAATTCTAAATCCCCTCAAAAGACAAGGTTTAGCTATCAAGGCATAAAGAAGATAAAATTTTTGAAAAATAAGGATTAGAAAGGAAAAAAAGGGCCCAGTTTAAAAGATTTAAAAACCATACAAAAAAATCCAAAGAATACAAAAACAGAAAATATAGAATATAAATTATTTCTCTCTTACCACAAAAAATTCCCTAATAAAATGAGTGGTTTTAAGTACAAGATTATTGTATTTTGTGGTTCTTCTGGGTGATGGCTGGAAAACTATTTGCTCTTAGTGGAGCACTGAGTTACTAAGAAATGTATGGGAGGCACACCATAAAGTTTAAATAATTCAAATTGAGATAAGAATGGCCTAGGTTTATATACCATGTCCATCAATTTCTAGTAAAGTGTGGGGAAAAAAAATCATTGAATATCTCCTAAATGCAATTTTTTCACCTCAGATGTTGACATAAAAATTAAATAAGATATACATAAAGTCCTTAACAAAATGCTTAATGATGGAATAGCAAAAAGATAATGTTTTCTTCTTCACATATAAGTGATTTCATTTCTGTTGTGTTTCCCTAAATAAGCAGATATCACTATAATCATAGTGATGGTCTACCTACTCTCCAAAAACCATCCCTCTGAAGACCTTCCACTATCTTTCACTATTCTGTTCTCTCCCTTACTCAAGCAGAAGACAGACTCATGATGTGCAACCACACTTAAAATTCTACAATAAAGAACCAAATGCAATGTGTGATCCTTCAGGAAACCTTGGATACTGAAGATAGAAGGTAAGATCTATGAAGGATATTATTGGGCAAACAGAGGAAATCTGATTTTAGACATTAGATAATCATACTGAGCATAATTACATTGTGATTATGGATAATTTTTTTTATAAAAGACATACTAAGATATTTAATTCTGAAGTATCATGATATCTGCAATTAACTCTGGTTCTCAAAAGAAAAACAAGTGAGTGAGAGAGAAGTATGTATATACGAAGATACTGACAGGAAGATAAAGCTAAATGTGGCACAGTTCTAAGAACTGGTGAATCTCCATGTGAGGAATATGAATGATCACTGTTTTTCTTACAATCATGAAGTTATGACAATTTTTGAAATAAAATTTTAAAGAAAACTTACAGTAAAAATCAAAGTGCAATATAAATTTTAGAAGTTTGCCTATTATTGAGAATTAAGAAAGAGTCGCATTGCATTCTGAACTGCAAAATTTTAATGAGAGAAGCCAAGGACTGAATACTTAAGCATTTAATGTTACTGATGCTCTTTTTCTCCTTGGCCTCTCAAGTATCACACCCTTGATACTCTTTCCTTCAAAGCACCTTCTCCTATTTCATTGTTTTACTAGGCATTTCTCAGGGTACATATTATAATCACTTGCCTTCTATAAAATCATAGTGATAACCCATAAATCCTCATCACTGCCTTGTGCAGTGGTGGTGAACCTATGGCACGCATGCTGGCTGCAGCAGTCTGTCTATCACCAAAAGCTCAAAAAGTTTCAGCATCACTGGCCTAGTGTCTCTTAAAAATGCAGATCCACAGATATCCTTTCTGAGATGCCCGCAACGATCTCAAACACAACGTGTATAAAACTGAAATGACAATCTCAAACCTCTAAACTCTTGTGTCCCTTCTTATAAATGGCATTCTCTCTATCCAGTGGCCAACCCACAAAATTAGCTATACTCTTCATTCCCTCCTCTCCTCTGACAACCAATCATTCATACACAATCAATTATATACAAGTACACTTACTTCTCTCACACATGTCTATGCTTCTTCATCTCATCCATACCACTTTCATTAGGCCATCATCACCACTTGCCCAAATTAATACAAATGTCTCATAACTAGGTTTGGCCCTCTAATCCACTCTCTACAAAGAAGACCTACAAACAATAGGTTTGAGCAGGATAACCTCATGTTCTTTGACTCCTTCTAGGAAAAGAACCAAATTCTTTAGGAACTGGCCCCTGCTTATCTCTGGAGAGGATAAAAGAATATCAAAACTGGGAAGACAGGACAGCACAGTGATTAAGAGAACATACTCTTGAGTGGGACTTCCAGATTTAAATCCTGGCTTTACCACTTACCAGCTGTGTAACCATGGGTAGACACATATACTATCCATGTCTCTTAATTTTTTCATTTGTAGCATGGTAGAAATGACATGATGAGTATCTCATCACGATGAGCATCAAGTGCAAACAATGAATTAATGCATATACAGTGCCTGGGACATAGTAAAGACACTATGGAAGCTGTTTTATTTATATGTATTTCTGCCAAAATGAATAATTACTGGTCCTGAGTATACTGTAGTATCTCTTACTTCTAGGTCTTAGCAAATGTTTTATTTTCTATCCAGAATGCTCATTCCTTAGTCACCACATACATTCTCATTTCTGTTGCCACACTACCTCCTACCTTAGGTCTCAGTTTTTAGACTGATTCCTGAATTGCAATACTGATTTGGTATACTTGCCCAGAGTATGCCACAATATTCTTACATCCTTATGCTTCCCCAAAGTACCATACTATCCCTATGTTATGCTTATTCCTGATTATGAATATCCTTGAGAACTAGAAAATAGTTACTGTAGCACTAGTATATAGCAAAGTCTTCGGTATGCAGTAAATATACAAAACCAACTGATAAAGGCAAAGAAAGAATTGCTCTAGCAACCTACACCCACATTCAATCTCTTAAAAGCTGCAAAGCTACACAGGTTAGACATTCCACTTTTCCAAATCTACTGTGCATATAAATACATTAATACATGTATAAATTTTTACCCAAAATAAACCGGGACAGTAAGAAAATCAATTGTTTATGAATGCCTATTAATTTCTTTATACCAATATTCAAGATCAAAGTATCAATTTTATGTGTGTATTATAATGTCCTCAGAAAAATATGCATCCAAATATAAAGGATTAATCTCCAAGTTATATTCACTTGAAGTACTTAATCCACTTTATTTTAAAGATGAAAGGACAAAATGAACAGTAATTTAAAATCTTACAGACAGATGTAGATCATTCCTCACGATAATACAGAACATAAAACTGATATTGTTAAAAAGACTATGTTCCACAAGGACATCTTAACTTGAACAGTGAAGATTCACTGAAGAATATGTGCCTTACCTGTTCATTAACTTTCTTTTCTTTATTCAATTCCTTTTCTATGTCCTCCAATTCTCTGTCTTTTTGTTCCAACTGCTTTTCAAGTTGGCGAATTTCATCACGTAAAAACCGAGTGTCCCGTCCACCTGCAGAATGGTGAGCCATCTCAAAGCGAAAAACCAAAGCATAAATTAGTTCCATTATTTTGGGGGGTTTGACTGAATCAACAAGCAAATAATTATCTTGATTTTAAATCTTCACTATGCTTCTTCAGCACCAAGTTTAAAATATTACTTTAAAAACTACTTTTTAAAAAATATGTAACTCATGTAAGTTTTAGTACACAGGAATACAAACCTTTACCTTTTCCTGAACCACTGAGAGCTATAAACAATTGACTGTTAATCACTCAGACTCTGTTACAGCCACTTAGGCACCACCCAATCTTGATTTCTTTACCTATTCAGCTTTCATAATCATCACACTTCAGGGACTTTCCTATCAAGATGAGCAACTGCCCTATCTTTCTATTCTATACCACCACCTGGGGAAAAACTTACAATGAATCAATCCACCTTTATAAATCATTTATCACAGTTCAGTAACATAAATGTTATAGAAAGTGTTTGAAATTTTCCTAAGAGCTGGGAATCAGCTGGGATAGGAAATATCTCATCCAAGTTCAAAAAAATCAGGACTGGAACTCAAATCCATCAAACTCTAGACTCTCAATGCTCCAGTCCATTCTCTATCACATTTTGAACTTTATCTGACAATTTCAAATTTTATGTGACAACCTTAGAATTCAACCATACTACCTATATACTACTATTCATCTTCACTCTCACAACTTCCAAGCACTAAACCTAAAACATAAAAATTTCTGTACAAGGCCAGGGATTTAGCTCAGTGGGTTCGCCGCCTGCTGTGCAAGCTCAAGGACCCGAGTTCGATCCCCGGTACCAAAAACAAAACAAAACAAAACTTGCTGTACAAATCCACTTTTACTTCTCTCCTAATACAAAGAAGTCTTCCTTCTACCAAAGGCTAATCCCTTGTATCACATTCTTTCCTACCTTATCAGGAATTTCAATGTATTTAGTTCCTTAACAATACATTCATATTTTAGCCCTTGGCTTTGTCAAAAAGGACTTTTACCACATTCTCCCATCATTATTCCTTAACTAACAGACGCTTCCCTCCATCTCAATTATTAGTATTCCTTCTGCACTTCTCTGGATTTATCTCTATCCAGCTGTTAAGGGCTTTATTTACTTTTTAAATTAATTTAATTGGTACATTTTAGGTATATAATATCATGACATTCATCATTGGAAATTTGCACCTTTACATAATCTCTTGGTTCTTATTTTTTCCCCATTCCCCTGCTTTCCTTTCAACCCCTCCACCCCTCCCTATCTACAAAGACTTTGTTTCCATTTTTTGTTTTTCTCATATAAATTCCATTCCCTTCTTTCCTTAACCCTACCCCTCCCACTTCCCCTTCCCCTTTGCCCCTTTTCTTCCTATTTCACATTATCTATTATACCTTTTAGACCTTATTTACTTTTAGTTCCTCACAATAGAGAAACTATTCAGTATTTACACGTATGTCCTATTTATTTCACTTAAGAGTATCGCCTCAATATGCATAAACTTAGCTATAAATGTCTCTAATTTCTCATTTTTTATGGCTGAGTAGTACTCCATTTTAGAAAAAAAAAACACATTTTCTTTATCCATTCTCCAGTTGATGGGCATTTGGGCTGCTTCCAAGTTTAAGCTACTACAAATTGTGCTGCTATGAACATGGGTGGCACATACATCACTGTGGTATGATTCTTTTAATTCTTTGGGGAAAATACCCAGCAGGGGACTAGCTGGGTCAAACGAGACTTCCAGTTCTAGTTCTTTGAGCCATCTCCATACTGATTTCCACAGTGGTTGCACCAGAGGATCATCAATACCTACTTCGAGAACCTATCTGCCAGTAAGGTGGAAAATACAGGAGAAATGGACAGAATCCCAGATAAGTGTGAATTACCACAGTTGAACAAAGAAGACCTAAAAATTCTAATCAACCCAATATCAACCAATGAAACTGAAAATGTAATTAAAAACTTACCAACAAAGAAAAGCCCGGGTCCCGAGGCCTTCACTCCTGAATTCTACAGGACATTTAGAGAGGAACTTCTGCTACTACTGTTCAAACTCTTCAATGAAATTGAAAGGGAAGCAATACTCCCAAATTCATTCCTGGAAGCAAGCATCACCTTGATCCCCAAAGCAGAGAAAGACTCAACAAAAAAGGAGAACTATAGGGCAATCTCACTAATGAACATAGATGCAAAAATCCTTAATAAGATACTGGCAAATAGAATGCAGAAGATCATCAAGATCATACACCCTGATCAAGTGGGATTCATCCCAGGGATGCAAGGATGATTCAACATACTCAAATCAATCAATGTAATACACTATATCAATAGAGCCAAGGACAAAAACCATATGATTATCTCCATAGATGTAGAAAAAGCATTTGACAAAATCCAACATGCATTTATGATAAAAACCCTACAAAAAATTGGAATAGATGGTCTCTACCTCAAACTGATAAAAGCCAACTATGAAAAACCAACAGACAATATCATACTAAATGGTCAAAAACTGAAATCCTTCACACTAAAATCAGGAACAAGACAAGGATGTCCACAATCACCACTCTTATTCAATATAGTTCTGGATACATTAGCCACGGCAATTAGACAAGAGAAAGAAATAAAAGGAATAAAGATAGAAAGGAAGAATTTAAATTGTTATTATTTGGAAATGAAAAGATACTCTATATAAAAGACCCAAAAACCCCACCAAAAGTCTTCTAGACTTAATAACCAAATTCAGTCAAGTACCTGGATACAAGGTCAACCCACAAAAATCAACAGCTTTCCTCTACACAAACAACAGACTCATTGAGAGAGAAGTAGGGCAAACAATTCCATTCAAAATAGCATCCAAAAAACTGAAATACCTAGGAATCAACCTAACAAAAGAAATCAAAGACCCCTTCTCTGAAAACTATAGCACTCTGAAAAGAGAGACTGAAGATGATATCAGAAAATGGAAAGACATCCCTTGCTCCTGGGCAGGAAGAATCAACATACTTCCAAAACTGCTATATAGATTCAATGCAATCCCAATTGAAATCCGAGCAGCATACTTCACGGACTTGAGAAAACAATCCAAAAATTCATTTGGAACCAGAAGAGACCCAGAATAGCAAAAGCAATTCTAGGCAACAGAGACATGGCAGGAAGTATCACAATCCCCAACCTGCAACTATACTACAAAGCTACTGTGTTAAAAAGAGCATGGTACTGGCAAAGAAACAGGCCTGAGGACCAGTGAAACAGATTAGAAGATGCAGAAACAACTCCAGACACACTCAGCCACCTCATCTTCAACAAAGGAGCCAAACACCCTCACTGGAGAAGAGATAGCCTCTTTAATAAATGGTGCTGGAAAAATTGGGTTTCAACTTGTCAAAGATTAAAACTAGACCTGTAACTCTCACCATGCACTAAACTAAAATCAAAATGGATTAAAGATCTAAATATTAAAACAGAAACGGTGAACCAGCTGGAAGAGAGGTTAGTTAGAACTCTTGAAGACATTGGTGTAGGAAAAGATTTTATGAACAAAAGCTCAGTTGCCTGTGAACTAGCACAAACAATCAACAAGTGTGATCTCTTCTTATTAAAAAGCTTCTGCACAGCAAGAGAAATGACCAACAGTGTGAAGAGACAACTCACAATCTGGGAAAAAATTTTCACCTGCTATGCCTCAGACAAAAGTCTACTACCTAGGATATATAAAGAACTTAAAGAAAAAATCAGACCTCCCAAATTTAAAGATCCAATCCAAATCTGAATCCATCTGAAACGAGCAGACATTTCTCACACAAAGAAATAGAAATAGCAAATAAACATGAAAAAATGTTCAACATCACTGGTCACTGGAGAGATGCAAATGAAAACAACACTGAGATTCCACCTCACCCCACAAAGAATAGCTGCTATCATGAAATCAATCAATAACAAATGCTGGTGTGGCTGTGGGAAAAGAGGAACACTGCTCCACTGCTGGTGGGAATGTAGACTGGTGCAACCACTGTGGAAATCAGTATTTTTTTTTCAAATGAAATATTTAATCCTAGTAGAATTTAAAGCACATAAACATATAGTAGTTGAACAAAAAAAACTATGAGCACAATCTCATCACTGTGATTTTTCCAGACAATAGCAAATATTAAAAATAATTCAAAATAATAAAATAAGTAAAAAATACAAAAGGACATACCTCGAGTTCATCTTCTAGTTTCATTACTTTCGTTTTTAGTTGATTTTCTATTTTTTCAAAAGGCAAATATTTCAATTGGTTAGATCTGCCTCAAAAGATTAAAATGAATTTCAAAAAAACAGCAAAATTATTGCTTTTAAGATTATATCATGATTCTAAACATCAACAAAAACAACTATTACATATCAGATCCATGAAATAGGAATTCTAGAAATGCTTTCAAAGTAAACTGAATACACATGTTTTATAGACTAGGTTAAACCTAATGTTCTATTGATTAATGATAAATGCAATTTCTTAACATCACAGTAAACTTTTTTCAAGGTATTTACCAAATTTTGCTTGTTCTTCTCCTGCTTTTTCAACTTCTTCCAAAGCTAGCTCTACTTCTTGAGCTTTCATCTAAACACGAACAGAAAAAAAAGTTGTATTTATACACTGTGTTGAGAGCAATTCTAGATTAATTTTGGGGAAAAAGTCATTTCACAATTAAATTATGATTAGGCCTAGTTTTCCTGCCTATAGGCTGGTGATGGTATGTCAAAACATAACTCCATTTTTGCTTCCAGTCACAGCTAAAACCTCAGTGGTCCCTTGATGCTGTGACACTCAAGGGCAAGATTATATTAGCTGAAGACATCCTGGTTCCTTGAGAACCGAGTAGTAAGAGAAAAGTTTCACCTGGGGAGGAACAAATTCCTTATCAAATTAACTCATTCCACCTACTACTGTAAGAATGCTCTCCTTACAGTCCTCCTAAACATAAGAACCTTGTGACCTAAGATCTTCATCAGCATAAAATTCTCATCTACCTAGGATTACCTCTGCCCACTAAGTCACCTGATTTTCCCTCCAAATATTTTGTGTACCCAGTAAATAGTGGCCAGGTCAGAGAGTCTTTGTCTTTGCCTGCTCTGAGGCACTGACCTCCCGGACCCCATATACTTTGAAAGTCTCTGTTTTTTTTTTTTTCTTTAGCCCTCGCCGTCCCCCTTTCTAGGCAGTCGGCGTATTGATCGCAGCTCTGATAATACACCTTTATACTTTCACGCGAGCATTAAAAATAAAAATCGTTTTACTTGTTATGCCAATCTTAACAACAGCAATGGTGTCACAAGGAAACATTCAGTAATTATTTGCTGAATTAATAAATAAATGAATGATTTTTCAAACTTAGGGCTATAATTTCTAGATCTGCAATAGTTTGAAACACTGATTCTTTTTTCCTCAAATTTTATATCCTGCATTTCTAGTACTTCTAGAAATGACTTCTAGAGTTTTTCACTACAGCACCTCTTTTTTCTCTTGCAATTAATATACTAGTCTATAAATTAATGTTTCAACTTCTTCACAGTGTTACAGATAATCAGCCACAATTCCCTTCGATTTGTCTTAGGTAACATACCCAGATTTGCATATTTTGTATATATAAACTATGGTTCAAAAATCTTTATTGGCTTCTCAGTTGAGGCGAGCATAAAATACACCTTTAAGGCTCTTTGTGGTCTATCTCAAACTACTTATTCAACATTACTTTTCGTCTACAACCTGCTATAAAATTTCTGTACTTGTTCGTTCAAATGCAAAGAGTAAGTCCTAATATCCCTATTCCTAACATTTATGATAACCACTGACCCTAGAAAATCCTTTTGCATCTTACCAGTGCTTTGCACTTAATCCAAAACTACTGCTTAATCTTCCTTCTTTATGGAGACTTCTCACTTGGTTTAAATCACTCCTCCCTCCCCATCCTTTATAGCAATCTTTATAGCAACCATGGTTTGCAATTATTTGGACTGAGGATATGTCTCTTTCTGCTATTTTTAAACATACCTATTGTATTCCTCTACACATTTCTTTTAGGAATTTTACAGCAGAAACTAGGTTTTGCACACTACAATTCTCAATCCACACCTGAAGTTACCTCTTGAGAGGTAATCTAGGTATTACCAAGTACTTTCACAGAGATTACCTTACATAAAAACATATTCTTACATTTTCTCTAAGACTCAAACTTACTATTAAAATCTACCGCATACAAACCTTCATTAATGACTGAGTAATCCTGAAAAGATGTATCACATTTTCTTGATCTTCATTTTTTAGGTCATTTGCTTCCACCTAAGTAAACAAAAAAAGCAACTATTTTATAATCTTTAAGCAAAATGTAAGAACTCCTCCAGTAGTATTTTTCAACGATTTCAGAGGTAACTCAATCACAGTTGCAAATACATACAAATATATATATAACTTGTCAATCAAGTACCTTGGATAAGGAAATCAATAAATTATCTGCCAATTCTTCCTGACGAGGCAGTTCATCTGGATCAACTTTGATTAGTTCTTTGAAGTTTATATTAGGTGGCATCTTGAATCCTTTTACTGTGCGCCACCTCCTGTAACAAAACAGGTAAGTATCAGCGTTCTGAAGGTAAACATTACTGTGTTTACAGTATCATTATAACTTTCTAAGAGGTTAGCAAAGGGTTATGGCTCCTTAAGCGCAAGACAGAAACGTGGGCAAAGTAGCCTTGATCAAAATTATACCATTCGGCACAAGCCATCATACTGGACCAGCTAAATAAAATAGGGCGACTTCTTTGCCAAAATCTACACAGGTCAAAACTAAGCTTCTAAGTCCGCGCGCAAACACCAGATAGTGCCCAAGCACTGGGGAATCTGGATGGATGACGCCTGATTCTCAGAAACAGGAACTGTTTTATTTTTTTGTAAGTGTGCAAGTAGATGATGGAAATTAATAAAGTTTTGCCTAGGAAGCCCAGCTGAAGCAGAACGCGGATTGCGGTACGGAGGGAAAAGTGGCGGTAAGGCTGCGTATAGGCCCTGGGGCTACTCCGGCTAAGCACCCGGGAGAGCAAAGACTCGCAGTCCACGCAGCTTACCCACCTAGACCAAGCCTGGCAACAAGCGGCAGTCCCACATCTGTTGCAACCACCACGCTGCGCCCTGCCCGCTCTCCTGGCCGTTCCCTAGGACAGCTCCATGCTGACTCTGGGTCCCGCCAAATCGAGAGCTAGTAAAAGCGGCGGCAGCTGCTAGGCGACACCATTCCCCACCCAGCCAAAGCCGAATAAGGCCCGGATGCCAGGAAAGGCCACATTTCACGACTATGAGTGGTGCTTTACGTTTACAATCCCCCTCGGAGTTCTGAACTCAGAATTAAAGACGAAGAAAAGGCGTGAGGGAAGAACTCGAATTCCCAGAGTGCAATTACACCTTGCGGCTGTGCATGCTGGGAACTGGAGTCCCTGAGGAAGGAGGGAGGGCGTTCCCGGCGTGCAATGCGGGAGGCTGCGCCTCTTCGGGAGAGGCTGAGCGAGGGCTGAGAGGCGCGAGGCGCAGTGGCCGAGGCCCGCTTGTGCTGGTAGCTGGAAAAGAGATAGAACATGACTGCGGCTTCGGTGGTGTCACTCGCTGGGCCGCCCTTCCAGAGGTTTCCCTGAGCCACCCGCCGAAGGATCCGTTCCCAGGTGAGGTCGGGGTGTGGGTCCGGGGCTGCGGAGGAACTCAGGGGTGTAGTCACGTCTCCGCGAACCTCCAGCCCTTAGCCCTGGAGGGCCTGGCCCAGTTCTGGAGAGGTGGGAGGACCTCGCCTTCTCTTCAGACTGTGCAAGGGGCTCCCAGGTATTGCTTTGCACAAGGAGGGGGGAAAGTTTTCATCTGCATTGATACCAGAGTCTGGCTTGGTATCTTGGCCGAGATCGGGGTTTAGGGGCGAGTGGAGACTCGAGAAGAGCCGCTTCTTGGACCCCGCCCGCCTTAGCACTGCTGAGTTGCACCTTTGCCTCCGCGGACTGAAGTGCTGGCAGGTTGAGGAGCTAGCATAGAGAGAAGGCTGTCGAAACAAGGCATGGAAAAGGACCCACGGGACTCAGCAGTCTTGCTGCTGTCACCGCCTTGGTTACCCAGGTGGCCCTCCTGAGAAAGACTCCTCAAGGGTTAACCACTGTTTGTTCAGGCAGTTTTTGCTCCTCTGGCCTCTCCCAGCTGCTGGACTATGATGATACACCACTAAGTAACTTTGCTAAGATGCTGTAGGTGTACAGTCTAAATGACATTTCCAGCTATGTGGACCGGTCCCTCTCATCTTTTTCTAAGTACACTTTTTATTCTAATTGACAGTAAATTTTCCTTTTGAAAATACTTTTTTAAAGGTACAGCTCAGTAGAAAATAAAAACGTACTGATTTTGGGACATGAAAGACATCAGATTTGCGGGAACGATTGTTGTGTTTATTCCTTTTCTGAAAGATTATTTGGCATAATTTATTTATTCTTTATTTATTTATTTCATTTATTCTTCACAACAATCCAGTAAAATAGGTCCTGATTTTTTTTTCCATCGAAGCTAGGAAATTGACTTAATGTGCTGGAACACAGATCTTTCTGACTGGATGGAGGTCTGCTGTACTGCCTCCTCAGACACTCTCCAAACCAGTAACAGCGAAGTACTTGCTCTTCAGTCTTTCTGTTTTATTAAATATTTTCAAATTCAAATTTTATAACTGCTTATTCAAGATTTTAAGTGTTTTTCACAATCGGTGTTTTCGATTACTAATTTAGCAGAGATTGTCAAAGGTAAATTTTAGTATTTCTTCAGCACATATATGTCATATACAATACGATTTTACTGCTGCATATTTCATATTAAGAGTTTGGTTTTTTTTTAACTGCAGCATTTTTTTTTCTTCTTGTTTTTTCATTTATCTTCTGTTTACTTAGTTTTGTTTGTATTGAACTTTTCTACCTCTGCCTCACCTTCTTGTTCATATTTATATTCTTAGCAGTCCAAGATAGTCTGATGGTAAATTTTATTCTCATTTTTCAAAAATGAGAATACAGAGAAGATAAGTAATTTTCCAATAACTGATGAAGTCCTGACTCAAGACAAGAATTGCTTAAATTTTATTCTTTAACTCATCCTACCAATATTATTGAGCCCATACATTGTGCTAGACCCTGGGTTTATACCAGAAAATAAGCTCCCCAGAGTCTAGCTCTTTAGGCTTTGTAATCAGTATCTGTGAATCTGGAAATTTAACTCAAGTCCTACAATTTTGAGGAAAATAATTCAAACACTATTATTTGTTGCAGATTTTCATTGAGAGATGAATTTGTGACGGTTTTATAAGTATCCTTGTTACAGGATCGCTTCCCTGGACTTGCTTTATTTCTTACCTTTTATGAACAGTTTTGTCAAGCTAAAATCACCACCTAGAATAGCCTCACCTTTTATAATTACTACCTCTGTTATTTGTACCAATTTATATCCTTAAACGGTACTTCTTTTTTTTCTGGCTTATCAAGAAAATGAATGGTAGTTTAGTTTTCCAGTGTCTAAAATAACGCATGACCATTAGAAATTTATTATCTACTGTGTATAGTAAAGGTTTTGTTTGGCCTTGCTTTCGGGGAAATGAGTGTGCAACAAGCAGCTACTTGTCTTCCTTCAACATGAAGAGACTAGAAAAATTAGTAGGAGTCAAGATGAATACAGATTTTGCAAACAGCTGGCCGACGTTGTACAAACTTTTTTTAATGCTTCATTTTATTTTATGTTTTTCAATGACCTCTTTTTATTTGGACATATTCACAGTACATCATGATTACATTCATTGTGGGGAGTTGGTACATGTAAAAAACAAATCTGAATTATTTTTAGGTCTCCTTTCCCACCCATCCCTTCCTCCTCCTTCCTTCTCTTGATCTTCCCATTTGCAAAAGATCTTCCTGTTTCTTATCACAAACTTCAAAACAGTAAAATATGGTAGATTTCTCCTATTGTAAAAGATGATGTAATCATATGGAAATTGTGAAGGTATAAGCACAATGAAAATTTCCCAGGAAACTGAACTGGGAGGACTTCCTAGGCTAAATATTTCCAAATTCATATAAAATTTTAAAACCCATTTTTCCATGGGTTTCTTTTCCACTGTTAGATTATTCCAAAAAATGGCCACTCAGTACATTTGTATTTGAAGGAATTGTATTTTATGTCTCTGTAATGTACCTGATGAGTGGTCTTCAGTTGCATTTGAACTTTATAAAGACACATTTTTATTAGCAAATATGAATCAGTCATCCCATCCACTTTGACTATATGCATCTGCAAGTGTGCTTGTGTACCTAGAAAAAACTAGAAGTTTTTACAACTAACAGCAGTGGCCTACTACATTGCTACATAATTGTAACCCCCAGTGAATTCATGTCTCCCTTCATCAATACCCTGTGTAACCCTTTTCCTCCTCCCTCTGTTGCTTTCAGATGATTCTTGGACACAGCCTGAGATGTCTCCACAACTGAGCTTATGACATATACTAGGACTGTCTGTCACCCTTTCTTTCATATTATAGTCCCTTGGAGAATCTTTTAAAATTTCTGTTATTCTGGTCCTTCTATGCAACCCTTCCCACATTGCTTCTGGATGCTTTCTCACACAGCTCGATAATTTTTAAAAAAACAGTAAACTGGTTATAAACAGTAAAGGCTTGTGCATTGGGTCTTGCCCTCCTGCTGCCCTATGATCACCATTTAAAGAAGCCCAGACTAACCTATAAAGGGATGTGGCTATAAGTAGCAGAGACTGGTTTTCAAAGCTAATACCTCTACTCTGTAAATATCCAGCTTTAATCAATTGGATTATTATAAGTACATGAAGGATACAGAACAACAGAACATATATCTGTATCAAATAAAGATGTTTACACAAAAGAATTTACATGAATTATAAGGCTAGTAAGTCCAAATCACATTGCCAGGCTGGAAACTGTTTAGCAAGACCTGATGCTGCAGTCCTGAGGCAGAATTTCTTCTTTTCAGGGACTCTTCAGTTTGCCTCTTAAGGTGATTGAAATGATTGGATGAGATCCATCCACATTATTGAAAATGATCTCCTTCAGGTCAACTGATTGTTCACCTAAATTTGTGTTTAATTGAATACCACCACAGCATAGCCTAAGCAAGATAATATATTACTTAGTATTTAAAACTAACCATCACAGTGGTATCGTGAAAAAATAAACATCTTCATGTGCTGTCTAGTTAGTGAATATTTTTACCTCATTGATTAAACCTACTTGAAGCTTCCTAAATTCCTCGTTTAAATGCTTTGTAAAGGGGAAAAATAAAGACATTTTTTAAGATTTCCCAGAGGAGTTTAATATGAAAAGTAGTGCTTGTTCTAAAGACATGCTCAGGAACTCAGTTGTAGAGACTTGTCTGAAGTTTTGCCCCAGAGTGTCACTTGTGGGAGTTAAGATTAGAGAAAGAGGTGATGGTTACAAAACAACCTCACCAAAGGAAAGCTGGATATCAGCAGTTTCCAAGAGCATAATAATCTTCTGATGGAGGAAGATGAAATAGAGATAAAAGGAATTTCCAGGTGTCAATCCCTAGTGATTTGGGTTTCAGTTCCTGAAAGGTCCCTGAAACACCTGTGAGAGTCTCAACTTTGAAAATGGTGATCAAGTAAGCACTTTTTTTTTTTTTTTGGTCTTCTTTATTCCCTCTTTATTCTGCTCAAAAACTAGTATACAAAAAGTATTTTTTACAGAAATGTAAGGTGCTATTTCCAGGTGAAAAAGGAGAATAGGAAATATCCTTATTCTATGACAGGCAGCTTCTCATTTGCATTGACCCCAAAGTAGGGGCAGAAAACAATTTTCGAAGTTAGAATCAAGTTCAGAATTTTGATCATTAGATTAGAACTGAGCATTTCAATTACTGAATGAAACTTTTACAAATTAAAGGACTATAAAAATTGTATTACCTAGCTATTTAGAAATCATTAGATCCGTCTAAGTTTATTAAACTAATATTTTATAAACTGAATTCGTTAAACCTAAAAATCTTGTTTATAAAGTAATATGTCATTTTTAATAACAGATGACACAAGTTGAAAGGACTAAACTCCTATAATCAGCTACATATATAAAACTTGATTAAATTGCCTTAAATTGAAACTGCATTTATATTTAGAATGTATTTATTTTTATTCAAATACTTTGTATCCCTAGTTTAAGTCAAACTTTCTCAATACTATTATACAACACAGTGTTGGGAAAGTGTTCTGAGAAATGAATCTGGGCTATTTTGTTATTGAACAAACATTATAGGGTACAAACTAAAATGTCTCCCATCACTAGACAGTATAATCTTACAGGGTTCTTTATCCTGTATGCGCTTTGACATTGATCAAAACATTATGTAGCCAGGTGTGGTAGTGCACACCTGTAATCCCAGCACTGAGGCTGAGGCAGGAGGATCGCTGAGTTTGAGGCCACATAGTGAGTTCAGAAACAGCCTGAACTACAAAGCGAGACCCTGTCTCAAAAAAGCCAAAATAAATAAATAAAACAGTTTATGTAGTACATGACTGTACTTCAGTAACTTTTATAGAGTATCTTAGTTACTTTCTTTACTGCTGGGACAAAATACCCAAGAGTCACATCCAAAGGGAGGACAAGTTTATTTCAGCTCACAGTTTGTAGAGGTTTCAGTCCATATTGGGCTAGCTATAAGGCAGGATGGCATAGGAAACAGAAAGAGTAAAGAAAGGAACAGGGAAGTGTGGAAAAAATTTCTAATGTTGGTGACAAAATGATTTAATTTCTATTTTTGTTATAGAATCTTTGTTTCTAGTGTTGTAAAATTTTACAGCATCCTGTGCCCAGTTGGAGAAGTTCCATAACTATCTACACAGACTTTGAGTTGACTTATTTTTTTTTTTTCTTTTCATTTACTAGGGATTGAACCTAGGTTCTTAGCCAAGCCACACCTCCAGTGGCTCACGTCTGCCAACCAAATCCACCCTCTTAACAGCAAGTCAGCTGTAAAATATTGTCATCAGTGGACTAACCTACTGATAATTATCGTATCCTCATGTTCCAGTCACCTTTCAAATGTGAAGGCATCTAGATAAAAACCAGAACATAAAGCTAATAGATTTAACTTAAAACTATAAACAACTCTCAAGTTCTCATAAACATTCCAGTGCTGTTTATAAACTTAGCTAAATTCTTATACTTTTCAATTAAGAATCCTAAATCCAGAAATTACACAGTCAGTAATTTAATATTATACTACATTATTGTATGTTTTGAATTACATTTATGAAACTAGGATATCCATCTCCAGTATATCAGATTCTATAAACATTGCAAATACTCAAAATATCTTGTATATATGTTATTCCCAAGCATAACTTTAATACATTAAAGCCAGAGGTTCAATTCACTTCTTTTTCTTCCATTAATTTTAAATTTTCCTATTGTTAAAACATCTGGTCAATCAGCAGTTTGTCACCTCAAGTGAATTGATATTACTAAGTTGAGGATCTGAGGTTACTTTATGGGAATGGTGTATCTGCCCTGTATACAAAATGTGATTTCTATCTGCCCAGCGATGGATGCCTGAGTTTTTGTTTTTCTAAATTACAACATATATATATGCGTGTGTGTGTGTGTGTGTGTGTGTGTATATATATATACATACATATATATATATATATATGGACATGATTTAAGAGTATATTCTTCATCTCAGTGTGTTTAAATACAGCAGCTATTCTATTGATTGTACCTTCTTGAGACCATCATACCTTAACCTGCTCCATTGTGGACTGCTTGGCAGACCTGCTTGCATGGCTGTCATTCTGGAGATTTCTTTTGTTACTATCTTATGCTGAACCCTATTCCCCAATTTCCCTGTCTTTCTGTTTTTCAGTATACTCTTATCATTTTATTGGGAACCCTCTTTTCTTTATTTCCTAAAAAGACTTTGGAAATAAATATTTAAAGACCCTGACTTAAAATATTTTTATTCTACTTTCCCACTTTGGAAATTTGGGCTTATGAATATAAAATTCAGAGTTGAAAATCAGTATTCTGCAAAAATTTGAAGCATTACTCTCTTTGGATGTTTCCCCCATGATACATAGTGTTGTTGAAAAAAAATTTGTTTTAATTCCTAGTTTTTTTTAGAATCCTGTGTTTGTTTCCATTGTAAAATTTTACAGCTTCCTGTCCCTAGTTGAAGAGAGCTGGAGGTTCTAAACCTAAACTGTCTAGACAGTTGTGCGTGTGTGTGTGTGTGTGTGTGTGTGTGTGTGTGTGGTCTCTCTCTCTCTCTCTAGTAATTATGGAGGATTGAACCGCTGATACTAAGCAAGTGCCCTAGTACTGAGCTGCATCCCATCCTTTTTTGTTTTGTTTGTATTTTTATTTTGAGATAGGGTACCACTTAGTTGCCCATACTGTTCTCAAACTTTGGATCATCCGGCCTCAGGCTTCCTTGTAGCTAGGATTATAGGCATGCACCACTATGCCCACCTAACTCTAATGTTTAATATGCTAACTTTGTTCTCATTTGTGTAACATCTCAAATATCTTGTGCCTTAATTACTCCAGAGGAAGAATCTTTAGGCTTCTGGTTTAATGTAGAAGGGTGTGGTTATTTAGCTATGTCCATTAAGAGAGTGGTTTAAACTTTGACAAATCTACCTGCTCCTAGCCCTATAGTCTAAGATCCTTGGCACAGGATCTTTTTCTTTTTTTTTTCTTTTTCTTTTTTTTTTTTTGAGATTGCTCCTGGCACAAATATTGGGAGTTGAAATAATCAGGCCATCAAGCTTCCCCGTCTTAGATTAGGATTCTCTTTCCTATTCTTCTCTGAGTCCCTTACTAATCCTTTTACTTTTCCATCTTCCAAAATTTACTATATTCCCTGCAATTGTCTTTATCTTTATGCCCTCCTTTGTCTGAAATGCTTCATTGTGATTTTAGTGTGGGGCTGGACAAGAGCTAAGGCAAATAGTTGTACACTGTCTCCATTCTTTATGCAGGCACCATAAATTTATTTATTTATTTTTCTTGGGTTTTTTTATTTTTTGTATTAGTAAGAATGTGGAAGTCTGTACCATTCCAAGATGATAATCACTTCTGGATTCAAGATGAGCCCTTACATAATTTTTCTTTTAGCTGAGGACTATATTTCTAAAGAGTACAGCTGATTTCCCTCCTGCTTTTTTGGATGGGGTTATAGAGTATTTTTTTTTTATGTCATTCATTCTGTGGTCTTCCTATCTGATTATAAAGATACTTTCATTCTTTCTCATATATATTCTTTTTATATGCATTTTTATATAAATTGTACATTTGATTTTAAATCTGCACCCACTGTCCTTACATGGGTAGGACTTTTTACTGCTGAACAGAATTTTTATTTTATTTCATATTCTTTGATCTGGCCATAACTGCACAGGTAAATGTCAGCGCTCATATTTTCTGGCTTTGTGAAGTACATATTAGTTTCTTGTTGCTGCACTAACAAATTATCATGAATGTAGTAGATTAATATAGCCTATACAGTATTTGTTTTCCCAAAAAGACTCATGTCCTGCAGCATGTTGCTTTGAGTTTCTTAGAGTAGTTGCTTACAGTACTATGTTTGCTTGTCAGGTAACCTGAACTCTGACAGTTGATCAGCAGTTCATTATCTCCATAGCTAATGATATAGGTTCAAAGATTAAGTGATATATTCAAGGACTGTAATAAGGGTATGAAAACACATTTGAAGGAGCAATTGAGAGTTAATTTTGCCTTTGGAATATGGCGAAGTATTTAGCTAATGCTTCTTAGAAGTAGAGACATTTATGCTGAGCTTTTTGCTGAAAGTGTTAACATACATCCTTTATTTTAATTATCTACTAAAATTGTATTTTAAAAATATATATTTCATTATCCTTTTTTTCTCCCAGTGTTTGTCCATAACTACTTATAGAAAAGATGGCTGATATTAACCTCAAAGAAGTAACCTTAATAGTAGGTGTGGTTATTGCCTGCTACTGGAACAGCCTATTCTGTGGTTTTGTTTTTGATGATGTTTCAGCAATACTGGATAATAAAGATCTGCATCCATCTACACCTTTAAAAACTTTATTTCAGAATGATTTCTGGGGAACCCCTATGTCCGAGGTAAGTACTTATTATATGAAACACAATTTATTTGTAATAAATTGGACAGAAAGTTAAAGTTGTAATTATCTTTAAAGCAGTGCTTCTTTCCTTGGTTGATATGTTGGCTTTTTAAAAAAGAATATGTGTATGTAAAAATCGAATATTTAGGGAGAGCAGTAAATGAAATACAAGTCTCTTAGTAAGTTTTCTTTTTTCTGTTTTGTGAGTCAATCACAAGAGATGACTGATATATTTAACCACTTAAAAATATCATAACTTCAATATAAATAGATTAGACATTATGGATAAAAATATTAAGTATATATATTGCCAATTTCCCTGTAAGAGGAAAAAAAGTAGTTATTAAAAATTTGAAGTGGTATGTCTCTTACCTAGTAGTTATTTTGGTAATAACTGTTGAACAAAACCCAAATGTCTTGTTCGTTTTCCTGTAACTTTATTTTGAAGGTCAGTGTTAAACTGATTATTTAGGATTAAAATCTTGTCAAACTTAGAATCATAGATTGGCTTCTAATGTTGTCATATATTAGCTTTATGAAAATGGTGAGAATACAGATTTTAGGTAACAAGTCATTTTGTGATATGTAAAAAGGCAAATTTTAAATAAGTCATTATGAAAACATAATATATAATACACTATTACTTTGTTTCTCAGTCATCATTTGGTTTCCATCTCAGGCTTCTGTTTTGTCAAAGTTTCTGCATCAGTATTTCTATCACAATGCAATGTTGACATCAGCAGCACTGGTTTGCTTTTCTTTGCCACATGTAAGGCCAATAGAAATCTTTCTGAAAGCCAAGGATTGTACTACACAATTCTCTGTTTTGAAACTGCAACATTTCAGTTGGGATTTTTGCTTTGTTCCTGTGTACAGTTCTTGTGATGGTCATCTTGTGCTCCATTAGCAAATTTAACACTGATTGGAAACTGGTAAACTAATTGTCGGATATCACATTCCAATTAGTTTGGAAGATGGGAACAACAAGTCTGTTCACATCATTTGGTTTATGACTATATGAATAAGGTTATTACTCACCTGATGGCTGAGTTCCAGGATAAATGTCTACATTGAAAGCATAATTAATCTTTGTATCCACCAGGGCATAAATTTCTATGCCATAGTTTGACCCATCACCTTTCTGTAAGTCTTTTACATTCCTGTGATTACCATCAGAAATCCCTGCTAAGTACAGCAGACCTATGAATGCTTTCAGTTCAGCTAGTGAGATGTCATAATAAAAATATTTTTTAATATGGCTATTGGTGCATACAGAACATTTTACTTGTATTTCAGCCTTTATATTTCAAAGCATCTTGTATCATTTGTCTGTTACAATTTCCAACACTGAATGGCAGTGTCGGCATTCTGTCCAATATGTTTCACCCCTGCCAAGATCCTCTCTATATTTTCAGACTGAGTTCTAACACTACGTCATTCCATTTGGTTACGTGACCACTTTGCAACATTCTGACTGGTCAAATATGCATTGCTGCTTTCTTTGTCATCTGAATCAAGGAGGGCTGCATTCCCCGTGTCTGTAACAGTTGATTCTTGCTTCATTTTAGTCACAGGAACTTTGGCTCACAGGGCCAACATAAAAGTCATCACCAACATCATCACAGAGCCACACCACTTTTCTATTATGAAAACATGTATTTTACTGTAATGGTTCATCTTCATCATCCATGCATGAGTAATTGGATTCACTTTTGACCTACAAAACTTGCAAATCTGGTTTTTCATCTGCTATTGTACTGAACTGGGCTACTTCTATCAGAACAATAAAAAGAAAACTTTTTAAAAAACAAATCCTACAGTGGTGTGGGTGTATTATACCCTCTGTGACGCTCAGATAACATACAGAAAACCTGTTCAACAGCATCACATGGATGAAAATCCTAGTTTGACACTTTTGCACATGTGTACACACCTTGCTGTTTGTCTTACCCAGTGGGTAAACACAAAGATGGCTGCCTATAAACCTCAAGGAAAGGTACTGAGACGCACAGCCAGCTAAAGTAAAAATTTACAGTAGAAAAGGGATGTGTTCGTGAAACCCAGTGTTATGCTCATGGGGTTTAAATACTGAGAGGTCCACAGATGTACAACGACCCTTAATATGACAGTATTCATATGGCTCAGAAGAATGTCCTAAGGCCAAAATGTCCATTTAAGTTCCACACTGACAAAAATCCACATAACATAGGAACACACACATGAACGCACATGAACACACACACACAGAGCAGTACAGGCTATCATTACTTGATGACATCAATCATTAGATCTTTGTGTTAATTCCAGGCTTACTGTGAAACTTCATGACAAGTAAATACTATTTATAATTTTTCCCTAATCTCACAATTGTCTGTTGATAATCTCTTTATTCATTTTCTTCTATATTAATGACTTTTTCTTTGTTTTGGGTGCTCTAAACAAATTAAAATTTTCAGCCTGCAAAGTTGAGAAGAAAATCACAAAATACAGCACTGACACCATGATATGCTACTTTGTATGAGGTCCTTTAATATGGTCTCCTAAACTTTGAGTTCAAAATCCCAGTGCCAATGACTAAAATCACAACCGATACTTGCATAGTTTGGGGGAATGGACATGTATGAGATCAGGAAGGCTGTAGGAAACCTTATTCTTACCTAATAAGAAAAAAATATTAGTTATGTGTTTATGACTAGAAGACTGAGAAGCTTCCAAATCTGGAGAATGAAAACCAAAAGCAGGGTAGATTTTGTTAATGAGTTATGCAGCAACTATTATGTCACTTGAAACAAGACTTTGGCCAAAGGTTGTGTTTTACCCAAGCCTAAACATGTGTGACATAAATAGTTGGATACTTTGCAAAGAAAGTAACAAGTGCAAAATATGATGGAGAAATTTTCTTAGAGGATTGGAACTGGAACTCATGAGAGATCATTTACAGCAGAGGAAAAACAAAATGATTCTGCCCAGGGAACTATGCAAAATTATAAAACACGCTGGTGAGCTGACAGGTGAACAGGCAAGCTCAGTATCCCAAAGACCTACTACGACAACAGGAAAAACAAAAAGATGCCAACAGTTCCCTACAAGAAAAGACAGGAAAACAAAACATACATACTTATCAGTGTAAGCCATACCTGTGCATAAAACATGCAGTGTCATGTGTGAAGACTGCCTTGTGTGTAACAATTGAAGCAAAGATTATATTTATTGTAGAGTTCTATTGATATTTTCATTGTAGTTCACATAGGTTTTTATTTCTGATGTTATCTTTTAGGTTTTGTAACCAAGTAAATAGCTGATGTGAAAATGTTGATGTGTATTCTAAGCACTCATTACATATTTGATATTGTATTTTATTGATGCCTTATTTTCTTGTTTAGGTGTGATAATTGAAGTAAAGATTTTTTTTTTGTAGAGTGCTGTTGGTATTTTCATTGTAGTTCATATAGGAATTTATTTCTTGGCAGTTGTTCCTATTTAGACTTTGTACACCAAAAAAGTCGATGTTGAAAATTTTGATGCTTTTTATAAACAATAAATATTAAAAATGCAATACTTTATTTTGTGATATCTTTTCCTGTTAAGTATTTATTGTTTAATATAATAAAACTCAAAATTAAAATTAATAATTTATCAATAGAAATAGTCTAAAGAATAAACATGGGTTTGACACACCCATGTTTCTGTGACTTTATGACAAAAAAAATGTGTTATGCTCCAAGGTTATGTCTTTTGTAGGTTCATTCTGTAGATATGTAATACCCTGTTTATTGATACTTCAGTGGATCACAATCCTGGCTGCAGAGTAGAATTTGCCCGAGGAATTTTAAAAATCGTTATTAAGGCTCTATGCTAATCTGCTGCATCAGGTCATTCCTCAGAGTGGGATGTGGACATAAAGTGTTTTATATCTTGTTTTTCTTGTGTATGTGTCGGGGTTTGGTTTTTTTGGGGGGGATTACTAAGGGGTGAAGTTGTTTGCTTAAAGTCTTTCAAGTAATTCTGTGGTATAGCTGTGGCTATACCTTTCTGATATTTGGCCTAGAAGTTTTTGCAGTCCTTATATTGAGGCGCATAAAACTGTTGTTCATTACGTTTGTGCTTGTTTCCATTGTCATCAAATACCATGAATAATCAAATTTTTACTAAATATGCCTGTGTATGAGAATGATCTGAATTATTTTGTTCATAATAGACCTAGCTGTTTTACTATATTTTTACAGAGTAAACCTGATATAATCAGTGGAGTCTTAAATAGAGTCCTTATGAATTATGAAAATAATTGTATTGATAATCTGTCTTTTTAGTTGGTCAGTCTCTGACATACATACATCTAAGAAAACTAGCTAAGCAATTGTGAATACTGGAACTTAATACGTATTTTCTTCTACTTTTGATTTGGTCCTTTTACCTGACAGATATGTCCAGTGGAGTTACAGTAACATTTCAGGCATCCAAAAGGTTTCTACCATCTGTCTTCTAGTACAGCTCATGTCAGTTTAGTAGAGTCCCTTAAAAATAATTTTGTATGCCTGAGATGAAATTGTATGTACTAGAATTAGCCAAGCAGGAAAGAACATTCCAAATAGATGGTACAAATCATATATGTAATCAATAAAAACAGAGATAATTGAAATCTTCCTTATTTCAAAATGGGAAATGTTTGATCCTGTGCTTCCTGATACTCCCTAGTAAGGAAAAACTGATTTAGGTCTACACCTATGTGCCAGAGGGTAACATCAGAATATGGTAAGAGCTAGAAGAGCAAAGAATTTGAAGGTGGATGCCTTTTATATAAGACTACAAATAAACTCAACTAGGGAGATATTTTATTGAACTGTATTTTATTCTTAAATATAGTTTGATTTTGCTTTTGGGTAAAAAGTATTTGTGGTTAAATGTGACTTCAAAATTATAAACAAATTCATTACTTCACATAAAATCTGGTTTTTTGTTAAAAGAGAATTCTTCAAGGAAAATATTCTATTTTCATATTTTGATAAAGTTTTTACACCTATATTGCTCTCTTTGGTATTTGTAGATTTTTATTTTAATATATGCATGTTTATACATTTTGGAGACATTTTTCATAAAACAACTAGCGAATACCTTTTTGAATCATCACTATTTGAACTAATCTGATAAGCATTCTGTTCTTAATTTCCTTGTGAAGATTTAACCAGCAGTTTTATAAACTTTGATATTGGCGGATAAGGCTAACTTTGGATAGATCCTATGTTTCATTTAGACCAATGCCACCATTGTTCTACCTTTTTATAAAAATCTGGATATATAAAAGGAGTGTCAAATGTTCTTCTGGTAAATTATCTGACATCAAGAGGAAATTCTCTTGTTTTTGGAGTAAGAAAACAACATTATAAACCTACACATTATAATGCTTTTATGTTTATGTTGCTTTGGGGCACTTCATTATTTTACTGTTATTTCTCAGCCAAATGCAAATATTTTTATGGTAAAAACAATCACTAGTTTTTGTACTCTGAAGGACCAAGTTACTTTAATTAATAAGTACTTTTTCTTCCTTTTAGGAGAGAAGTCACAAGTCCTACCGACCCTTAACAGTATTGACATTTCGCTTAAATTATATGTTTAGTGAACTAAACCCAATGTCATATCATCTCCTAAATATGATTTTTCATGCTATGGTTAGTGTGGTATTTCTTAAAGTCTGCAAACTTTTTCTGGACAACAAGAGCGGTCTGATTGCTGCTCTGCTTTTTGTAGTGCACCCCGTACATACAGAAGCAGTAAGTAAAACTAATTTTTTTTAACTCTTCATTATTTTTAAAAAGCCTACAGTGACTGTGGGGCATATTTTTAAGAAAGAATCTAACCATGATTTTAATCCAAATATTTGAAAACTCTTAAAATAGTACAATGTCTTAACTTCATACACAAAGTCTCACTACTGGACAAAAATTTTAAACTAGTTTTTAAAACATAACCTTCAAGAACATAAGGTATGTATAATCTCTTAACTTTAGTAGTATAAAATATAAATGAACTCAGTTCTTTTTTTTTTGGTAATAGTTTTGTTTTTGTTTTGGTACTGGAAATTGAACCCAGGGCCTTTTATATGATAGGCAAGCACTTTATTTCTGAGCTATATCACTACTCCTATTTTTTAAATCTTATTTTGAATCAAGGTCTTACTAAGTTGCCTAAACTGGCCTTGGACTTGTGATCCTCCTGCCTTACCACCCAAGAGCTAACACAGGTGTGTGCCACCCTGCCCAGTTTGCTAATTATTTTCCGTCAACACAGACTTTAAATATTTCTCAGCTTGTCAGTGTTTATGTTTCAAATAATAGGTAATGGTAAGCCAGATTTAAGTAAAGGATGAAAATACATCAAAACATTTGGAGACACATAATAAATGACAGTGCTCTGCTACATGTTTTAAAATTGTCTATAGCCTCATTTTAAAATCAAACTATCGGCTATTGTCAATATGTCTATCAGCCACTTCCTAGGAAGACACACCCAAAGTGTAATTTTATTTATCTTGGTAACCTTGAAACTCCAAAGCTCCCTTCTAGCAGAGCTAATAGTATTCTGTTCAATTGCTTTGTTACAAACTCTTTTGTAACCAACAACATGTTTTTTGGAGAAGTATAATGTATCTGCACTAGTTGTCTTGGACCAGGAGATACCTAGCTGAACAGTTTTTCCAAACATTTCCAAAAATAGGAGATTGTTCTAAATTTTACATTGAGTTGAAAATATTTTAAAGGGACAGTTTTGGAAGTTTTTTTTAATTTTTAAAATTTAAAGAGCATGGGCCCGGGATTTAGATCAGTGGCGCCATGCCTGGCTTGCAAGCACAAGGTCCTGAGTTCGATCCCAGGTACCAGAAAAATTAATTAATCAATTTAATTTAAAGGGATTGTTTAAAGTTTATTGTATTTTTTAGTTTGCAGATTAATTATGAGATATAATTTACTGAATTTATGATGCTTTTGTATTTTGAAATTGCTCATATTTTAAGAACATTTGTAAATACTTAGCTTTTTTCTTGTTTTTAAGAACTCTATTAAGAATGGTACTGTAGGGGCCAGGGATTTAGCTGCCTGCCTCGAAAACACAAGGTCCTGAGTTCAATCCCCGGTACCAAAAAAACCCAAAAGAATGGTACAGTAATTATGGAATATGCTGCCTGAATCAGGGTAAAGAATATGCAAAGCCTCTGTACGATTTTTGCAACTTCCTGTGAATCTATAATTATTTCAGAATAACTTAATAATTAGAACTGTTTAAGAATCCCTAATAAATTCCCTTTTATAGAAGATATATAAAGTCACCACTTAGGGGCACTTAAAGAATGTTAAAGAAATACACTCTTAAATGTTACAGATTTTGTGGTTAAAGTGTTGTTACTATTATACATCGTTTTGAGGTACTCTTCATTAATATGAACCTCCTTTTCTTTCCCTTTCTAGGTAACAGGTGTTGTAGGAAGAGCAGAACTTTTGTCATCTATCTTTTTTCTAGCTGCATTTTTGTCATATACAAAATCAAAAGGACCAGATAATTCCATAGGTAAATTTCTAGCATTGGATTTTTTTCTGTAACTATATATAAAAACTTGATCAGATAAGTTTTATACATTCCAAGTGCTTCTTACAAAACATTATGTGCCACATTTAGGGTTTAACTTCATGTAGTTCCATCTACTGCTATTTGAAGGAAAATAATACAGGTACCAAAGCCTATGTTGTCTTTGAATAAGTAATACCTAGAAGGCTGTGATATTGTTTAGGCAGTGTTAAAAGCCTGATAGACTTTAACTTTTATTATGTATTGATAATGTTTCAGCTATTCATTGAGCCCCTACCTTGTGACCTATTCTGGAATGTGCTTTTTATTAATTAACTCATGCTTGACCTTGTGAGATAACAAGTTCCAGCAATAAAAATGAGGTTTTTTAGAGTTTAAGCACAGTAGACAAGAAAACAGCTTTATATAGTAGTTTTAACCTTTCTTTGGCTGATCTTAAAAGTTTAACTCTGAATTATTTTCCAGAGTTCTTGGGATTTTTCACCAGAGTCCCAAAGTACTGGTGATACAAAGCCTAGTTTTGTATGTTTGGAAACTGAGTTTCAAGAAATACATAATTTAGCCAAATAGTCTATTTTCTCTTAGATTTTTTAATAGGAATAAATTGCCCATTATTTCTCTGCATACAATACTGCCTTAAAACAGTTTTGAGTGGCAACATAGCATAATTGGTTAAAGCATGAACTTGAGAGTTGGATTTCAAATTCCATTTCCACCATTTATTTTCTAGCTCTATATTCTGCTCATCAGAAATTACTCAGATATCTCTGTGCTTTTGTTTCTTTATCTATAAAATGAGGATAATAAATCCTATATCTGTGTACTCCATCATGCAGTAAAAGGCAATTGAGTAACTAATATGGAATTACAAACAATTATCCTCTTGAAGTACTCTACAGTGCAAAACTTGAGTGATAAAGTTAAAAAATACTGTGGTCTACAAGACCATGATCAGGCTCACTTCTATTTCTAACCATATTTCCTACCATTCTTCCTATTTATTTTACCTTGTTCTTTTATTCATAATTTTAATGTCATTTTTCTTAAAGATTACTTATTTTAAATGCTAGGTCTATCTTTTGATTTAACATTGATTTAGTAGCGTATGCTATTATGTTTGCATTTTTTCTTTTGTGATTGGTGTATCTTTAAGACATTTAGTTGTTTTGGCTTGTGAGTTTAAGTCAAAATGTTTTGCTCAAGTTATTATCCACCATACCTGTTAAGAGGAAAGGCCTAGGCCACTCTGTTTCTCCTGTGATTCTGAAGAAATGACAAGAATTAAAACACAGGATGGAGAGTTCCAGGTTCCTGGGCCCCACTGTTGATCAGTGTTGCTTCCATTTCCATCAAACATCCCCTCTTATCTCTTAAGGAGAATTAGCACAAAGAATAATTAGCCATTCCTCTTCATTTACATGAGAGAGATATAGAAGATACTGTGTAAGGTTTCTTGGTAAGTTTGCAATTCTTTTTAAAATGCATGTGAGTGATATTGGTCACTCTTTTAACCTAAGATTTATTTCATCTCAATTTTGTTCCCCTTTAAATTTATTTTAACTGATAGATAAAAACACAAAAATTACATCTTAATGGGTTACCACATGATGTTTTAATACCTGTATACATTATGTAATCAAGTTAAACTTAAAGTCTCTTCAAACATTTATTACTTCGTAGTGAAAATATTCACAGTCTTTTCAACATATATAGTACACAAACTATATTCACCCTGCTGTGTAATGTAACACACTAGAACTTCTTAGCTCCCTTCTAACTGCAGCTTAGTACTCATTGATCAGCATTTCCCCATCCTATGTTCTGTTCTAGTCTCCACAGTTTCTAATAACTGCCATTCTCCTCTCAATTTTTATAAGATCTTCTTTTATTATATGCCACATATAAGTGAGAACATACGGTAGTTGTTTTTCTGTGCCTGTCTTATTTCACTTAGCCTCATAATCTCCAATTCCATCCATGTTGTCATTCTTTTTATGGTTAAATAGTACTCTATATGTATCACATTTTTCTTTATCCATTCATCATTGCTGGACACTTTAGTTGTTTCCTTTTCTTAGCTGTTAAAAGTAGTACTGTAGCAAACATAGGAGAGCAGATGCCTCTTGGGTAGAACTGATTTCATATCCTTTGGATGTACCTGGGAGTGGAGCATATGGTAATTTTATTTTTAATTTTTTGAGGAACCTTCATACTGTTTTCCATAATAGCTGTTCTAATTCACATTTCCACCAAAAGTATGCACAAGTTCCTTTTTCTCCACATCCTCAGCAGCATCGTTATCTTTTGTGTTTGTAATAGTAATCATTCTGACCGAAGTGAGATGCTGTCATTGTAGTTTTGATTTGCATTTCCCTTGATGATCAGTGAAATTGAGAACTTTGACAATTTATATATCTTTTGACCTGTTTTTCAGTCAAGTTATTTGGTTGTTTGCTGTTTAGTTTTGGGATGTGAGTCCCTGTATATATGCATAGTTTGAAAATATATTTGTAAGTTTTCTCTTTGATTCCTTTTCTGTACAGAAACTTTGATTTTGATATAGGCCATTTATTTGTGTATACTTGTGTTTCTTGTGCTTTTAGAATCTTGTTCCAAAAATCCTTGCCCATTCCAATGATCTCAAGCATTTTCCTATGCCGTTTTCTGGTAGTGTCATTGTTTTGAGTCATGCATTAGTCTTTAATCCATTTTCATTTGAGGTTTGTACTGGATGAGAGATACAGGTTTAGTTTCATTCTTCTGCATGTGGATAACCAATTTTTTCAGCCCCATTTATTGAATTCTATCCTTTCTCAATGTGTGTTCTTAGCACCTTTGTTGAAATCATTTGGCTATATGTAAAAGTCAACCTGTGGCTTCCATGCCCTCCATTTTGTTTCAGTGGCTTATGTGTCTTTTTATGCCAGTACCTTGCTATTTGGGTGACTATTGTTTGAAGTCAGGTAGTATGATGCCTCTTGCTTTGTTCTAAGAAATTACTTATTAAGATTTGTTAAATATGTATTCTGATTTTATCTCTGCAACTCACACTAACCAACATAACTGCACATTTCTTTAAAAGAACGCACAATGATCTACCCAATGGAGTCAATAGCTAGAACAAAAGTTTACATTTTTTTCTCACTTTTGCATCCTGCTTTCTATGCAGTCCCTTAAAACAGTGATACAAGCACACATATTTAAGATAATCTTGAGTGCCCAAGAGTTTACTTTTTTTTAATGCAGTATTGTTGAAACCATCTTCCCCTCATTTAATCTTTTTCAAGGGCTAATTTTGGGGGAAAAAGCTAACAGGTCATGCAGGTTCATCATTTCACCAAAACTGAGACAAATTCATGTTCTTTCCTGTGCCTTTAATCTGCATTTCTCCTAATAACTCATTTCTAACCTAAAAATATGTAATTGACATTTTTCTTTTATTATTTCTTATAATATAACCTTCATTAGAGTACTTAACTTTTTCTCTCAATTTTTTTTGGGGGGGGCTACCAGGGATTGAACTCACAACCTTGGGCTTGCGAGGCAGGTGTGGTGCCACTGAGCTAAATCCCTGGCCCCTTTTCAATTTTTAATCTCTATTTCCTGGAATGGTTCCTAGTTTGCAATAGGTATTCAGTGTAAGAATCTGTTGAAGAAATGAGCAAGTGAATAAATTTCATTTATTTTAAATTCTAACTGAAGAGATGCTAAGACCTCCCTTGGACCTCTCTGTCCTCTTAGCCCCGCTGATACTTTGTTTTCCTCTTGAAGCCACAGTTTTCATCATGATCTTCATTATTACCCACAATATCTATTACACATTTCCCTTTGCAAAAGTTTTCATTTAATCATTTAATTTCTAGGTTATGTACCATCCCATTTATGGAAGTATAATCCAATCTCAGAGCCTTTGCTCTTGCTTTGATATTATTTTAGGTTTCTGCTCAAATATTGCATCAGACGTTATCAATGGTATCACTCATCTTTCTTTGTCCTTTTTATTCACCTCCATTCTTTTTTTCCTCTATAACAGTTCTGCATTGTCAGTGTCATTTATTTATTATCTGTCCCCCCACCCCCTTGAAATGTAGTGGATATTTAGATAAAAGTACCTTTAACTTATTTAGCGAGTATATTTGTTTTGGACAATGTCACGTAAGGAAACTTTTGCCCGAGAGATCTGTTCCTAAAATCAAAGTGCATATATTTATGTGGTAATAGCGTCACTAATGTTTGATAAACTATATGACTGGTTTTAGTAAGTCATTTGCTGTTGGTGAGATTGAATCAAATATTACACAAGGCAGCTGTTTGCTATCTTCATTTGACTAGAAGTACAAAGTAGCGAAATGTCCTGCCTTTACTAGTACAGTAACCAATTTAAAATAATTGTCCCTTAATCATGTGTGACTAAAAACTCTTCCAAATTCTTTTTTTTATATTAAAAAAGTGGGTAAATTACAACTGCTCTATTATTCCAGAGTGATTTGGGGGTTTAATGAAATAATCCATGCTAAACAATACATGCACTATATATTTTGGGGGGAGAGAGGGGTGGTAGGTATTGCTGTCAGTGCTCTACTCCCCTCGCCCTTGTTTAATTTTATTTTGTGACAGACTCTAGCTAAGTTGCTCAGGCTGGGGAGACCAATTTTTCCCAGTAACTTTTAGTATGTAGATATATACTGTCATACTGTTCTGTATCATTCGTTAAGCTTATTTGTGCTCCTCCTTTATTTATGTACCCTCCAGTACCAGTTTTCCTATGACCTGTATATCCTGCAAGAGCCAGCTTTAGGTTCAAACTTTTTGTGAAGAACTATCTAATGATTTCTTTCCTCTATTCATTTCTTGTTGAATTTTGCACTGTTGTTCAGCCCATAATGCTATGTTGTTATTGGTGGTTGTGGCCTAATTAGAGAATGAGATTTGTTTTTGTTTTAAGGAAGGAATATTAGAATCCTCAGCAATTTTTTGAGTTTGTTTTTTTTGGTTTGATTTGGTTGTTTTTTTTCTTTCTCTTTTCAGTTATTTTAGTCTGTAGAGTACTTTTTTTTGTAAAGTACTTTAAAATTGAAAACAGTTTAAAAAATGGATGAGTTTATGGATTAAGTCTAAATGTTTAGTTTAGGTAATATTTTTAATGAATAGAAACTAAAGTTATGTGATCATACTACCAGTTCTTAAACTGGAAAATAATTAGATTTCATGTTTTCCAATAAGAAAACTAAAGCTCAGAAAAGTTGTAGAACTCACAAAACAGTTGGTAGTAGATTTGCTCTCATAGTCTGTTATTCTTTAACCAAATTATTATTAAATAAATAACAGTTACTTAAAGTTGATGAACTGAGTTTTCCATTTAAATGTAATTTATGAATATTCCATTACATATTTTAAAAGTAATAGTGATTTTTTTTAGTAATAGTGATTTAAATTGTTGTTATTCACCTGTTTTATTTTAAATTTTATATCCCATTTTTATGAGAATGGCTCCCCAATTTGCCCAATAGTTTTAAATTTCAAGTTTTTAATATATGAAATTACAGATATAGTGAAGTATATAATTATGTGATAATTCCAGACTTTTGTCTTTATGAATTGATAGCTCATTAATTATGACACTCAAGCTTATGCATATACATTTCTCCAAATTCACCGTTCTGCCATGTTTTAAAAGTTAGTACATATTTACATACCTCAGCCACAGCCTCCCAAGTAGCTAGAACTACAGGTATGTACCACTGTACCTGGCTTCAAATCAAACACCTTCATATTTTGCTTTGAAAACATAAAGCAAAAATTACTCACAGAATTTAAATACATTTTTAAGTATGGGATGTTAGTCAATAGGAAATAATACAAATGTTGGTCAAGTAAAGTTTAAGATACTGTCTTATAATATTATAAAATTGTTTTATATAGTTTACTTTTTTGTCTGTTCTTAAATTGCAGTGTGGACTCCAATTGCATTGACAGTGATTTTAGTGGCTATTGCAACACTGTGTAAAGAACAAGGCATAACAGTTGTGGGAATATGTTGTGTATACGAAGTATTTATTGCCCAGGGGGTAAGGAAAAATATAAATTTTCTTGTTGCTATCTTTTGTCCTGGTAGAATTAGATTTTAATAACCTTATTTTCTATGTGTGAATTATATCTACTTACCAGTATGATACCAAAATTTTGCAAGAAACAAGCATTAACCACTGAAAACGACTTATTTAACATTTTATGACACATTCAGTTCTGTATGGACTGCTTTTGAATTTTCAATAATGAAATTATCAGGCAATTTGGAAAATTACACATTAATACTGTTAAAGTATAATTCATTTTTGGATAAGATTATTGAGCTTTTAATTCTTTAATAGTTCCATAAATTGTTCTACATTGATTTTTTAATTATATTCAATTTGAATCTAATCTTGCATTTAGAAATTACTGCATTATCAAAAACATTATATTGCAATTTTTTATTTAAACTGTTTCTCTTTTTTAGTATACTTTGCCATTATTGTGTACTACTGCTGCACAGTTTCTCCGTGGAAAGAGTAGTATTCCATTTTGTCTGCTACAGACACTAATAAAACTGATTGTCTTGATATTCAGTACATTATTACTTGTGGTAATTAGAGTCCAGGTTATTCAGTCCCAGCTTCCAGTATTTACAAGGTATGAATTTTGGTTCTTGTTTGTTTTCTTCTATCTTCTCTTTTTTATTTTTAAGTGGTCATAAATGTTTTACAAGGTCTTTGATTTACATTGAATTTTTTCAACAGATTTTTGAGATATAATCAACATATTTTAAAAACTATGATATTTCAAATATACAAATTGATTAATTATGGCATATATTGCATCCATAAACCACCACAACAAAAATAAAGATAAAAATAAAATGATTGTTAAGGTTAGTGTTATCTTCTCTATCCTTGGTGGTTTTTGTCTTTATCATTTATTGAGAGATAAATATTGAAGTCTCTCTAAAACTATAGATTGGTCTGTTTCACCTTGCAATTCTATTAGTTTCTGTTTTCATGTGTTTTTGAAGCTCTGTTATTAAGTGCATGGATATTTATGGTTGACATGTCATCTTGATGAATTGATATGCTTATCATTATTAAATGACCTTTTTTATCCATAATAATAATCCTACATATAGAACTTTATACATATGTAATATGATTACTGATATACTCAATATAAATATACATCTTACAAGTTATTTTTCAAAATAATATTGAAGAATAATATTCAAGTATTATTTCAATAATATCTTAAATTTGATATTAATATCAAAATGTTATCTCTGCCTTTATGTTTGAATATTTCAGTGGTTGCATTTAAATGTGTCTTCCTTTTTTGTTTGGTCAGATAATATGACTTAAATAGAGTGTTGTGTCCTTTTATATTTAATATTAAATAACATTGGTGAATATTCTTTCTCAAAGGCCTCTATGCAATGATGAATCTATGCAACAATGAATCTTAAGTAACATTTTGTTGTGATTTAATTAGAAGGTCATAAATTAATGAAAGCATTTCTGCAAAGTCATTATATTCTATGTGTCTGAATTATTCTGATAAGTGGCAGAAAGAGATGACCTTTAAACAGTTCTTCATAAATATCACTTCTTTCAACTAGACATTTCATAAATTTCAGACAGTTTGAATTTTGACAAGATTAGGAGGTACCCATAAAATATTTCTTCTTTGGTTTAATGAGATTACACATAAAATATTTCTTTTACTGTTTTTTTTTATTCATATACATACTCTAATGTTATAGCATAAATTTGTGTTTAAAAAATATTTTCTTTGCTGGGTGTGGTGGTGCACACCTGTAATCCCAGCAGTTGGGAAGCTGGGGCAGGCAGATGACTAGGTTCAAGGCCATCTTGGGCTACATGGTGAGTTCAAGGCCAGCCCAAATTACATAGTAAGACCCTCGTGCAAAAAACAACAACAACAACAAAAAATGTTTTCTTTTAAATAATTTTATTTTCATTCTTTATACAGATTTGATAACCCAGCTGCTGTAAGTCCAACTCCTACAAGGCAGCTAACATTTAACTACCTTCTTCCTGTGAATGCTTGGCTTCTATTAAATCCTTCAGATCTCTGCTGTGATTGGACCATGGGAACAATACCACTAATAGAGTCATTTCTAGATATTCGAAATCTTGCCACTTTTGCTTTCTTTTGCTTTCTGGGGGTTTTGGGAATATTCAGTCTCCGGTACCCTGGTGATTCCTCAAAGACTGTATTAATGGTAAGAAACTTTCTTGACTTTTCAAACAAAGTTACATTCCATTGATTAAGAGCCTACCTTAAATTCATCAAAACCATCTTAGTATCTTTGTTCAGCATCATCCCTATCTATGAATTTATTTTAGGTTATCCTAAAAG